ACCCCCCTAGCCTGACAGTCAGCCTAGCTGCTTGAGCCCCCTACTATAGTTACCTATATAAGACTTGTAGCCCGAGTGGCCACCTGTCTTGATTCTGTTATTTTTGTGATTCCACTGTTCTTCTGAGGGTCGCCTGAACACCAGTTGTGGTCAGTGCCCATACTCCTTCTCACTCCGCCTCCGCTTCCTGTTCAGACTCCGTAATTCACCCAGTCCCATCAACCTGTACGACAGGCCCTTACAGTATGCTAGGGACAACAACTGATTAGTTGTTGGCAATGATCACACATTCAAGATGTTAGACATGGTTTGAATGATGTGGCAGAAATCAACTTGGGTAGTGTTGCCTCAGTCCGGCCGGCTGCCTGTGGCGCTCTCCTTATGCCAGGGATGTTCTGGGCAAGTCGAAGCAGTAACATCATCGAAATTGGAAGCTGAACAGCGCACATTCGAAGATAGCACACTTGTCAGATCTGCAATGGTCAGCATTTCCCCACGTTGGGTCGAGGTTCGATTCTCAGAGGCAGCCGGTTTGCGAGCTTTATGAGGACCCTCGGCTGGATGCATACCCGGCAGGTGACACACGTTGCACCCTAAGTCTACTACATCTGATCTATTCCCCTCCCCGTCCATCTCCTCTTTTCCATCTCTCGCTCCCGAACAGGATGTCCACCGCCGCTGAACGCCTTGCCTCTGTCGCGCGCCACCTTGCCAAAGGTCCCGGCGGCGGCGTCAAGATCATCGTCGTCTTTGGCGCTGGCCTCATGGGTGCTGGCATCGTCCAGGTCGCCGCCCAGGCCGGTTACACGGTACACATGGTCGACGTTAACGATAAGGCCATTGAGTGAGATGACCTTCGTTGTGCGGCACTGACCTTAAGCAACGGCATCGACATCATAAAGAAGTCGGCGGCGCGCGTGGCCAAGAGGGTTGCGCCAGAGCGCGTCGATGAGTTTGTCACCTACGTCCTGAGCAACATCAAGACTTTCACCGACCGGTGCGTACACCCATGTGGGTCACCTCGGACACGCGTCTAACAGAGTAGCAAACAGGCTGTCGAGGGCGCAGACCTCGTCATTGAGGCGATTATCGAGAATCTCCAGATCAAACGGGAGCTATTCGACTTCCTGGACAAGAATACCAAGCCAGAGTGCATTCTGTCGTCCAATACCTCATCGCTGCTGATCTCCGACATTGTCGAGAACCTGCCGCCCCAGCGCCAGAGCGTGTGCTGTGGTCTACACTACTTCAACCCCGTCCCCGCGATGAAGCTCGTGGAGGTCGTGCGCACCGAGCAGACAAGCGACGAGACGGTCAACATCGTCTACGACGTGAACAAGAAGATGGGCAAGGTCGCTGTGCTCGCCAAGGACAAACCAGGATTCATTGTTAACCGCCTTCTTGCCGCGTACAATCGCGAAGCGTTCAAGATGGTCGAGCGCGGCGACGCCACCGTTGAGGACGTCGACACGGCTATGAAGCTCGGTGCAGGATACCGTGAGTTACAGCCCTGGTCGAGGCTGACAAATAGCCATGGGACCCTTCGAGTTGGCCGACTACGTGGGCCTCGACCTAAGCCTGCTCATCGCTAAAGGCTGGATCGAGTACGGCAAGCGCGGCCTGGTCCCGGACTACCTTGTTGGCGAATCCAAGCTCGTGCGTTCGATGGTTGAGCAGGGACGAACGGGTCGCAAGTCTGGACGTGGTTTCTATGAGGTGAGTGTATACGGCTGCCGTTCGCTGGTGAAGCTAACGTGAAGTACAAGGACGGCAGGAAGGTGAAGAAGGGGAACTAGACGTATTTGAGTGGTGTGACATGTAAGTTGCCGCGATGGATCAGACTGGGCTGCGCGTGTTTGTTCAGATGTCAGTGAGTGAGTGAGTGAGTGAGTGAGTCGTTTCGCCGACCCGCGGCATGTCGATGGGAATGTAGGAATGAGCGCCTGCACGGACTTGTACGCGGTGAGTGTGTTTGCGCTGGGATCGACCGCCGGCTTCCTCAGTACTGCAAGTTGTACCTCATCAGCATATCTTATACGCCTTCTGGCAATCCGGCGTTATCGATCTAGATGGTTGCATGACCGCTAAAGGTGACTCAACACGCACAACATACTTGAACACCAGATGCGACGGCGCCCAAGCGCGCAATACCCCCCGCCCCCTTGCCCGCCTTCCACCGCTCGGAGCCTGCTCGCAACGCCCAGCCCCCATCGACATGCATCTTCAATCCACCCGCCCGCAGTAGTGATCCGTGAACGACGTACTCTCCTCACCTCGCAGCCTTCGTCGCTACCGCAAGAGCTTGGCGTGCATTCGCCCATCTTTACGCCCCGTCGGCCGCTTCGTACAACTCGCCAAGACCCCCTCCCTTACGCCGCATGACGACAAGCGCACTAATAGGCGGTGTGGTCGGCGGGGTAGCCGGATTGGGCCTCATCGTCGGCTTCGCATGGGCAGGCTATCTCGTGGCCGAGCGCCGCCGCAGAGGGCAGCTCTGCGCACTAAAGTGAGTTCATCGCTGGGCTGGCTGACCGCAGAGTCGACGTCGAGACGCCCGCAGTCCGCACCCTTGTACCAGTCCCCATGCCTGGGGCAACGTACGAGCCGCCTGTGCCAATTCTCGTCGCAGCGCATACAGGTTGGGGCGTGCGGCCCCCGACGCGGCCCAAAGCGCGCCGGATGATGCGATCGCCGGCGCGCCGCGCCAGCGAAAACGCTCTGCCAGCTCTTCTCGAGCTCGGTGAGAGCGAGTTTGAAGAATGTGAGGGACCCGAGTCCGATGAAAATCTACACCACGCGAAAAGAGATGACAAAGAGGAGCCGGACTGGGAGGAGGGCCAGGGAGTGGGTCACCTGGGGTTCTCCGACGACTCCGGTGGCCCGATGCGCACGGACACCGAATATGCGCCATACCCACATGAGGCTTCATCTAAAACGTACTCTGAACATGCAGACGGCCCGGCAAAGGTGGAATCCCAGATGCCGGAGAGCGAGGATACGCATGTGCGACCCCGAGGTGACGGTCGAAACGCTCGCATATCCACGAGACCGGAGTCAGCGCCCGACCTCGCTCCACCCAAGACATCCTCATCTCTTGGTAGCATTCCGGCAACACCGACCACACCTGGCGACATCAGTCCGATTGAATTCGTCCTCACCCTTGGGGCTGATCCCCCAGAAGGCATGTCGTCAAGCTCAGAGCCGTCGACACCGAGCAGCTCTCCCAGAGGCACGCTCGAGCGTCCCAAGCGCAGAGATTGCACCCAGCTTGGCGAGCGGCGATCGTTGGGGCCGTTTATCCGGGGACATTATGTCTGAGGGAGGCGAATGTGTTTGGTCGAGGAGGGGAAGATTACCACCTAGACTTGGCGCCGTTTACATGCATGCAGGTAGCTGTACCTATGCGTAACGACACTCATACTTTCGTTAGAAGAGAGCAGATCTCTTAGCCGAGGACTGTGGCCCTAGCACTCGGATCGGCTGTGCTCACCACAAGATGTAGTCGGACATGTAACAAGCAAACACGTTGTGAGATTGGATGTCGGTAGCAAAATGTCCACCTGTTGCCCGTCAGAGTATGCCGCCCGATAACTCCATTTTGATAGATTTCGTTGCCGTGTCGCCCAGCAAGTGTTTGGCTTGTCTGCTAAGCTGCCAACCGAGGCATGGGGCACGACCTTATGTCAGTCTGGGCTGAAACGCCTATTGCCAGGTTTAGGCATCTCTCGTATCCCATTGTCGGTAGCTCGTCCCAAGACGCGTCTCACGCGAGCAGCCGCGCGGTAAACTGCTACATCTGTATCTGAGGCAAAGCTGCGTTTAGGCCTTGCGTTCCATTACCTCGAGTTCACGACTTGAGAGGCCAAGAAACCGTGCCAGGAAACGCGCAAGTTTCGATTCGCTTCATGTGTCAACACCCCGATCGCGCTGAACGTCACTCCTGGTGCCTGCGATTCCCTTCGCTGGCATTCATTCTGGTTTGCGTCCGTTTGAGTTTCGGCGCCACCGGCAGACGTGGAAACTCTGCAGGGCTGCGCCTTGGCGCCGCGAGATTGGGCGGAAGGCTGTGATCTGGGTGCGGATGCAGGGTATGCTGAAGGGGAGATCGTGTACAAGGTAGCTGGGGTGCTTCGTTATCACCTGGCTTGAGGCAACTTGGCACCGAGGCAGTCTCAATTCCGAGTAGCGGGTCAGGGCAGGGCTAACGGGAAGAGACTGCCGGGATACAGTAGTGTCAGAGGACCGCATAGCGTTGCTCATAATCTGGGAGTCAGAGCACGGCAGGCAGGTACGGAAAGGCGGGGCAAACGGAGTGAAGCACCAGGGGCCGGAGTCGCAACATCGTCAAGCAGGTAACGAGAGAGTTGTGGCAATGGTGGTCAGGTGGGCACGGGACGAGCAGCGCGGGAGTCGCAAACCGGCATATGCTGAAACCTTTCTTCCCGGTGTAGTTTCATGCGTCCACAACAACCGCGGGCCTTGCGCCGCTGTTGCCACTCTGAGCTCAATTTCTGACCCGACTTCTCCTCCCTCCTCGTTCTCACCACGTCTGGCGGGCGTAGTTCGACATGGCTTCTCCTGGGGTCGTGTTTGCCCCGTTGTCAAGAACGATGCCGGCACCCCGCATACGGCGCCAGCCTACATATGTATGGCCGTAACATCGCTGGCCGCGGCCCCCTCACACTCACTCACGCTCACTACCACCCATACGCTGATCATGGGGCTGCTGCAACGGCGCAGCGTGTTCATGCATGAGGAGCTCAAGGGCGAGCCGAGCTTCAAGAAGGGGCGGGGGCGCAAGGCGTCAATGCCGAGCTCCAAGCCGCCCGTGATCGACAAGGACAAGGAGCTGCGTGAGTAACTTCGAGCTGAACGTGGAACTGACAGCAGCAAAGCGCAAAAGCCTTGTCAACATCCTCCGGCCATGGAAAAGAGGGAATGAGGCGCCCTCCGTCCCTACATTGCCCCTTCCAAACGCTCCATATGCAAACGAGCGCGATTTTGCACTCTCCTCTCCAACATCTCCGATCAATCCTCTAGCGCCGCGACCCGTCTCGCAGGTCGGCGTCTCGCAGGCAGGCGTCTGCTCTACGTTTCCACGCCCTGCCTATCCTAGCTCGGTGACGCTGCCAAACTTCATACCTGGTCCGCGCCGGTTCTACAACCAGGGTGGAGCGATGGACAGCACGTCGAGCTTTGGCGCGTCTCGCTCCACCCTGCAGTTGTCCGCTCAGCCATCATATGCGCATTACCCCACCTCACCGGCGCCAATGACAATCTCAGGCCCGATACCTGGTATTGGCGATGTCCCACCAACGCGCTACAATGACTTCTTCCACCCATTGCCACAGCCGCCACCCGGTGAAATAGGAATCGCCCTCGCTGCTCCTCCGCACAGCCTTCACGTTCAATCCCTCGGCAAACGCGAGTCGCGCCAGCGAATTCGTCTCAGTGCTCAAACGACGAACACGATGGTATCTGGCTCCACGCACACGAGCCACACAAGCCACACTATTCACCCCCCCACATCCCAGGGTGCCCTTGCCGGTACCAGCCCACCAGCTTCACAAAGCTTGCACGGCGAAAGCCCCCTCGCGAGCAACCGTCAGAGCACTGCGACGATCAAGCCGCTTAAGCGGCAAAGCAAGGGTTCGAAGCGTGCCAGCGAAGCCGACTTTCTCCTTGATGCCGAGGTTGCTGCTGTGTTTTCCGACTTCCCAGGCGCGGATGCGGACGTAATTCCGCCAGTACCTGGGATTCCGGCCGCTCTGGCCGCACTGGAGGGCCGCAGCACTGACCAGCCTGCGCCCTTGATGCGCAGAGAGCCAGAGCGCCAGCGAACATCGCGAGCCGCCGTGTCGATGCTGCCCGAGCCGCGATTTAAGTCGAAGATCCCAGTACCGCAGCGTATCCATTCAATGCTACCCGTCCCTCCGCCACGCCGTTCCAGCGCGCTGGTAGAGAAAAGCCTCCCTCCGCCGCCGCGACAGGCCTTCACATCCCTTCGCCCACCTCCACGCTCGTTGGACTCTGGTTCTGGGTCTACATCGTCGACCCCACCCGCTACAAGTCCCGGCCTGCCCTCGACTGGGCGTTTGCCTGCACCCGCATCTCCGCGTCCCGACTCTCTCCTGTCCACCGCGAGCTGGGGTTCCTCCGCAGGCGTCCGCCTCTCTGAACGGCTAGGACGAGTCGGACGCGGCTCCATTCCATGGCGCGACAGCCCGGGCGGCACGCCAGATCTATCCACCGGTTCAGAAAGCGAGGGCGTGGAGGCGCTCGAGGACAAGCAAGGCCCTCGCAGCCCCCGCTGCGTCGGCGACGAGGAAAGTGTACGCTCCACTTCGTCGTTGTCGCACTGCCCGACAGCGCTTCTTTCACCCGTCTCGAGCGTGTGCGCCACCCCATCCTCGGCAGCAGCGAACGGCGAAGGCCTGCTCTCGCCGTCGACCTCCACAGACTTTGGACTCGGTCTCGGTGTGCTCGTGCCGGGGCCGCGAAACACGTCGCCTACGCGCGAGATTGCAGGACTTAGGGACCGCAATTCAGTACTTGAAGCGACGAACTCGCGCCTCGAGGCCGAGCTGAGGCAGGTGCGCTCGAACCCGGGTCTACGTTCGTCGGTCGCGGCGAGCATGTACAGCATATCGTCGCTGGCCGTGCGCGACGACATCTCGATTGGATGGACAAGCCACAACGGTAGCTGCCTAGACCTTGCAATGCCGGCACTTGTAGCTGAGATTGACCAGCTCAAGCGTTCCGGCGCGGCACTCCAGGCAGAGTTACAGGGCCTCAAGACCCAGGTATCCCTGCTCCTTCCACCCACTCCGCAGGAGTTGGCGGAGACTGAGACGAATGACGGTTATGTTCCCGGAGAGAGGTACATTCCGTCAGCAACATACGCCCTGCCTCCTGGGCGAGTGCAGGAGGTAGCTTCTGACGCCGACGACGAGCGCGACACGCCTACGCCGCGCCGCCGCGAGGACAGCCTTGGCAGCGATCTTGCTACCTCGAGTGAGAGCCATTCAAGCGCGTACTCTACCTCGAGCGCCGACTCCTCCTCGCCACTCACACCTGACTCATCGGCCGATTGTCCTGCTCTGCCTAATATCACAGAGCTCGCGCTCGACGGCAAGCCGGGCGACCGCAGCAGCATCATAAGCCTTACGCGCGGGGGTGCGCCGCTCACCAAACTGCCTCCTCCTCGAGGGTATGCGCGTGCCCGCAGCCGCGTATCTCCCGTTAACGTGAGCAAGGCGAATGCCTTTGTGTCCGCCTCGGATCCCTCCACGCCAAAGGCGACGACGCCTAAGGCCCGTCGCATGCAGCGCAACAGCATTCAGCCCCCTCCCCGAAGCGCTGTTACGCCGCGCACTAGCGTTTTCAACATGGGGACGGCGGTGCCACCGGCACGGCCACCTCGCCGTCGGCCCGTACCAGCCGTCGCGGCCTAATTGTATCACACTATATACTTAATAACACACTACTAGCGTAATCACGATTCCTGCATAAAAAGTGAGCACTATAGGCCAAGCACTTGACGCTCTGGCCGTTCAGGCTGTTAAGACCGCACTCAGGCCATACCCGATCCGCTGCCGCTGCGCCACCTCCCAGTCAGGCTGATACACTGGTGGCACCTCGTCGCCGTCAGCCAAGAATCCAGCGTCCTCAGCCTGCACAGGTGATGGGCGGGGCCGCACTGCGTTGGCAGACGGCCTTGCTCGGCGAGAGGAACGACTTCGCGGCCGCTCCGCCTCAAGTTTATCCTCACAAGTGTGTGAGGGGCCCAGATCCGTCATGGGCGCATCAGAGCGAATGGGTTGAACCTGCGCAGAGGGGACATAGCCGCTAGTTGCGGTCATGTCAAGTGGGAATGAAGCTGAGGGAAGTGACCCAGATGTTGGGGAGAGCGCCAAGCTGCCTTCTGGAGACGATGGCTCGAGAGATCGCTTGGACCGACCGTGCTCTGCATTCCACGATCTGTTGTCGTGGCTGTTGTATTCGTAGCCGAACGGATACGGAGTAAGGTTATGCACCTCCTCCATATCCCGATTCGGGTCACGATGGTATCCTGGATCATATATGGCCTGGCCGCCGAGATCGAACTCGTCTTCCAGCTTGCGATGACGCTCCCGCTTCTCGTACCATCGACAGCTGAAGAAGAGGAGCGTGGCCAGAATAACAATGAAGGCAAGACCGCCGACAGTTGTGCCGACGATGAGACCGGTGTTATCCGACAAATTGACCACGGCAGGTCCCTGGCTCTGGAGGCCGCCCGACGGGGTGTGGGTAACTGTCATTGTGCTGTCGGAGGGCCTTGCCCCAGATGGGCCGGACGTACTGCTTGTTGAAGAGCTCATCGACGTTTTAGGTGTGTCTTGTGGTGGACTGGTAGACATGGAGAATGGGGAAGAAGTGTTTGATGGGGCGGTCGAAGTAGGACTGCTCGATGGCGGACTGCTGCTTGGGGGTGCGGTTGAGCTAGAGGTAGTGCTAGATCCCTCCCCTGGGAGAGGTCGCGCATTGCAGGTACACTCTTCACCCGGCGGGCAGGGGAGAACAGCCTGAAGTCCACTGACAATGACTGCAGTGGCATTGGACACCACACCTGACACCTGGACGGTCAGGCGCCATCCTCCGGCCAAGTTCACCACAGGCCAGAGCACGCCCGTGGTCAGCGTCGACAGGCTCTGGAGCCGTTCTTCCCTTCCAGTTTGGCTAGAAAGTACGTCTCTGATATCAGTGACTGCCCACACCTCTGATTAAGGACCCACACGGTGAAAGGGGGAAGCGCGCCAGGCCACGTCCAGCTTATCGCGGCGGGCTGACACGAGCGCAGTGGCTCGACAGTCACGATCGGCGGCAGGGGGCCGGAGGGCGTTGCCATGGTATTGAGGGAAATGCGAACGACGAGGAGCAAGAAGCATGATCAGTAAAACAACGCGTCAGTGTTTGCGTGCACTAGTGGTTGGGGAAGTCGCCAACACGGTGCTTGGGGCGGTGTTTGCTTCTACTGGCAGGGTGGCGTCCGCGCCGACTTGACACTCATTCCGAGCGGGCGAAGCACTTAGTCACTCTCCGCATTCCATGTCCGCGCTGGACTTCGATCTATTGAAGGTCATATCCTGTCAAAAGCATACATTCCTCAGGTTCGGGTTTGCCGGCTCACGCTCCCACAGGCATGTTTGGTTCGAGATGCCGGGGCTGTGCACGTATTGAATGCTGCCTACACGGTTTCGCCGTCTCCGGCTGAGCCGCTGAGTGAGACCGCTTAGGCTTGACTCCTGCAATGATTGTACATAAGGTGGATTGCAACTTCCGTTGCTATCTCCATCGGAACACAAGCTCTCTAGGATCACACGCGGAAGTCCTACTGCTCCACGTTAATGCGCCGAAGACGGTCAGCCTCCCACTCCTGACGGTATAAAGGGGGCAGAATGCCGTCCTCGACAAAGCCCGCGTCCTCTGCATGTGTAGCGCGCCTTGCCTCTTGAGCCTTGGTTGCGCGAGCTGATTGAAGCGTGTGCGTGGGCGGATGTGATGACCCAGTGAGCCGAGGCGCTTCCTGGCGGGAGTGGCTTCGCTGCTGAGACTCCACCCGTTCGGGCTGCAGACGAGCAACGGTCGGTCGGCACTCCGGTCTAGGCGGAAGGCCTACCAGCGCGGCTGCAGTTGGGAGGAAGTCAGTGGTTGCTCCTCGCGGCTCGCTGAAAGGCCTGGCCACGAGGTCGCGTCGCCCAATACCTGCCAGCCCACTTTGCCCCGATGTCGACGAGGGCGATGTGGCTCGTGATGGGTGGAAAAGCGTGGCGGGCGAGTTGGACCGTGAGTCTGAGAGTGAGTTCGCATTGGCCATGGCTGGCCGTAGATAATGCGCATGGTAGACTTCAAGACACTCGCGTTGAACCTCGTCGGAAAAGAACGGCGCTGGCGCTGGCTGGTCGAGGTCCTCGTCGATGCTGAGGCGCCGCGACGGGGCATGGGTGTGCGAGGAGACGCGCCTTCTCCTCGTCAGGCAGAGCACGGCGAGGAAAGCAATGATGGCCACTGTGCCGCCCACAACACCTCCAATCACCGGGGCGAGGTTGTTTGCGCGTTCAGAGGTGGGGGCGGGCGCATGCTCGGCCCCTGGGCGGGAAGGAGGGGCAGCTGTTGCCAACACTGACGCTTGAGAAACCTCACCAGATGGCTGTAGAGATGGCAGTTCACTCGGAGGTGACCACTCAGAGCTTTCGGACAGAGCCGCGAAATAGGACGACGGCGCGCTGGATCTGGACGAAGTCGAGTTCCTGGTGGTGCCTGCCGGTGACCGGTACGATGGCGTACCTGTACGTGTTGTCGAAACGGGTGGTGTGCACCCACACAGCCCGCCGTCCGCACATGGACGGACAGTTGTCTTGGGCGACACGAGGGACTGTCCCGTCCTGTCCGTGACCCCGATCTCGGCTTGGTACCCTGCCGGCGCCGGCAGAGCAGGAATGACGAAAGCAGAATCAGTGAGGTTCGTCCGCTCGTACGTGAGGCTTCCCTCACGCCACTCTCTGTCGTCAGCAGAGCTGGCAACGTACGTACAGGACGTAGATGCGGTATGGGGGAGTCGAGCCTGGCCAGGTCCACGAAACCCGCATGCTCGCACACTCGGTGAAAACGTCGTGGATGGTGAGTTCCCCCTGTGGCCTGGTGATATTGGAAGCTTGCCGTGCTTCTAAGGCTCTCCAGGCGAGGGCAGATGGGGCGGGGGTTATCAACACGGCACCCATAGCCTGCGCGAGGAGGTAGAGGACGCCGAGGCGCATGGTGAAGTAAGAGGCGGTGATGGCGTCAATGAATCGAGCACGATGGATAGGAGTATGTGTCGGTCGGTGAGAGGGGACTTCTCCTTCTACCTTTGTCCACCTCCTCCTGTTTGTACAAGCAATGGCGGGCGACTGCTCGAAACATGGCGGCCTGAGCGTGCTACCCCCGAGCCGCCCATGTCCGCGTTACTCGGCGGGGCTGCCACGAAGTCTGATCCGGTCCCCTTCGTCAGAGAGGTTACAAACTCAACAGTGTTCGGATTACAGCGGCTTGAGGCGTACGGCGTGAGCTCCTGAGAAAGAGGTCAATATGCAATGATCACACGCCAATGCAATGTAAACAGCAACTCGTCAACATGTCAGCTACAGGTGCTACTCACATCTTAAACCGATGTGCTGTCTTTCCATCTGCGCAGCTGTGATTAACCTTCCGATCTGACAAGAGTACCGTTTGCGACACCAGCTTGGATCACTTCATGCGCCGATAGTAGCTCAAGACCAGGAATATGACAAGTACCAAAATAAGGAGAGTATGTCGCTGCGCTATTAGATGAGAGATTTCAAGAACAGGCACGTGGTCGGACATGGCCGAACGACATTCAACCATCACCTAAACATACTTTGTAGGCGCGCACATTTGATGCTTGACGAGGTTATTGGAGGGAGGAGGGGGGCTGTGGGGACTGCAATGCTTTGGCTGTATTGGAAGGCACAGATCATTACTCACATCATCCACGTCCTGTTCCGTCCCCGCCCCGTTCCCCTGTAATTGCACCCCGCCATGCACAAGCGAGGCAAGGAGATTAGCGCTTGGGCTGGGGTACGAGAACGAGAAGAGCGGGCTTGGCGCCAACACCGCATCCTCGGGTGCCTCCATCCCGTGACCCTGCGACGCGTCAGGTCCAGTCGCGTCCAGTCATGCATCTCCGTTGACTCGACAACTCGCACATCGCTCTAGCTCTTCCCAGCTGCCATCCAGCGGAGTCACTGTGCCTGTGGCCAGTGAAGCATAAAGTCGACGACGCTACTCTTGTCCGATCTGTATCGTACATCTCCTTCCCATTCACCTCCACATCTCTTCACCATGGCCGCTACAGATGTCGCTAAGTATGCCGAGCAGCGCCCGCGAGGCATGTTTCCCTTGGGGGTTGACGATGAGGAGTGGCGCAGCAACACGATCACGGTGCGCGAGCGCGCCATGCTCATGTTCATCAACTCGGTGACCGACAAGCCCGAGTGGGCGCGCAAGGTGCATGACGAGACGATCGTGGCCAAGTGGAAAGCCGAGCTGGCGGACATGGTCGCCAAGGCGGGAAACACACGCGTGTCCGAGGGCGGGAGCCTGCTCGTGAACGGCTTCTCGGATGCCATGTTCGAGTACTGCCTCCTCGAGCTGCGGGACAAGGCGACAGCGGATGAGGCCTCGGCGCGCGACGGGACGGGCGGCATCACAATGGTGCTCGACACTGCCGCAGCCGTGTTCAAGGCTGACGGACGCGTCCCGGAGGATGTGCGCGCCTCCCTCCTCGATGCTGTCAAGCCGCTTGAGGCGCAAGAGCCAGACTGGCACCCCGGTAGCGATGGCAAGGTGCTCGACCTTGTCCACCCGTCTCTCTGGCCTCTGGTGTACGGGACGACGACGCAGCTCGACTCGGAGATGGGCATGGACGAGGCCATCTCCCTCATAGGCTCGGGCGAGGTGGTGCCGGTGCCAACGGCGGCGTCGCTCGGCCTCGGCAAGCCCAGCCGCCGCCGCATGTGGAGCAAGCGCTTCCAGTGGCTGCCGTGCGAAATCTCGTTCGGGCCCGACGGCAAGGGCCAGGCGCAGGTCACGAGCTACATCAACAATGCGCATCCGGCGGAGCATGCTGCGCTGTACCCCGTTGTTGCGCGCGTGATTGACGCCGCGCTGCCAATGTTGCAGGCAGCCTATGATTGCGTCATGAGCTATCCACACGAAAACGTGCTGGACGCCAAGGACCTCGAGGAGGCCGCATTCGCACGCAAACGCATCATCTGCAACGAATCGAACCGCAAGTGCACTGTGCCGGAGCTCTGCAAGACGTCGTGCAACGGACGCAACATTCCCAAGGAAGAGATTCCGGAGGGCATAGACGAGGATGACGACAATATGTACGAGATCGAGTCTGAGTGGTTCTACCGCGTGCACCCCGTCGCGCAGCCGGAGCCGCAAGCGTACGGCACCCTGCCAGCCGTGCAGTACCGCACCGCAGGCCCATGGTTCCCCGCTGCCGCGCGCCGCCCCATCGGGCCCCTCACCGCCGAAGAGGGCGCAGCACAGGAGGCATACCTCGAAGAGCGCAACAGGCCGGTCAAGGAGCGGCTCGACGCCATCAAGAACGCGCGGGACAAGTTCTATGCAGCGAGGAGGGAGCACTACCAGCTCGCGCGTGAAGCAATCGAGCGCGGCGAAAAGCCGCCTCCCGCGCCCGTGATGGAAGCCGAGCCGCCCCGCGTTACCCTGCCGCCCGAGGACTGGCCTCTCCCCGCCGACAAGCGGCTGCAAGTCATTGTCAAGCTCGCCAACATTCACCTCACGCCAGAGAAACCGCGGTATGACGGCGGCAGCTGGCATTTCGAGGGACAGGGTCCGTGCGCGAGAGCCGACGGAGCTGACGGCAGCGAACGAGCACATTGTCGGCACAGCGCTCTACTACTACGACGTAGAGAATGTCACAGAGTCGCGCCTGGCGTTCCGCACTGTGTGTGATGCCGAGGACTACAATGAGGGCGGGTTCGAGTGCGTCAACCGGCCCTGGCTGTTGGATACTTGCTGACTCCAGGTACGAGCAGGGCGACCACGAGCCATTCGACATCCTGTACGGCGTCAATCCAAGCGGATGGAGCGAGAGCAAAGTCCAGATGCTCGGTGACGTCGCGACCACGGAGGGGCGCCTGCTCGTGTTCCCTAACGTGCTGCAGCACCAGGTGCAACCGTTCGAGCTCGTGGACAAGACGCGCCCGGGCCACCGCAAGATCCTCGCCCTCTTCCTCGTCGACCCCGCGGTGCGCGTGCCCTCCACCGCGACGGTCCCGCCCCAGCAGAAGGAGTGGCGCGAGGCGTCCGTTCTTGACGAGCGCCTCCCGCCCGAGCTCAGCCAAATGATCTTTGACAATCTCACTGTGCCATACGGCCTCGATAAGGCCAAGGCGCTCCGGGAAGAGTTGATCGAGGAGCGCAAGGCTGTCGACAAGAACGTCGACGAGATCATGAGCGAGGAAACGTGGTGCTTCTGTGAGCATTAGTGGATTGGCAGGGTGATGTGAAGAGATTGGGGCGGCCTGGGGCGGGTCCCCTGGCAATGCAGCACGACTTCCAGATTGCTGGTGGTCGGCTATGAGCTGGGCCCAAAGTCAGTAGAGTGCGTCCTTAGCGACTCTCGACTTGCTCAGCGTCATGAAATCGTTCATTCTCGTACAACCGATAGGACAACGTGTGGATCTCGTCAGTTCATCCAATTATGACGGGTTTCGTCAAGCGCTTCAGTCAGCCAACGCTCGGGCACTTAACTCACGCATCCTTGGACCCGTCGCGCTTGTCTTGTCGCAGCCACTTATGCAAGCTGCCGCGCCTGCGACCCTCCTGGGGTTGATGTACCTCCCCTCGTGGCGGGGAACTTGCCGCCTCGCGCGGAGCAGCTACGACAGACGTAGTTGTGGACACGGGGCTATGCTCGCGCTCCTCGTGCGCGTTCCCGTTCTCGTTCTCGTTTTCAGCCAGATGCGCAGATGGATGCATCTGTGGCGGCGGGACAGGCAGAGGGTTACCGTGGCTCGCGCGCCGCAGCGTGTTGCGCGCGCGTCGCCCCACCTCCGCCGCCGCAGTACTCCACCTGCGTCCCGGGGCGGGGTCGTCGTCCGCCCAAGGGCGTGAGCCAAGCGAGCGGCGACGGAAGCCGACCTGCACACCAACGAGGTAGGGATCGCCAAAGGGGTCGGTGTCCTGCGTCGCGAAGCGAGGACCGCCGGGCCGCGGGAGGAGACACTCGGTCGAGGGCGAGGCGTAGATGCGCACCGGGTGGTGATAGAGCGGGACGTCCATAGCAGACGGCGGGGTAACGCGGTGAGTGTGAGGAGGTAAGTGATGAGGTGAGAGTGAGAATGGATGTGAGTCAAGATAAGACGGTAGCGATTGTGGCCTGCGCTGACCGCGTACGAGGTCATGTCCATGCCAGTGCGGCATGCCAAGGCTGAGAAGAGGTCATGTGCCGCCTCGCGACGCCGCCACATGGTTCTATCTTTACGGGCACAGCGCCAGCGCAATTGGATGTCAGGCGTCTCACGCGTTTCGCTCGACGAAGCTCCACTTGAACCTGTGCTGCGTGGAGAGCAGAGCACGTTTAGCACAAGCAGGCAGTCACATGGACTGATGATGATGGATGCGGAAGCGGGCGATGATGCAATTGGGTACTGTCAATCGCCCGGCTCAGGCCCTGGGTGGGATTCCATTCGCGCCGAGACCGAGATGTGCCCGAACATGTCACAGTCAATCGCCGAGCAAGGCAAGCCGCCGACAGAGGGAGGTTGGTCACGGCGTACGTGTTGCAGCGGGCCTCCCTCGGCATGCACCCATTGCGATTTAGAGGCCGCCCTCATGCTGCTTGCATGAACGCACTCGACAACAGTGCATCTCCTATGCTACATGCCATCTTCATTGTTAATGTACATTGCACACCTCCGATCTGCCCCAATTTCCCCCTCGCGCACATCACTCGCCGCGAAGGGGTTACCAGAAGAGGTCCGTGCGACGCTTGCGCTTCGGACCTTCGGGGTAATCCTCTCGCGGCGGGGGAGCCGTCCACATCGGCGGCGCCCACTCGCGCTCAGCCTCTCGGCGCGGTACAGGCTCGTCGTCGTCGGGTATAGCCGCGGTGACGAGCTGCCAGAGGCTGGGGCCCATGGCGTTGCGCATCTCATCGCGGCGACGCTCAGGCTGGGTCGCGTCATGTGGTGGGCTGTGCGACGTGCTCTGCGTCTGCGGGTCACGGCGCGCATAGTAGTCTCCATCGTCCTCGCCATCGCCATTGCCACCGCCATCATAGCTCGGCGCTGCGTCGTGCGGTTCCGCTGCCTCGCTTGCTTCCTCTGTGTGACCATTGCTCGTAACCGTCCGCGTCCGCTGCAACCCGCAGCACGCGTCACGGAACATGAGAACATCAACAGGCTGGCGCATCGTGTGGTCCCCCCACCATTCGTTGCGTGCTGCCCGCTCCATACTTGCTGTAGGGGCCGCGACGAACGGGCGACGTAGCTGGATCGTCAGCGAAGAACGCTCGGCCACGTGATTGTGACTCACTACTTCTGGGTCGACGCGCTCAATTGCCTCTTGCACGCCAGGAAGATTGAGTAGGAACCATAGCGCGTTCTCACACTGCTGCGCGCGGTGTTCTGCGCGTCGTGACATGCCAGCGACTGGACCACTGGATGTTAGTAATGACGGACGAGGCGGCGTCTGAAGGCATGCTGTAGAGACAAAAGAAGGACGTGCAACTAACCGCCTAGCCTGAGGTGGGGGGTAGACACATTCTCCCTCGAGCTTGAGCTTCTTGCAAGTTCCGCACACTGGGCGTTCATGGTCGCACTAGGGTGAGCGGCGGGAGGTATTAAAGGGAGGGAGGGAAGCTCACTCGTCTCTTCTTTGCGATACAGCGGTTACAGGCGCGGTCTGCCATGATTCGATGGTAGATCTGAGAAGAGCGCAAAGGTCAAGATGGTGAATGCGAGTCGCGAGCGAGACGACAGCGATGAGATCAAGATGTAGGTCGAGATGGATTGTGCGGAGTGTAAATGCTCCGCTCCGGTCCCCGCTCATTTCTCCTTGCAACAATTTTGATCCCGCCTTTGCTTTGGAGTCGTCTTCTGAGAATATTTCTCAAAGACCACCCCTCTTGACTGGACTGACTTGCCTCTCGCGCCGAGCTCACACTCAACTCACAAAACACAATCGTACTAACTATAGGGGATGCATGCAAGCACTACACGAACCCCAGAGGGCGGGAGGCGGCGTACGCCGATGTGATAGTCCTCCCTTAGCCCCACCTTGGCTGAGGTCCGCTTACGAGCAGGCCTGGGCGAAGAGGCCCCACCAGGGGATGGTGGAGAGGCCGGTAGCGCCGTTCCAGCAGGTAAGGCAGGGGCCGAGGCTGTTCCAGGCGCTCTGCGAGCAGATGGGCTGGATGCAGGTCTCCCACTCGGCCTGAGTCGGCTTGTCCTTGCAGGCGTTGTAGACGCTGGGGTTAGGGGCGGAACTGGAGGCCGAAGAGAACCTACGGGAAGAACTGGCTGCAGACCGAAGTGCAGGCCGAGGGGAAGCTCGGACCCTGGCGCTTGTCGTTCTCGACGGCGACGGGCGACGCGAGGGCGACGGTGGCGGCTTGTGATTAGTGAAACGAGACAGGGGACGAGAGGAGGGAGAGACGGGAGGGGTGAAGAAGGAGGAGATGGAGGCCGAGGCCGCGGTGGTGAGGCAGAGCAAACTCACTAGCAAGGGCAGCGATGACGGCGACCTTCATTGTTGTTGTTGGTGTTGGTGGTGGGGTGGGTGGGCTGTGAGGAGAGGAGAGGAGAGAGAGAGAGAGTTGGCTGGCGAAACTTGACGAGCAGTAAGCGGCCTATTTATCTCTTCCCAGCGTCCAGCTGGCCAAAGGAGTTCATCTCACGAAAACACCCAAAAATGCACTCGGGCCCATCTCACGCCTCGCCCCCCCCCCTTGGTCCCTCCCTCACTCCTTCTCGCCCTCCGTCCCAACCCCTCCTCCTCAGCTTTCACGACAAGCCTTCGCCAGCTCAGTCACATACAAACCACCATTGTTCCCGCCCCTTCCGAGGCCGTAGTGGGAGACGATACGACGCGCGATGCATTATGCAGTATGCAGAGATGACCGATCGTGCCCGTGCAGTGGCTGGGGCGGTGGCTTGTGTGCGGCTGTGGCGCGAGAGTGGGTGTGGGTGGGTGAGTGTGCCGATTCCAACAAACCGCCTTTGTGAGATTGCGAGGTCGAGGGAGGCTGGAGAAGCTACGAGCAGGCGGGACAGGCTCGGTGCAGGGCCCTTGTGAACGGCGGTGGCATGTCCGCTCCGCCAGCAAAAGGGTGACGTGAGGCAGCAGATTATCATATCTCGTCCGCTCGCCGCGGATCGGCCTGTGGACGGCACCCGGCTTGCTGAACCACCACCCCACGCCCCCCGACACACACCCCGCGCGCCGCGATCTCCGGGCTGCATGGATAGAACGGCCGTCGTCCGCGTGGCGCATTCCAACCGCCCTGCCACACGCCAGCCCAGCAGCCCAGGACGCCCACATGCGCAGGCACACACCCCCGATCTAGAACCCGTCCGGGGGCACCGGATGGAGTGCTGTTGTTTTCGCGTCCTGTCACTCCAGTGTCCACTGTGCACCGAAACATGTCAGCTGTCAGCTCAATGATCGCGGACGGGCTTGTGCTGCTGGCGCGTCCCGACCTCACTCTTCGGATCGTCGGTATCTGGTCGTTTCCCGCAAGCTGACCACAACGCCACAGGCACGCATACGGCCTCGTTGGGTGCTCGTGGCGCATGGCTTGTATATCCTCGTCCTGCGTCACTGATGCACTCGTGTCTTCTAACGTGAAGCCACATGACCCCGATCTCAGTGACATGCTTCTTTTCCAGTCGACTGGAACCGCACTGTGGCCTACGGCGGCCTCATGACTTTGTGTGAGGCGACAATTGACCAGCGAACAATAAGCGGAGACTCACTCCGACACACGCCGCACGCTCGGGCGGGGTGTTGCATCTGATCGACGATGCGATGGGGTCGCAGGGGCCGCGGCCGTGCCAGATGGATGCATGGATGAACGCTTGCGGGCAAGATCTACGCCGCCTCCAGTGGCTGCCGTGGCGCATGTGATGTTCGGCGCGCCCGTGCGGAGCAACGGCCGCCGGCTCGATGCGCAGCACGCAGCGCCCCAACGCTACAACGTGACAGCCGCATGTGAGGACCTCAGCCTGCGATCCACAATGTGGGACGCCGAATTCTGGACACAGAGGTCATTGCAGGCCGTCTTCCCCATCTCACACACTCTCGTCTCACGCTTTCCCATCTCACAATCTCTCACCGAAATGTCAAGACTCACCCCCTCAAACTCGTCGTAGCTTACATTACGTCAAATCAACTTGAGTACAACATCTGTCGGCATTGTCCGTGCTCTCTCAGTCTACTTTCGATCCGCCTCTTGCCGAAACCTACGCCCGATCGCCAAGACGCGCGAATCTGCCCCGCCAGCTCGACTTGTGTGCCGGCTGTGGGCGCGCCGGCTGAATCTGAGAACCCTGCGCGCCCTCGTCTTCATCTTCGTCATCTTCGCTCAAGCGCCGCGACCTCTTATCCGTGTCCTTGTGTCCGCTGTACCCGATCAGCGTTGAAGTCGAGGCGGACGATGGCCCGCGCGAGAGCGACAGCGGCCGCGCAGCATTCTTGTCCGGCTGGTGCTGGTACGGCGCTTGCGCGTACAGCGGGGGCGGCGGGTACTGTGTCTCGGTGTACGCGGGGGGCGTGGCAAGCGGGTCGTAGCCCGAGGACGGGGAAAACTGGGGGCGTGCGAAAGCTCGCGCGTGCGCATCGCCGTACCCGCCAGGGCCGTATGCGCCGTCCCACTGCGCCTGATGGGCGCGGCGGCGCCGCTTGACGGTGTACGCGTAGAAGAGGTAGGCGAAGAGGGTGCAGCCGAGGACGAAGGCGACGAAGAGAATAATGTCCGAGGTGCGGGGACCGTCCCAGTCGCGCGAGTCGGGCGCGGCAGATTGGAGAGGAAGTGGGGCGGGAGTGATGGTGGGCGTGAGGGTGGATTCTACCACCTGTGCGCGCACGCCGAGGCGGGAAGAAAGGACGAGGGCCGCGGCGAGGACGAGTGCGGAGAGCATGGGGGAGTGTGATGAGGATGAGGAGAGAGCGGGAGAGCGAATCGAGGGAGTTTGTCAAACGCAAAGATAGGATGCTGTGTTGTTGGCGCCAAGACTGTGCAGGTGTGAGCCTGGATGTATGCTTGTCCGGGTGCCTGAGAAACCCCAGCTGACTACGGCATTCTCTCTTCCCAGCATCGTGCTGTCGTCGTACTCTCACAATGTTCCCCTTGCCACAGTCTCCTTACCATGATTGCCAGGCCATGCACCAAGCAGACAGTACTCGTAGATGTTGGCACCGTCTGGTGCAACCAGCACGGCCTGCTCCACGCTGGCAAAAGAAAGCCGTCGGCGGGTTCAAACAGCCCGGAATAGACCTGCAAGCTCGGCACCTACGCGCTCGAAGGATACCTTCAGGTCGAGTATCCGCTGTAAAGCACCTGTCGTCGGGACACGACGATCGAGATGGCATTGTAACATGGGACAGTACACTAGAGACTGGTCGGCTTCACTCCGCGACTGGCGGTCCGAGGGTGGAGCGGGAATGATACGGCCGTCGGCATCGCTGCACCGGCGTGACAGGTGGACCAGTCCGCCGGCCGCCGAGTGAGTTGGACGTGCGGTGCGGTCGTGTTGACGCAGACGCGTGTTGGGGCAGACGCGATTCTGAGGTAAGCGCGGCTGGGCACCTGGGCACACCCGCCTCCTTGCCCTCTGGATGGCCGCCTGGCGTCTGCTCTCAGGGGATAAAGAAAACATATGGATCCATACAAGAGGTATGATACAAACAGTGAGCGGGCCATGGCGGGCGTGGAAGAGATTGTGGAGGGGTGGCAGTTCGCTCGTGTCGCATGCCGTCGCGGGTGGCAGTTCGCTTGTGTCGTGTCGCGTCCATCCTCGCCTCCAGAACGGGCCTCTGCGCCAACGACAAGCAGCTCGACGCCAGGCGGGCCCGGTCGCGCCCCATCACATTCTCTCGTCTGCCAGCGGCGGCCCCCGGCAGCCCCTCGCCCCTCCCCGCTACGCATATGCGCTGGGCACTAGCCGCACGACCTCGTCCGTCTGACCCGGCTGGTCCGTCTGCAGCGACGCGATCGTCACATGGTGTCGTGGCGAGAGACTACACCCAGTGGGGTGAGGCACTTGAGTCTGGCAGTCGCCGATGTGGTGGCCAGCAGGCAAGTCTAAGAGACTGGAAGATATATACGTTGGTCGTTAATGAGTAACGATGATGCTATATACTATTACAGACACTTACGTCCAGTACAAAACAAATCAATAAAAAACAAAACAACGAAAGGAGTACAAACAAATGTAAATGTGGACTCTGCGAGCCGAGTTAGATGTGCAATCGGGCCATGTCGGTGGACAGACCGACACTCCGGCCCATGTCCCGGCTTTGATGTTTGTGCGCAGCGGAGTGTGTGATACGGTGGCGAGATGGTTCGCGGGCAGGCTGGGCGAACTCGCCAAGCAGGTATGCTGTGTCGAGCCGAGGTCGAAGGTTCAATGGATATGGTTGATACGAGTTTCCTTCAACGTGAAACCATTGCATCATTTGCGCGACGGATGAGCGGACCACATCGCGTGGAACGGGATCGATAATGCGAAAGGGGAGGGCGGCCATCGCCAGGTCATACGCAATGTCGATGAAATCGCGGACCATTGCGCGCCACTGCGCGACCGTGTCCCGCTCCGGCCACGCCGGCGAGAACTTGCCATACGAGGCCGAGTTACTAAGTGTGAGCAGGGAAGACTGCGGAACGAGAGGAAACAGGAAGAGCCAGCAAACGCACAGTTGAGAAACCTTGTCCAGCACGGCTAGAACGAAGCAGCGCCAGGACATGCGCATCGACCGGTTCCTCTTGCGTACCAGAGCAATCCATGCGCGAGTCGCCCGTCGCGCTCCTGCGGCTAGAATGCTGCCTGTCGGATCTACGTGCCGAGGCTGGGTGTACTCGGGCGCATTGTACTCGTCACGGGGAAAGTGGAGGAGGGAGGGGGGCAAGTCGGCGGCGGTGAGCGTCATATATACGCGAGAGATAACGTGGGTTGTCGAAGAGACAAAGAGGATGGACGATGAAGGACGATGATGCGATGAACGACGATGGGTGACTGTGGTGAACAGGAGAGAAGGAAAGGGAGAGGAGAAGGACGACGATGTATGACAATGTACGTTGTAAACATGGAAATTAGGCATGCGTCTTGCTACTGGAGGTGGCAAAAAAGGCCTCCGGGTCCGACTGATTTGGTTTTAGGCGCGCGGAAGTTTCATGTTGTTTCTGCACGAGCCACGTGGTCTCTCGACTGAGTTCGTATTGATCCATTGATCAAATTGATCAATTGGTCGGAGATGGCAGTGAGGGTCCACCGTGGGAGAGTGCGTGCGAGAACTACAGCTCAAAGTCACGGCATCGAACCCGGTAACGGCATCTCTCAACTCTTTAAATTGCTATTGATCCCCACCTATCGCCACTCTTTCCTCATATCCTCGAGCAGGATTCACTTACGCTGCACTTGGCATGACTCCTTGACAACATGGCCTGCATCCCCATCGAAGACCAGCCGGCTCGATGCAGTCACCCAATTGCCACCCATCAAAGCTCATGTTGGAGACCCGAGTCATGCAACCACCCGTCTACCCTTGGGATGAGGGTTTACGACATGGCCATGACGGCAGATTCAATGTTCACCATTGCACCCGACCAACTACTGTAGCTGGAACCCCTCCCTGCATTCCAAAGTACTGTATCAGCTGCTCGTAACAGTTCAATCATGCCCTTGAGACGCTAGGGCGGGAGGCACACTGCGTTTCAGCGGAAATGGCGCGATATCGATGCACCTCCCGCAACCGCAACCTAATGCTGAGCCAGGCACTGGCACTTGTCAGCCCCTCTCCCAGTTCCCATCAACACAACCAACGACGAGTCCTCGGTACAGCGTGCGGCGGCCCAGAAACTCTGCACTGCACACTCACTCTCACTCTCACTCTCGTTCCATCGCCATTGTCATCTCTCATCTCGCTGACCCCGACGCAGTTTACGCTCTTGGGCATTGAGCTAATTCCGCATCGCCCGCGGATCCACCGCCGCTAGACGACCGGCAACTGCAGACTCCACCTCGCATTTCATTTCAGAACATGGCCGCTATCCCCATGGTGGCGGTTGCCGCCGCGCCCGTCCCTAAGACTGGCCCCGCCTCCTCCTCGACCGAATGCCTCATTCCTCACCGTCTAGGCAGCAGGTGGACGACGAGCTGGACCGACCCTGTGGGCTTTGACGCCCGCGACGACAAAGAGACTATGAGCGTGCGCATGTGGGGCGGCCGCAGCCGAGGCAAGAAAGCCAAGACCAACTCGAAGGCGACGCTGGGCAACAGCTCGAGCGACGAGGACAAGCGTCGCTGGACGTCGCCAGCGCCAGCATCCTCTGACGAGCGGAGACACACCTTTGGCTACGACGATGCCCATTCTTTACCCAAGAAAAAGCGCTACAGCTTTGTGCCGGCCCGCATGGCGCCTGCGCCACCGCCCGAAGCCCCGCCGGCCGCGAGTGCTGAGGCGGCCCACGCTTCGGCGCTCGCCAAGCTGACAGCCTCGCCGCCTAGTGCGCCTCGCCGCTCATCCGAACGAAACACGCGCCGTTTTAGCCTCAAGAGCTTGCCAGCTCGCCCACCTACACCAGAGGCCATCCCCCCCGCACCCCTGCTGAGCCTCAAAGACGTCAAGGGCGGCATGTCGTTCGCGGCCGAAGGCAGAGGCGGAAACAAACGTGGCTGGGGCGAATACGACGCCTTCGGTGCTGTCCCCGCCAAGCTAGAAGCAGCCGACGGCCACCAAACCCCACCCAAGGCCAACCCCTTCGACGGCGGATTCACTCCCGTCTCGCCCAATCTCGGCGAGGAGCGCCGCGCCAAGCGCCTTAGTCGGCACGTCACGGGCGAGCGTGTTATCCCCCCGCCCCTCCCCGCGCCTGCGGACATGATCGCTGCCACCAGCCCCTCAGTGGCTGAGCAGCGTGCCGAGAGGCATCGCTCTGCCCCCGTTGGGCGGCCCGTCACTCGCACATTGCGTCGCAAGCCCGCTCCTAAGGCCGACGAAGACCTGCTCCAGAGCGAGAGCGGGCCAAGTGGGCAGACCACTCCGCCTAGCGCTGTTGGTGGCGGGTCGGCAAGTGTCTCCAGCGAGACACGGCCAGGCGCTGCGGTTGCGCGTGGTTCTGGTGCTGGCGAGGCTACACATGGAGCCGGGGTTGCCGCTGCTGCTGCTGCCGCGCTAGGGGCGGCGGCCTTTGCCCCAAAGTCGATCGTCGATATTCGTTGCCCGTCTCCAGCAGCCTTGGGAGCGGCCGCGTTCAACACCGCGCCTGCTCCTGTAGCAGACACCCTGGTGAACGGACCTCAAATAGAGGCCGCTTCATCGTCTGCTACTACCCCCTCAAGCGCAGTACACACGGCGAGTCCTCTAGTAACATCCCCTCCGGCTCCTCGCGACCCGGTGGCACAATCTCCGCCGAGTGGATGTGCGACCGAGGGCACTTGTCGTGACTCAACTATGAGCCTCCAGTCCGACTCGACGATGCCCGCAGCGGCTCACGCTCGCCAAAGCTCCGTTTCCTCGACTGGGTCACTTCACACGGCGCTCACCGGATCCTCAGCGGCGGTAACCGCGCCAAGCTCCCCGGTGGTCGCGGCGTTCGCGCCCCCAGCTTTCTCCGAGCCCGCTGCGACAACGGCACATCTAAATCAGCATCAGCATCCTGCGCGCGCGCCATGGCCCATCCTCCCCGTTGTCCCCATCTCCACCATGCCGCCTGAACGCTCCAGACCCGTCACCCCCGTACCTTCAGCTTCTCCCATCCTTACTTCCCTGGAAGCGCAAGTGGATCTGGCGACTCCGCGTGCTGCTGCTGCCGCGGCTTCTGCAGCTGAGGACAGTGCGCTCCAAGACAGCGCACTTCTCCCGTCCAACGAGTCTGAGCCAATCGCCCCCGCGCTCGCCACGGTCGCAGCCCACCACGCGCTCACGTCAGCTATGCAGGAGACCCCCACGCGCAAAGCGCTGGCAATCAGCACTCCGCCGCGTCGTGCGCCAATCCCCGCCGCGTGGCAGTCGCAGGCTTCCCTCCTGGTTCCCGACGAGGAGCGGGCGAGCAGCACGACTCCGCCGGCCACGGCTGAGAGCGGAATCTTTCCTCAACACCGGGACGAGTTTGTCGATGCGTGCGGCCCCGAGGGGTTCGTCGTACCCCCCACTCGCAACGTCCCTGGTACTGGGACGGGCGTGGTTCTGGCAGCGACTCGAACCCACGCCCAGTCGAGCTCAACCTCATCCTCCGAAGCACGGTTCCGGTTGAAACCGAGCGACATTGCGCAGACTCCCCCATACTCGCCCCCGCGCCGTGCAGCCGCCCCCATGCCTTCAGCGTACGCCTATGACCGTCCAGCAAACCATGCGCGCGCCGCCGAGTCACTGCGCGCGCGCCACGGCCTGTCGCCCGAACCGCCTGAGGAGGCGCGGCACCTGCGAGTGAGCGCGTACGGCGTCCCGGAGCTGGATTTTACGCGTACGCCGCCGCCCGAGCCGGCCGACGACGTCGAGGTCGAGGCACAAGGGCGCAGTTCGAGCGAACGTGAGGTGCTGCAAACGCCTGCGCTGGGCGGAAGCACGCACACCACCCCCACACACACATACACACACACGCAAACCCCGCCATCGCAGCTGTACATACAGCCCATCTGGCCCCGCTCACGCGGACACTCGCGCACGAGTTCAGCGTCGCGCTCGACCACGAGTGCTGCAAGCGCCGCCCCGCCCTCGGTTAGCGCTTTCACCGATCGTCTGCCGCGCAATTTTGAGGCGGACGGCGGCGGCGTCGAAGGCCTCTTGTCGGCGCAACACACGGGCACTACCAAGGGAGGTGGGAGCAGCAGTGGGATGGCGACGGTCGAGAGTTCTCCGCGAGCGCCGAGCTGGATCGACCACGCGCGCCCGCCCAAAATTCTCGAGCTTGAGGCCGCGGTGGTTGCTGCGGCCGCCGCAGCCAGCAAGCCCTTTCCCACGGCCGGGACGGAGCGGCTGCACGACAGCAGTGATCAGGAGGATGCGGAGCGCGCGCGGGCTCAGGACGCGAGCACGACGCCAGCATCGTTCAGCCGCGCAGAGCGGGAGAGCCACCACTTCAGCCTCGTCGGCACGAACGGGCCACGCGCATGGAGCGCAAACGAAAGCACGACCGGACACGAGCGCACCACGAGCAGTAGCAACGGCCACGGTCGCGGAAACGGGAGCGCCTTCCCGCCTGCCCTGCAGCCCGTGTTCAACGCCCCGCCACCGCCGCTGCACTCGCCGAGTGCGCCACCTCCGCCTGCGAAAGACCACTTCGGAAAGTATCCGGCTGGACATACTTATGCAGCCGCCGGTGCGGGGTCGGCCGCGCGCGCCACGTCGCCGCCCGCCGCAGACCCGCCCTATCACGGCTCCCTTGGACGCGCCGCAGTGCCGCCGTTCGGCGCGAGCCGCTCCTCGCGCCCTCAAACCGCGGGCGATGCGTCGACCTCGCAGTTCGGCTCTTTGAGCCGCTCCTCGCGCCCCAGCACTGCCGGCGCCCCATCTTCGCACCCGTTCAACGCTGTGCGCACGCCTTCCAGCGCGGAAAAGCGCTTCGGCTCGCTCGGGCGCTCATGGCGACCAACTGAACGAGCAACGTCCCCAATCGAGCGCGCGACTTCGCCCCTCCGGTCCGCCTCACCCTTCACCCCGGCGCAGTGGGAGAAGCTACAGCCCATCAATGCGGCGCACGCGTCTACCCTTGCGCGCCTGGAGAACGCGTCGCCGACCCCGTCCCCGGCTCCAACCGATTTCTCCCTCACACACGAAGCCCATCCACACCCGCCGCCCAGCTTCCCCGGCGCGCGTGCGTCCCCCGAGCCGCGCCGCCGATTCTCGTTCCGCCCCGGCACAGGGAGCGGGCGCGAGAAGCGGAAGAAGCGCTTCTCGCTCCTCCCCGAGCGCAAGAGCTTCGACATCTCGGCGCCGGTGCCGGCCTCGGACGCGCCGCTGCCCGCTGGCGCGTGGCCCGCCGGCGGCGTCGGAAGCCGTCTCAGCGGCATCGCGCAAACTCCACTCCCGCCCCCGCCGGCGGTCAGCGCCATGGCGGTCGGCACGCCACGCCTCTCCATGCAGCCCGACGCCTTGGCCGCGCCCCGCGAGCGAGAAGCCCGTGATGCATCAGACATCCCAGAGCGGCCGGAGAGCGCGGCGTCACGCCGCTCCCGCCGCTGGAGCTTCAAGCCGGGCAAAAAGCAACGGCAGGGTGAGGAACAGGTGCCTCCTGTCCCCGCCCTTCCGCCTGTCCTTCCTCTGCCCAGCAGTTTCAACGAAGCGAAGGGGATGCACCTCTTCAACGCGGAAGCAGAGCCTGAGATGCGCGTCACGCCTCCCCAGGTCGAGGTCGAGGAGCCCAAGAAGAAGCGCGGCGGCAAATTCATGCGCAGCTTGCGCGGCTTGTTCAAGCATTAAACGGACACAGAAGCGAACATTAGATTATGACATTACTATTTACGAATGTATCCCTTACAGAGCAATATAAAGAGCCCCCAATCGGGACGAGGCCCATTGTGGACTCATCCTCGCCCACGGCCTCGCCCGCGGCCGCGCTTGGCGGTACCGCTCACACTGGGTGGTGCTTTGCGCTTGCGATTCCCCTCGTCCTCGCCCTCATCACGAGGCAACAGCACCTCGACGCCGACCTCGTCTTCGTCAATCGGCGGGAGGTCAAACGGTGGTGGCGCGTAGTTCTCCATTTTAGGATAGACGTCGCCTTCGTCGGGACTCTTGGGTGGCTCGCCAGCATCGGCTGCACGCGCATGCACGCGGTCCGAGAGCTCGTCGATTGCCGCGACGTCGGACACGATCGCTTCATGTGGCCGCAGGACAACATCGAGGGGGACGGTTGGCTTATGTCGCGGGCCGATACGTCCCTCATTTACGCGCTGCTGTCAATTCACAGCCACGAGGGTACTACCCACTTCAAGAATAGTCTTGCCTTGGCTGATGTGCGTTCGCGCAGCCGAGACGAGGGGGTGGCTCGGCGGCAGGTCCTTTGTCAGGTGCCGGATCAGGCTTGACGTGCCCGCGACGTAGTCGGCGACGAGGGGGATGTCGTTCAGGGCGACCATCCACGCGCCCGAGCTGCTCTTGCTGCGTGGCTCGAAAGAGCACATCCGCCGACCGCAGGGGAGGCAGCGAAGAAAGCCGCCGTCGCGGAGGCCCGCGTAGCATGTCTTGGGCTTTTTGCTGTTGCTGCACCCGTCACACCCGGCTGTTGTTAGCTGGCGCAAGTGGAGCGTCGAAAGTGAGGGACTGACGCTTCACAAGGGCCATGGGTACCTGCGGCTCGCCCTGTTGGATGTTGTACTTGGTGAGCACGCTTTGGAGGAATCGTGGGTTCTCGACCTTGGCAATGCTCTGGTTGATCTGCTCGAGCAGGGCCTGGGAGTCAGTTGGGCGGTAGGACTTTTTGCAGCTGCAAGCCAGAGGCCAGGGTGTGAGCGGAGGCTGAATCTCGCGTTGTCGGCTCCAAGAAGGCAGAGCTGACTGTTATGCAGCTGGATGGCGGGCATGACCTCTTCAACTATCATGGGACATGGCACAATGCAAACTAGAGGCGGATGGAGGTGCAAACAACGAAAACGACGTCATTTCGCGCCCAACCACCATTCAGAAGGGACGTGGGTGTGCAGGAACTCACCTGGACGCCAGGATCATTGCTGGGCACAAGCTCATAGGTCTGGTCGCCGATAGCACGCGGCTCTTCACCGTTGGACATGACAGCTTGCTGCAGCAGATGGATGGGGAGATGTGAGGATGGATGGATGAGAACGAGAAGGATGAGATCGAGTGGTACTTGAGCGAAACCGAATGGGAGATGATGGCATTTGATCCCGTCTCAAGCCAAAACGTCATTGTTTAGCTTACAATTCAGTTGTTTCACTCTTTATTGTGACTCTTCCTGTGCATCCTGCGCCTTGTGCCGCCAGCAGCAAACCAGGTGAATGTATAAAATGGGATTGGGTGCATTTTTAGGCCCTCAACTTGACTGATGGCAACAATGCATTGTTTGGGGCGGTGTGTAGACCGAGAAAGAGAGTATAGGTGACGCGCTAGCAACAACATGCCTCAGTCTGTCGGTTGTCAGCCTCGGTAGAACTCGCGGTCTCCTTTGCCGCAACCTGCGAAGACATCTTGTACCTCTTTTACCTCTGACGGCTGACGCAATGTAACCTGCCTTTTGTATGCAGGCTGACGACAAGTGCCACGATCCACAACATGGTGAGGAGCTTGTGCGATCACTCGGCCAAGACCACACGGAAGCATGTTTCCGATCTCGCAAGTCACATGACGCGCTCCACCCCAGGCCTTGATTGCGTTCCGACCATACAACTTCGCTTGCTCGTATGTCTTGCGCTCGCTTCGTCTCGTCTCATCGCATCCCTTCGTCTGCAATGTCGCTGGACGCCACTGCCTTTCCACACCTCCTGGACGCGATTATCGCCGCCTGTCCTCCCGACAGCCTCATCGCCCTCCGGCCCGTTAGTCAGGAACTAAATACGCGCACTACGGCCCTCCTCTTTTCTCATATCGTAGTGGTAGCCTCGCCCTCCAGCTCCTCCACGCCCTCCCCCGCGCAACTCATCCTGGCTACGCCGAGCGGACACCGCCTCCCCGCGCCGCCGCTGCCCGCCCGCGCGACGGCCTGTGCCTCACTGAACGCGACCCTTCGCCCGCTGCTACGACACACACACACCGCCACCCTGCGCACCATGACCCTCGCCGCGGCCAGCACACTCGCGCCGCTCCTGCCCCGCCTGTGCGTGCTGCACCGCCACACCCCGCAGCCGTGGGACAGCCCCCTCCTCAAAGCCGCCGTGTACGTCGACCACGTCGACCTCGCGCGCCCTGCCATCGCGGGATGTCTGCCGCTCGGCGACGTCCCGAGCGACCTGGACGCCCTCGTCCTCCGCTTTGCGTTTCATACCGGGCGATACCCCCCGCACGCTGAGCATCCCCCGTTCCCGGGCGGCGGCGCGCCACAGCCCCTCCCCGTACTTGAGGACATGGACCCGCCGCATATCCCAGCGATAACGGTCGTGGCCGATCCACAAGGACCTAGGTGGGCGAGCAGCGCCGCGTGGACGGGTACTATCGTCCGCCGGCTGGCCCGAGCTCATCCCCATAGCTTGACGCTCGTGGCGTTCAATGAGCTCGCCGTCGGTGTACCGAGTGTTGATGACGAGCTGGAGGGTTATGGCGCTGGGATGGCGGCTTCGACGCGGGCTGCAGTCATCGAGGATGCGCAGTGGGGACTGAGCCGAGCACGGGTGGCTGTGAAGCATCTCACAGTCCTTAGCCGGGCTGAGTGGGAGCACGTGGGAGATTAGAAAGGCCTGCAAGTTGAGAGTTGTATTGTACATACCAGCTGCTGCCGAAGGAGTAGCACTGTGATGCGATTGCTGATGCTATGCGTCCTGCGGCGGTCGAAATATGCATCAGACTGCCACCTATTCGGGGAACCTTATGGCATCCAACCCTCCCCGCCTTCTATTTCGGACTGTTGCCAACTGCACAATCTCAGTTCTCTCATGACGTTGAGACGACGTACCTCACCACCTCATGACGCGCAGCTGACCGAACACTGCCCGAGTCTCTTCCAGAGGCCATGCACAGATACAGATGGTCGCCTTGAATCCCTTACACACCCACCTCTCATACACACACACCATGTCCGCACCCGTCTTCGAGACCAACCTGCCCCCGCTCGCGCTCTTCGGGCGGCACATGCACACGACGCCCGCGACCCTCTTCGTGGCGGACGAGCTCTTCCGCGCCGGCGTGCGTCCCCTCTGTCCGCGCTAACGGAAGGACGACTACGTCGTGAAGGACGCAAATGGGGCGGCGATCCTGCGCGCGGACGCGCGCGAGTGGTCGCGCCTCGAGAAGAAAGGTATGCCGTCTAGAGCTGGGCCCTCGGCGCCTGACCATAGTGGTATACGACGACGAGCTGCAGCTCGGCGAGATCCGCGACGCGCTGGCGCTGCATCGCACCGTCGAGTTCGTGGGCGGCGCCGGCACGCCCCTCAAGGTCGAGCACCGGCGGAGCGAGGTGGGCGGGCGCGAGGCCGCGTTCCGCGTCGACCTCGGCAAGCTCACCCTCGCCGTCGTCGGGGACTGGAAGGCGCACGCAGTCGACATCGTGAGTGAGGACGGCGGACTCGTTGCACGCGTCACGCACGACCGCGCAACCTTGCATGAAGGCATGTATGTCACCTCCCAGGGCAAGACCAAGATTGGTGAGGCCGCCGAGACCCAGTACAAGGTCGAGGTCGCGCCGCGCGTCGACCTCTCCCTCATCGGCATTGTTTGTATTTGCCTCGACATGCTCCAGCAGAAGGTCTGCTGAGTGTTAGATAGGGAGAATGCGAAAGGAAAGTGGTTGTGCTGCACACTCTTCATCGGCCTGAGTACAGTCCTACTTACGCCCTTCAATCCCATGCTCCATGCTTGCTCTCAACCTACACCCTCCTACACCCTGTGCGGTGCGCCGAGTCATTTTGTGTTGCTGTCGCTTACATCTTACCACCGTTCTGCTCGAGAACGATGACGTTGCGGAACTTGGCTTTGCCCTCGGCGGTGTGTACGATAGCCTTGTTCATGTCCTCCCACTTCCACTTCTGGACCCAAGGCTCAATCTTCTTCTCCGCCGCGAGCTGAAGAAGCTCGGCAATGTCGGCGGGCGAAGCGATGTTGGAGCCCGCGACAGCGATGCAGCCTGTGTTGTCAGCGGCGCATGACATGAAGCTTACCGCGGATAAGCTGGGTGGCGGTGATTTCGAGCGGCTTGGTCACGATGCCAACAAGGCAGAACGTGCCTTCGGGCTTGACAAGGCCGGCGTACGCCTCGAGGTCGAGCTGGGGAGGATCTGGGATCAGCTCGTCCTCCACCCGCCTCACTGATAGTGCTGATGATAATGTCGACGCTGCGGGCGAAGGGTGCCAGGCTGGCCTTGAGGTCGGGGCCAGTAGCGATGAACTTGTCAGCACCAAGCTCGAGCGCCTGCGCCTTCTTGGCTTCGCCGCGTGAGATGGCCGTCACCTCGGCGCCCATGGCCTTGGCGATCTTGATCGCCATGTGTCCCAAGCCGCCGATACCGAGGACGCCGACGGAGCGCTTGGCGGGGACGCCGAAGCGCTTGAGAGGCGCAAACACGGTCATGCCGGCGCACATGAGACTGCTAGCCTGAGCGGGATCAAGCGTGGCCGGGACGGGGATCGCGAAACGCGCCGGGCCGCGCCAGTGCGTCGCGAAGCCACCGTAGTGCTGCTTGCCCTTGTTCAGGCCGCGCTTGTAGCCGCCCACACCGAACGTGTACAGAAAGTCGGGGCAGAAGTTGTCCTTGCCTATCGTCAGCTAGGGGACAGCGGAGTGGGAGTCACTCACCGGCCTCGCACCACTCGCACTCGCGGCAGCAGTCGCACTGCGCGCCGATGCCTACGAGGTCGCCGACCTTGACGCCGGTGGCCTTGGGACCCACGCGAACGACCTCGCCAATGATCTCGTGGCCACCAACGATGGGGCCGTTGTAAGGACCCCACTCGCCACCGAGCTGCGACGTGTCGCTGGCGCAGATGCCGGAGTACTGGATCTTGACTGGGGTTAGTGATACAGTCACACAGCGGGCGCAAGGAGGGTAAGATGACGTGTGTGGGTGGCATGGATGGGGCTGAGAAAATATGTCGAGCCATCATTATGAGCTGCCGCTGTACTCACCGTCCACGTAGTCCTCGTCAAAGGCGGGAGGCTCAAAGTCGATGAGCTTCATGTTGCCCTTGACGCTGTCGAAGCCGTACCCGGCCCATCCCTGGAAGGTGTAGTCGGTCATGATGAAAGATAGATTGTGGGTGAAAGAAGATGGAGGGGTAGTTGGAGTGTGAGCAAGTCGAGAGATGAGTGAGAAGGGGAACGGGACAACGGTGAGCAACATCGAGCCGTCCCAGGTGCGCTCTATATATGCTGCCTCGGGGCGACGAGGTCCGCCTTTGCCGCGCTGTTGGCTCATAGCTCATGCGCTCGTGCGTGGAAAGAGGGCCAGTCGCGCTCATCTGCCGCGCACGCCGAGCAGCGCGCCGCAGCCGCAAGCCGCTGGTCATCATAGGTCCCTGCTCATCGATCTCTGCTTCTCGATCACTCGGATACTCCGGCCTCTGCAGTTAGATGTCACCGCAGGTGATCAGCAGCAGCAATCTTGGATGACAAATTGACAATTGAGGCGCTTATCGCTGCAATGGAGGTATGAGACAAGGACGCCACGTAGTCAGCCATCAGCCAGCAAGCCAGCTTCAGTCATGTCATGTGCGGCTGCGGCACGCGGATGTGTCCGAGGGGGGCGTCTAGTCGGCCGAGGCATGAACGTGTCGAGAAGGGCTCAGTGCCGCGGCAGATTGGCTGGAGGCCTGGAGGGGCGGCTGGCAGCTCAGCAGCTCGGCGGCTCGGCGGCTCGGCAGCTGGCGGGCGGGGCATGGATCATGTAGCTCGCCGCAATCGCTGCGGCGATGTGGAATGACGCAGGCTGAGTGGATACCGCTGGATGGCAGTCGATGAGGCCAAGCCCAGTCGATATCCAGCACGCATGCGCGAGGAGCGCCAACCGTGGAGATGCAAGGCTGCGTGGAAGATGAGAGAAGAAGTTGCAGACGACGAAAGAGAGCGAGGAATGAATTGGATGCACGGAATGCGGATGAAACATGACGTATCACCGGAGAATCCGTCCCAGATCCGCTCTTTGCCAAGCAGTTGTATCTCATGCATCTCGACTTTTGCTCACAGCCAGCAGCCAGCAGCCAGCAGCCAGCCGACTCGACTGCTCAGCGTGCAGCACAGCGTATTCCATCATCATCCTCATACTGTGGGTCCTAACCGAGGCACCAGGTGTTCCAGGAGTTCCGTTGTTCCGCGCGCGTGACAAGGAACACGCACGGCACCGGGACGCATCCACGCCGAGAAAACCGGAGTGAGAAATAACAACGTGCGAGGTTGATTCTAATAAGCAAGCAACTTGGAAACATGGCGAGACCCATAGAACACCAGGCAGAAGCTTCAGACGGTGCAATAGTGCATACAATATTGAATCCATTTCCACTCACACATGGAACGTGCTCCATCCCTCCCATCGTATGATTATCGCTGCTGGCGGTTTTGGTGTGAGCTGCTACTACTAGTGCTGCTGTGGTACTGCTATGGCTACGGCTGCTGTTGTTGCTGCTGCTGTTGCTGCTCTCCCTCCACGGTCGGGCGCCGCCGCTGCTCCCACTCCGGCCGGTACTGTGGCGGAAGCACCTCAACCACTACCTCCTCTTCGCGCTCGTGCTCATCATGCACCTCGCCCGCGTCCTCCGCATGCTCGACGATATGGCGGGTGCGCCGTGGCCTGCGCGGGCGGCGCGGACGCCCGTCCCCGTCCTGCGACTTCTGCCGCTCCGTACTCGCCGACACGCTCGAGTCGCCGCTCATGCCCCGCCCCTGTCCCACGCTGAGATACGAGTCGGTGCTAATCGTCCGGTCGCCGCTCATGCCTCGGCCGGCGCCGTACGAGTCGCCGCTAACCGTGCCGTCCGCGGTCGTGTGCCGCGTGTCCCCGCTCAGCGTACGCGATGCGCGTGATCCTCCGTTCGCCAGGCTGTGCAGCTTGGCCTCATACTCGGCGTCAAGGTCGGACGATTCTGCCAGCTGCGTGGGGCTGCTGCTCCGCGGCACAGCCATAGAGCCTAGCATTCGCTTGTCCGGCACGGGCTGGACAGCCGCGCTTTCGTCCACGACGAAAGCGTCCGGGGATCTGGGGTTAATTCCGAAGATCGAAGAACGAGAGGACATACGCTGAGCGCTGGCGCCTACGACGGCGCCGGAGAATGATGAATACCACCAGGCCTAGGAGGAGGAGGCCACCGACAACGCCGCCTACGACTCCCCCGATCAGCCCCGCGTTGCTCTTCTTAGCCGCGGCCGGCACCTTGCCGTCCTTGTAGTACGAGCAGTACGTGATCGAGTTGAGCATCATCAGATTGTTCGCCGGCGCGCTCAGCGTGAGGGTGTACTGGTCCGTCGGGTCCAGCGGCGCCTGGTACACGATCACGTCTTTGGCGGTGTACGAGCGCAGCGAGTTGAGTGTGATTTGGTGAAAGTTGAGCGGCGTCGTGCCGCGGGTCATGAAGACGTTGAGCGAGTTGGCGTTCATGTTGGAGCCCGAGACAGCGGACGCGTTCACCCACACATAGCTTGTGTTCTGCGGCAGCGGCGCAATCACCGCACCACCCCACGTCCGCGGTGTCTCCGTGTCGTGCGACCACGCACCTCCCTGGAAGCTGAATGGCAGGCTGGCGTTGCGCGTGAACGGCTCCGTGACGCAGTGCACGTCCGCCCAGCTCCCGGCTTCAGTGTACATGCCCGTTTCGATGGTTACACTGTCGAGCACGAGGCTGTCGCCAGCCGGGACGCTGTCGACGAGGGCGAACGTGAACGCCATTTGCTTGGTGCGGAAATCGAAGACCCATGCGTCGCCGCCGGCGTTGGTCCCGTTCGTGCGCCCCGGATAGCTGAGCATGGCGCCGGGTGGGCCGCGCGACGCCGAGCCCGCCCCGCGCCGCGTGTACACCCACGCGGCGGTGCCCGAGCCATAGAACGACATGTTCGAGCTCGGACCCAGCGTCACCGGGCCCGGCGCGCCCCCGTCGCTCCAGTTGCCGCGATACGTGAAGAACGGCGAGACCGTCGGGATGGAGAGGTTGAAGTAGACGTCGGGGTTGCGAAGGGAGAACGGGTTCACGTACTGCGCCACGGCGGGCGCGAGCATGCTCGCGATCGCGAGGACGCCGAGCATCGTGAGAGAATGGGCGAAAGATGCTTGTGTCCAGATTCATGCACAGAGAAGCGAACAGTCGCAACCTGGAAGCAGGCAGCAGCAGCAACAGGCATTGGCCGGCCCCAGCTCGCGAACCAGTGCGTTCCTGGTGCCAGGCCAGGTGCAGGCGAACAGGCTGAGCGTATCCGCCGTGCTGAAGCCTCGGAGCCACGCCCCAAAGGGCTTCGGTGTGAAGCATGCTGGGGTGGGAGTCACCCGTTGGAGGTCGGCGACCGTGCCTGTTGCCGTACTCTCGTCCCCCATTCCCGGCGCCTCTGGAAGCGCTGGACGACGGCTGATTGCCAGGCATCAAGGCACATGCCGAGAGGAAGAGGTTGCGGAAGGGGGACATCAACATAAACCTTAGTTTGAAGCTTTACGTGCGGCATGCGAGGGGAGCCGAGTGAGTCCCGACGCCTGTACTGTTCATTTCGCTGCGCGCAGACAAGGAACGAGTCGTTTCTGTGTTGAGATACGACGGACCGCAGGCATGGCCGAGTGCGATGACTGAGTAAAGGGGACCGTGAACAACTGGAAGTCGTTGGTCATGGACATCTCGTTCACCCCTCTCGCTCTAAGCTCCACGTCTGAATGCCTGTTGGAGTCGGATGCCCACGACTCCACGGTCATGAGGCAAGCGCTATCGTTCGTGTCATAATCAGCACGGAATGCTCCCAGCTCCCCGATCCGTACTCTGGCGGTCGGATGCCACCCTCGCACTTGCACTTGGGAACTGAGCTACCGAACAAGACCCGGGCCGGAGGCGAGTACAAGGACGGGCGGGATCGACTTCTTAGACACAATGAAATGGCTGATCCCGAGGGCGCATCTGATCGCCAGATCGCCGTTCTGCCGCCCCGTAGAAGTGCTAAGAAGTTGTTCGAGGCTAGAGAGACCAGCTGCCGTTACCATGGTCCCCCCTTCGTCGGCCGACGAGCCCACCAGTCTGGCCCCTCGTTGCAGCTCCACGCACTCATATCTGTGGGCGGACGGAGTCATGCTTCCCAGTCGGCGTGGCATCCACGTGGCCCGGCTGCAATTGACATCGAGGCTTAGAGCTGTGCTGTGCAATAACAATCGCGGAGATGAGCAGAGCATGATGGAGCAGGCTGAACGCTGAGCATTCCGGATTGCTGGCACCGCCATTTTAGAACCCAATTCTTCTTGGCTTGCGAGTCTTGGCGCACCGCATCAGTGCACGTGGCCACCATTCCACTCATGATATCATCATCATTTCATTACTCCGCACCTATTCATCCTTCTTGGTATAAGGGATAGCCCAAGCTACACATAAACAAAGGCTTGCGAGAATCACTCTCCTCACTCTCCCCCCCCCCCCCCCCCCTTTTTCCCCTCCATCATGCCGTCCCCCCTCGTACTCCGCTACACCACCGACGCCCTCGGCCTTGTCGCCGCCCTCGCCACCGGGGGGCTGTCCATCGCGGCGCTGGGCGAAGCTGGCTACAACGAGCGCATCATGAGCGCGTACTTTGAGCCTTTCATCGCCGCCATGTCCTGAGCCTGGTTCAGCGTCGCATACTACATCTCTTCGTGCGCCCGTCCTCTTCGACGCTGACCTCAGTCTCGCCGTGTCGGCTGCCAAGCCTACCTCGCGCTTCACAAGCCTCCTCTCAACGTCTATCTGGCGCGGCGGCCTCATCGTCACCGGCACAGCGATCATGGGGTACTATTGCGTCGTGTTCCCGGCCGTGCGCGAGTGCAACGACTATCGCACCACGTACGGCGCCGACGGCGGGTCGGCGGCCAACTGCGTGCTTCCGCTCGTGACCGGGATTGTTGGCTGGGTCGCCGTTCTTGTGGTGCGTGGAGACTGACATGAGAGGAGAGGAGCACTGCTGATCCCAGATCGCGGCGTTGCTAGTTGTCGAGATTCGCGCCCTGCACCGATACAAGAATTGGCAGGCCCCGCTCACCACCCTGCGAGCCGAGGAGGCGATGTCCCTCAACCCTCGGGCTAAAGCGGCTGTGTGAACCGAGACATGCTGTGTTGTGCTTTAGACTACGCCAACTTATAATCAGTCCAGTTCCTATAATACCTAATGTACATTGGAGCGCCTAATATCCATTCTGCCCATGCAACAGTGCACAGCATGCACAGCTCACTGGCCGCGCTTGGAGAATCTCGGCGTGCTTGTATGCTTGTGGCCTGGCGATGAATCGGGATGAGCAGATATGGAGCTATGCCACGCTGCCGAGGTCAACTACAGTCACCCATCATGCAGCATCCAACTAACAGAACGCGCAACGGGTCCGTCTGAGCTCTGAGCATCCATCGACAGTTCACGCTATCCGCCATCCACCATCCCTCGTCCACCATCCACGCGCCATCACTGCCCGGCCCTGGCCGTTCATTCCCATGGAAGGAGGAGGAGGTTGCGATCTATCGGTCGCACTCAGGACGGGGAATAGCCGCCATCGCCGATAGGAGGACGCCGACCGGGTCAGGTCCTTCGCAAATTAGACTCCAGCTTGGCGGTGATGCCGCGTTGGATCCAGATGACAGCAAGATGGAGGGGATCTGACACATAGTCGTCCTGATGTGAAGGCATAGGTCGAGGGTGACATTGAGAGGGTCCGATGCACCTTCCTTCAGCTCTTGGCGAATCTTGGTGTCGCCGTCAGCTGCGTCATCGACTGTCGTTGCGAAGAGGGGAGAGGAATTCACAACTGGTGTCGGCCTTGCGTAATGTCCAAGACCCATGTGTTTGACGGAGGCTGCTGGCTAGAATTGTGTCGGTGCAGCAGCTCTACACAGACCTGTGCTGGCAGCTGGCTCAGAAGAGACCATGTCGTCCCGCGCCAGACAATCTCCTCGATGACCTTGAGGCTCATTGCCTGTACAGTGTTTGTGTCCCAGAATAAGGTTCGCTTGCGCTCACGCTCTCCGCTAGATGTCGAGGGCGTCACGTGTTACGACCCAGTCCACTTCGCACCATCCATTCGACCTCATTCGACACTGGTTCGTAACCCACATTCGTTACTGTTCGCACATCCAACTTGTGCCCCCATTCGCACCCCAGCTCTACCACATTCGTTACACTCTCGTTCTGTGAACTCCTTTGGACCTTAGGGAAGACTCCCATCACCTGGTACCCAATCGCCATACGAATCAATCTTGCCACCTCTTCTCGACATATCTCAGTCTACAGACACATGCCTCGACACCGACACCAACACCAACACCGACACCTCAGACACATTCCTCGACACCAACAGGCACTTCCAAATCTCGCCGAGACTCTACCGACACCTATCAGTCTCGTCTCGTCTCGCCCAATCTCACCAAGATTCCTTGACACTCCCACTGTAGACATTCGACACTTCCCGAGATAGTCAGAGACCCCAAATAGTATATAAAGGCAGACGGCAATGCCATTCTTCCCAAGGATCCAATTATCTGTTCTCCTGTACCAACCCTGGCGCACACACTCGTTTACACTACACTCACTCGCCAATTCGCCTCCCTTCTTCTTCGCCTCAGTTCGGCTTGCCCGGGGTCCTTCCAAGCCAACTACCTTAGCTAGTGCTCGCCAACCAATTCGACTTCAGCGAACTCCTTCATCAACATCTTCGCTCCTTGGCCTGCACCCTTCGTCTCTCGAAACACAAGCTTGCCCACAGGTTTAGTGGAAGCAGATCACTCTCTACTTCCCGAGCCAACTATATACGACCCACCGACTACTTTCGTGTTGGGCCGTGACATCACGTCGTAAGGAGCCCTCACAGAGACCAGAGACCAGATGCTCCCGGCACCACCAGGCCTGACAATGACCTCCTCTGACACCTCTGACACCAGGACATGGAACATTGTCTTCAACTTTGCCGCCATGAACAAGGCCATCATCTGGGTGGTTGACAGCCGCAGCTACGGTCAACTGCTTGTCCTCAAGCATGCATGCATCAGGGAAGCCAACAACCTCTTTCTCACACGCTGGCACATGGAAAAGAGCATTATCCACATCTTACGCCCTTACAAGCACAAGTCGATGCTACGGGCACCATCAACACTCCCCCCCCCCTCTCAAACACATTGTGCCCTCCACACCCATGGGATTTCTTGCAGCTGCAGGCCTTCTCACAACAAGAACATCCCATCATCATACACCACTTACCGATGAGGTCCCCACTGCATTTGCAACTCTAGCGGCAATCTTGAACATGGTGAATTTCCAAGAAAAGGACAATGACGATCTTGACTGGGAGCCAGAACAGTGCCCGCTGTAAGGGCCCGTCGTACGGGGTGACGGGACCGGCGAGGTACGAAGTCCGAATGGGAAGCGGAGGCAGAGTTAGGGGGAGAACGCATGGGGGTTGACCGATACTGGTTTTCGGGCAACCCTCGGAAGAACAGTGGAATCACAAGGATAACAGAATCGACACGGGTGACCGGTCAAGCTACAAGTCTTATATAGGCAACTATAGACGGGGGCCCAATCGGTCGGCCAAGTGTTGGGCGAGTAGGTCGACCGATGGCTGCCACAAGGTCGAGGAGTCGACCGGGGCGGCTAGCCGGTTGGTCGACTGAACGAGGTGGACCGTATGTCCGACGAGGGTCGACGTAGTTCGGCCCGGCTTCCGAGCGGGGTGGTCGGGCGAGTATCGGTCGAGCGAGAGAGTGGAGGTAGCGGAGGTACGGGTGATCTCCGTGTGTGCGGTGACGGACATACGGGGATCTCCACGAAAGGTCATGGGTCGGTAGACCGGGCCATGACAGCCAGAAGCAGTGCATGCCCAGCCCTGGCCGTTCACTCCCATGCTTGTGGCCAGGGTTGTCATCACGCACTAACCAGGTCATGTCTGCCCAAGCACAGCACACGCTTTCTTCCCTCGACCGTACTGTAGACTCGTTCACTCCGTGCTCTATTCTGCCCGCGATCTGATTCAAAGTTCAGCGCGGCGTCTCACCTCTATCATGACTTTCCCCCGTCCACCTATTGCTCCAAGAGTATGTCGAGGTGCACGCCAAGCCACCCACTGCCGGTAGATTCTCCATGACGGCTGCCGTGGACATCCTCGTGTTTGAGCTTTGTGTCATCACTCGGTGCCTGCCGACTGAACGCCGAATCGATCGGATCGAGAAGAGGCCGATTGACCGACCAAGATCAAAACCGGTTCCATCAAGTCCGAGATTGTGCTTTGCCGTCATGTGATCACATCCTCCAGCAGTTGCCCACTCGAAGCATTGTCCTATATGTTAGGTTGCATTCTGCGACTCTCCCAGTCACGATTATCAGTCCCAATCGTCATTCATCATGCTCCCAGGCTCTGGAACAGCTCAGATCTTGATGGTCAACAACGGCTTCCTCAGCCGCGGCACGCATGCCGACTGGTACGCCACGTCGTCCGAAACGCCCATAACCCCTCCGGTCATGTGCTTTGTGATCCGCAAAGACGGGCGCAACTACCTCTGGGTGAGCTTGGGGACGCGTACGCTGAGTGCGCTGAGTATAGAACACTAATGTCCAGGACCTGGGCATGCGTGTCGACCTTCACAAGGTCGGCCGGACATGGCCGACCCAACCAGATGTCCGCCTCTCCCTGCCGCGCGACCTGCCGCCTGAGCTCGCCCCCTCCGCCGTCTACCTCTCGCATTATCACTGGGATCATTCCGGCGACCCACTTACCGTCCCGCGGGATGTGCCGATCTACGTGAGCCCGGGAACGCTCGACGCGCTCAAGAAGGGATTCGACGAGTACGTCGGCGACCAGTCAGCCGAGTGTGTCGCGCGGCTGTCCGAGCTACCCGAGGGCGACCTCGTCGTTGATGGATTCCCGCACATGGGACACGACGTGTTCGGGGACGGGAGCTTCGTCGTCCTGCCCGCCCCGGGAGTAGGTGACCAACTGATCCCACACACTGATTGCAGCACTGTCCCGGACACAGCGTCGCGGTGGTGCGCACAACAGCCGCGCCCGACAGCTGTAGGCACATAAGCAGGACAAGCTGACCCAAGATATGGTGCTAGGTGGCGACTCGGGCCACCACCGCAGTTTGTATGATCCCTGCCCCTGCCACGCGCGCGTGAGCACATTCGGCCGCCGCAAGCTCCACCGCGACCCCGAAGCCAGCTTGGAGCACCTGTCTCGCCTGTCGGGCGTTCACGCTCGCGACGACTCGTGGGTGGTTTTGGCACATGAGGAGGAAGTGATGGCCGCGGGCGTGCCGGAACGAGAGTGGCTCAATGACTGGAGGGTCAAAGGCTGGAAGGAGAAGGTTGCCGCCGTCCGGCTAGCGAAGGGCTGTTGGGTGGAGAACACGAACGCCGCTTAGTCCGAAACGTACCTAGACACCGTACACCTAGACAATCATAAGTTGGTCCGAGGTGCACTCTGAGGGAGTGGAATGCCGTCTACCACGTCCTAGCTACGGCCGGTCATGAGGCGGCTGCAGATGGCTTTTAGCCGTTTCGGACAGGTCCTCATAACAATCAGAGGTAGGCTTCTGCGCGTCAAACAGTGTTAACTGGGGTGCAAGGCGTACGGCCAGTTATACCCTGCCAACTAAAGAGAGCACAGGGAATCTATGTTCAAATACCAGTCACGATACCTGTACATGCAACAAGAATACAACAACCCTCGCCCTCAGCCCTTCTTGGTGGCCTTCTGCTGCTTGGGAGTGATATCAAAGTCCGGGCTGGGAGCACGCTTTGCAAGCGGCGTGACGGAGCTGGGACTTGAGCCAGAAGAAATCTCATGCGTCGAGGCCGGTACGACTGGCTTCCATGAGGCCCCACACAACCATGCGGCGGTAGAGAACACGTGAGTACTGCAAGCGTAACAACTTGACGTCGGGCGCGGCCAAGGTCGTGGAGGGGTAAGATACCATTTTACCATGAAGGCGGCGCAAGCCTTGGACGATGAAGTTCGTCGTTGGGTCTCCCACGGGCAGCTTGAAGATGTGGAACACCAAGGTCAGAGTGCCATCGGCCTCGATCTGAGAGTGAGCAAGCCTAGCGCGCGCGGTTACTCACCCTCGGCAGGAAGGCGACTTCGTCGGCGTCGAACATGCGACGAATTGGACACCACAGTGTAATGCCGAAGCTGGTATGATATAGTGTGGTAACAATGTCCCCCAGCGCATATTTGTAGCCCTATTTCATTCAGCTCAGCGAGCGGCCATATGCACCTGAGGATCTGACTTGGGGATGACGTGAGCGGCCTCGATGTGCTCAACGACATTCGTAACCACACACTTGCGGCCATCGCGGTTCAGGACACGATCGCGGAATTTGTGCTGAGCCTGGGAAGTGAGCTGAAAGCAACATAATGTGAGTGTGCAAGACAACGGACCGATGAGTCAGAAGCCTCTGAACGCTGAGACGTTCGAGAGGAGGATCCTGACGCCGTTGACGGGGCCCGCTGGAGACTTTGCGGGGCAAAGACTGATGGTGTGACAACTGAAGGGATGTGAGCGTTACATTGGTCCATGGAGAGTCTTGATAAGAGGTCAACCTACCTTTGGAAGGGAAAAGGAGGACGGGCCCGGCTTCAACGTGGTCCTCCGCAGGTAGAAGTTGACTGTCCTTTTTCCAGAGGAGGGGGACGTCCTGGTGGTTGGGGAACAAGTACGACATGACCTCGCCGAGCTCTTGCCACGTCGAGCAGCCTCCCTGTCTCGCGAACTCTAGGGGAACCACGGCGATGACCTTGCCTTCGTCGTTATGGATCTGGATCGTTTCTCCGTCCCAGAAGTCCTTGGAGCCCTCGGGCTCGGTATTGCCGCGATAATCGCGCTCAGGCATGGCTTAGAAAAGATTGCAATGGATAAATAAGATGTGGATGAGGTGGGAGGTGGATGAGGTGGATGTGAAGATGAGGTTGATGAGGTCAATGTTGTTGTTGACCCGTGACCACGTGACCAAATGCTTATTGGTGGGATCAAGAAGATATGCAGGAGTATTTACATCCCTACACCCGCCCAGTTGTCGGTCGTCCATGTCGTCCATGTCGTTGATGTCGTCCATGTCATCCTGCAATCTGAGCGAGCGCGCCTACGCGTATACTCGACACGCTCGGTATCCCACCCCCTTCGCTCTTCAGACTCTTCGATGCAGCGAGCTCGTCGGATAACTATCTCTCCTATGCTCCTTATCTGATAGCATTCCTCGTCCCTCTCAAATTCCATCTCCATCTCATCTCCATCCAAACCCCCATATCGCCATCAACGACACAAAGCATGTACCATGGATGGCGAGTCCCACCCAGGTCATCCACCGCGCGATTCTATGAAGCGCAAACGCTCAAAGGCGGGCTGCTTGACATGCCGCCTACGTAAGAAGGTGCGCTGTCTTCCATCATCAGCTAACGCAGCGCTGCGATGAAACCCGCCCCACTTGCGCGGCGTGCACGCGCCTCGGCCTTGAATGCATAGGCTATGGCCAACGACCAGCATGGATGGCTCGGCGCGAGGCCGTCGCTGACGCCGTCGCCGACATGTGGGTCCAAGCGCAGGCGTCTAACTAGCTGACGCAGACGGAAAGCAATGGCAGCGACACACGTCGCGCGGCGGCGGCAGCGATGGGCAGATGCCGCGCGGCTCGGTGAAGGCGTGGAACAATGTACCGAGACATCCATTCCCGCCAATCCTCCTGATCCCCAACAGTCTCAGTCGAGGATAGCTGGCATGCGCGACGAGCGACTGGACGAGAACGCCTTCGCTTCGCAGACCGCTCTCCATCCAGCGTCACTGCTCCCTCATGACGTGCCCGACGCCGCTGGGAATGAGGGACTCATGCTGCTAAGCCCATCCGAAAGCCCTCCGGCACTGAATTCCTCAAGCTCGCTCGACTCTGAACTCGCTGCCCTCCTGGGTCGCGAGGCGTCGGAATTGCTCTCCACACACACGCCCTATCTCCCCCTTCTGACGGAGCCGAGCGCAGTTTACACCCCCTTCTTCTCCTCTCCTGCGCAAATGCGCTACTTGAATCGTAAGTCTGCCGCGACTACGCTGACTCGACCAGACTACCTGACCGTGATTATGCCATACCAATGGATATTCGAGCGCGGCCCTCTCTCGGATCTCGTCACACCACTGGCGTTCTCCCACCCGCTCGTGTGCGAGAGCGTGAGCGCGCTTGCGGCGCTGCACATTGGCTCAACGCGGCAGCGCCATTGCCGCCGTCAGCGCCTCTCCCGTCGGCTAGTCACCATCTCTGAGGGTGTAACGGACCCCGACCTCGCCGTGGCGCAGCTCAGCACGCAGAGGAGCGCGGCTGTACTCTCCCGTGTCCCTCTTCACGAGCTTGGGACGCACGAAATGGTCGTCGCGGCAATGTGCATCAGCTCGTTCCACCTGTTCGACGGCGGCAGCCGCCCCGGGTGGCGGGTCGCCGTGGCCCTGTGCCGCAAATGTCTCGGCGCGATTGTGCAGCGCAGCCTTGTGTGCGAGGCAGATGGGACAGCGTGAGTTCGTCATGTGCCTGCTGACCCAAGGGCGCTGCAGCTCACCTCGCTGCTGCGGCGCATGGGCCACCTCCTCGCGCCGCTCGTCTGGACTGACATCCTGTCCTCAGCCACCGAGGGCGTCGCCTCCCTCTTCCTTCCGCTGTACCGCGTCCTCCTCGTAGACTGCGTCAGCGAGGACGAGGCGACATTCCTGCGCGAGACCGTCATGGGTTGCGACTCGACCACGGTGAGGGTGACCCGGCACGCAGCTAACACCAGCGTCTTGCGCTCGCAGAGACGATCGCCCTTTCGGAGTGGAAAGAGGGCGAGGTGCGTGCCGGCCGCCTTTCCCTCCGCGCCCTGCTGGCGCGCGCGTCCGCCATCGAAGAAATACTTGACGAGCGGCCGCGGCGCGAGGCGCATCTCTTGTGCGCCACGCCCGCGCGGCGCGCAGTCAGCGACATCTTCTTCCACAGCGCCCGCGTGTTGCTCGCGACGACGATCCACGGCCCATATCCAGACGGTAAGCGAGTGGGCAGCGCAGCTAATACAAGTGGCGGAGGTGAAGGCGACGGTCGCGGATACGGTGGACGCGTTTAGTGCGCTCGACGCGCTCGACATCACCGGCGCCGAGCGCGCGCTCGTCTTCCCCACTGTCATTGCGGGCTGCCACGCACAGCCCGAGTTGCAAACCTTCTTCCGCGACCGTTTCGTGCGCCTCGGCGATGAAGCCGTGGCTTTCGGCAACACCCAAAACGCGCTACGCGTTATGGAAGAGGTGTGGCGGCGGCGAGCGGCGGCGCGAGCGGATGAGGCTGTGCACTGGCGCAGCGTCATGTTCGACCTGGACGACGAGGGCCTGTTGTTAATCTGACGCATGTATTCTAGAGCAGCGGGGCGAGAAACAGATCTGAGGCAGAGGAGAGGAGAGGACACCGTACCGACGCACACATCTACATGCACTAGCCGAAATGCGCCAGCAGCCACGCACACACGTCCTCACACAGTACCGCCTGCGCCTCCTCCTCTTCCACACTGTGCGTCGCGCCCTCTACCAAATTCCAACTCAGCTTGCCGCCGCTCGCCACTTCCCACCGTCGGAGGAGCACGCGCTGATCCGGCAAACTTGCGCAGTGGTCGTTTTCCATCCAGAGCGCGCGCACCGGCACGCTCAGACGCCCAAAGGATTCGGAAAGCGGATGGGCATGCACGCCATCCGCGGTGTCTGGGATGTCTGAGGAGAAATAGTCGTCTTCGCCCCTATCGTCAGCGCAATCATGCCGCAACGCACCCAACCCCAATGAGGTTGTGTAGGCGGTAGGCCGTAACGCGCGCGCCAAATGCCCGTGTCATCTCGTCGTCGAGAAGCGTATCCCCACGTCCGTCCTTAATGAGCCTCTGCGCAATCTCGAGCTGGGCAGTCCACACCGCGTCCCGCCCCATCTCGTAGTACTCCCTGTCCGAGGCGGGGGACACGAGGATGCCGCCCCCGACGCTGCGCCTCGCCGAGGTGAGGTAGTGCAGAACGTCCTGTGCACCAGTGGAGTGTCCCGCAATCACAACAAGGCGCACGCCCTCTGCCTGAAGATGGCCCACGAGCGCCTCCATTTCATCGCAGTCGCGCGCGAGGCTGCCGCTCCCGAACCCATCATACGCACCCGACCAGTGCATCTGTACGCTATGCGTCAGCACCGTCGGAGGAGAGGGGATGCTTACAGTCGCCATCCAGAGGCGCCGAGCGTGCGCGAGAGCGGCACAAGGAACGGTGCATCGAGCAGTCCAGCGTGAAGCCCGCCGATGAAGACCACCGCGCGATCAGCGCCCTCGTCCCCCGACGTGAAATAGGGCCGGCGCGCCCATGCCGAGCTGGGCAGTGGGTACAGTGAGAGCGTGCCTGTGAGACGGGGCGGCATGGAGAGAGTGGATATGCCGATGCGGAACGTCTTCCATCCACAGGAGCCAGAGATCCGACAAGATCTCTACTCCACTAGATCCGGCTCCGAGGATCCAATCATATCACCCCACCTTGTCTGATATGCTAAATGCCGATTGCCTGCCAACACTCAATCCGTGCAGGCCCCACACGCCTTACTGCGAGATGCCAGTCAGCGCGCGCAAGTTGTTGGCACGCAGGCAACGAGCCCGAGGGCCCAGCGAGGCCGACAAGCCATAGGTCAACCACTCGCACGTGCATCTTCCCGCGACGCCTTGCAGGACGGCGTGCTCCAGGCTGAGGCCATCACCTGCTTATGGCCAAGAGGCTCTCTCACCGTCGTGTTTCTCATATGAGCCCGCTGCTTGTACCAAGCCAACCGAGCATCTCACCTGCTCGTCCCAGCTTTCTGGCTTACATACCCCGACGATGTGCTGGTCGCGGGCACCTCGTCGACGGCGCTCGCGTCGGTGTATGTGATGCTGCTCCGCAACGTCAAGGTCTTTTATATCGAGGACGCCAATGATGTATCGTTCAACATCGGTGTACATAGATTCCATGGAAGCGCTGCTTCGTATCTGCTTCGAACTTCCTGGGGCCGCAGAGTTGTCCTCGGCATGACACTGAGGACCTGGCTCCATCGCACCCCTTGCTCTCCCTCTCGCCCGGACCGAGCTTATCTGGCAGAAGAAGTCGGGTGTGAACAGCGGGTCTATCTTCGATCCATGGGGCACCCCCGCACTCATGCACAGCCCTCAAGCTCCGGCCATAGTTCCGTGGAGAGATATTTGAGGCCCGAGTCACACACGACCATCGCGACTGTCTTTCCTTTCATCTCTCCCCGCAGCGCCTTGATCGCCGCCGCGAGGTTCGCACCAGACGAGTATCCGCCAAAGATGCCCTCCTTTGTGGCGAGCATGCGCGCAGCCGCGACCGCCTCGTCTCCCGATACCTGGATGTACCCGTCGGCACGCATGCCGCGGAGGAACGCGAGGTCGGGCATCGCATACCCTCCGCCCTGTATGGGGTGGTCCGGAGACGTCAGCGGATGGCCGGCAAGCACGGCTGCGCCCTCAGGCTCGACGACGAAGCACCGAATCTCGGGCTCGAGCTCCTTGAGCGCGCGCGCGACGCCCGCAAACGTGCCCCCCGACCCGACGAAGTCGACGAACCCCTCCAACTGCCCGTGCGTCTGCGCCCACATTTCGCGCGCCATTCCCATTTGCGCGCGCCAGTTGCCGGCGCGCGCGAACTGGTCGGCGCGGAACGCGCCGCGCGCGGCGGTCACTTCGCGTGCCCTTTCTTCCACGAGCGCCAGGTCCGCGCCGGATACCTGGCCCGGCACCGAGCCCGGCATCTGGTCGACGAGCACGACCTCGGCGCCAAGCGCAGCCATCATGCGCGCCCGCTCGCGCGAGTTGCCCCGCGACATGACGGCCACGAACGGATATCCCCGGATACCGCAGACGATCGCCAGCCCCGTGCCTGCAGTCAGCCCCGTCGCCCGGCCGCCCACCCATGTTGCCACTCGTGAGCTCAACTACCGGCTGGCCAGGCTTCAGAAGTCCTGCTGCCTCAGCTTCGTCAATGATGCCGCGTGCCGCCCGGTCTTTCTTCGAGCCCCCGGGGTTCAGGTACTCGAGCTTGGCGAGGATCGTGCCCTGCAGCCCGAGAGCGGACGTGATGCGGTCGAGCCGTACGAGGGGCGTATTGCCGATGGCGTCTGCAGCGGAGGAAAGGGTCTTGTCGTTGCTGCTCATTGCATGCAAAGGTTAGAGCGTGGGCGATTGAGAAATGTGGTGAAATAGGGGGGGGCTGGATGCGGTCTGAGTTGTCTCGGCATGAGTTCGGGGATGTTCGGGAGATAGGTGAGTGGGAAGCCGGGGACGGATGCATGCATCCACGGCTCTTGAAGCCAGCGCCTGAGATTAAGCCAGATCAAGTCGATGAACAACCCGAAACACAGGCGACTCGCAACATGAAGTCACAAAGGCGTCTGAACAAGTCATAACTGTCTGGATAGCTGGAATCTTACGACAGCCGTTGAATACGAAATGGGTCAACTCGAGACGAAATGAGGACGAGCAGGATGATGTGATAACGACGATCGCATGTTGGCCGGTCATCTATGGCGAAGTACATTGATTGCGATGGCTACGCCGCTGTCTCTGTCAGGCCGGTGGGGCGGTGTTGTTGCAATTGGGCTAGACGTCGTCACAGGACGCGGGGGCACTGGGAGGTGCCCCGTATGCCGACCTCCATATGCGACATTGCATTCCCACGCAGCAAGTGCTCACACAATCGCGGCGGGGATCCGACAGGCCAGATGAGCCGAATGTAACGTTAAATACATGTGTCTCGACTGCTGTCCTCCACGTGCACCCATCGCTTACGCGGCAAGCTGTTCAGCCACCTTTACCAGTGTGCGCACCGCAAACCCGGTACCCTCGGTCGGGGTGTATCCCCACGGAGAGCCAAAGTTGGCTGCCGGGCCGGCAATGTCGAGATGCGCCCAGTTGCCCTTGTCGCCAGCGAACTGCTGGAGCTGGAGGTCAGCGGGGCTTGGCGGCGGCATGTTGGAGGGAGGGACTTACGAAAACACCAGCCTTGAGCATGCCGCCCATGGGGATGCCGCCAATGTTCTTCAGATCGGCCGTGGTGCTCTTGAGGTCCTCAAGCATCTCGTCGGGGAAGGGCATGGCCCAGAACTGCTCGCCCGTAACGGCCGCGGCGGCCTGGACGGCCTTGACGGCCTTGTCGTCGCCCATGAGGCCGGCTGTACGCATGCCGAGCGCGACGAGCTGCGCGCCCGTGAGCGTCGCGACGTTGATGAGCAGGTCCGGGTCGGCGTCCTCGGTGCCGTAGCCCGTCTCCTTGGACTGGGCTACGGCGAGGCCGTCCGCGAGGACGAGGCGGCCCTCGGCGTCGGTGTTGTGAATCTCGACGGTCGTGCCCGTGCGCTGGCGGATCACGTCGCCGTTCTTGAGCGCCGTGCCGCTGGGCATGTTCTCCGCCAGACAAAGCCAGCCCGTAACGCGGGCAGGCACCTGCAGCTCTGCGGCCGCGAGCACGGCGTGCAGCGTCGCGGCGGCACCACCCATGTCGCCCTTCATTTCGTGCATCTTAGCCGAAGGCTTGAGCGAAATGCCTCCAGAGTCAAAGGTCACGCCCTTGCCCACGATTGAGAGATGCTTGGGGTTGGTCATGCCGTTGGGCGTATAGGCGACCTTGACGAGACGCGGCGGCTTCGACGAGCCCTGCCCGACACCAACCAGTCCACCGCAGTTCTCCTCGGCGAGCCGCTTCTCGTCCCACACCTCGACGGTGACACCATCAAGATTCGAGGCCAGCTCGATTGCGCGCTGCGCGAACGTCTCCGGATAGAGGTCGCACGGCGGAGTGTTGACAAGGTTGCGGGCCCCCTTAGCGTGGCGCGCCGCGATCTCGGCCCGACGCACCGTCTCAGCGGCGTCCGACGCCGAAGACACGAGCTGAATCACCGCCACAGGTGCGCTAGTGTCCTTGCTCTTGTACGAGTTCCAGGCGTATGCGCCGAGAGACGCACCCTCCGCCGCGGCGGTGAGGAGCTCAGCGCTGTCGGGCACAGCGATGGCGACCGAGGCGAGCTCCATGCCCGAGGCAGCACGGATGGCCGCGCCCACAGTACGACGCAGGGTCTCTGACTTGATGGACCCGTCCTTCTCCGGCTTGCCGAGACCGGCGAAGATGAGCACCGGCGCAGGGTCTCCCTCTACGCCCGGAAGCGAGGTGATCGAGCCGGCCTTGCCCTTGAAGCCGAGCCGGGCGAGCTGCGCTGACAGACTCGACGCGCGGTCGCCCTTCAAGCCGTGCGCATCACCGAGCTGCACGCCATTGTCGCCAGTAGAGACGGGGACGATAAGTGCGTCCGAGTCGAGCTTAGTGCCGGGTGCGACGGCAGACAGCTTTGTGGGCGGGATGGTAGTCGACGACTGAGTGGTGTAAGACAGCATACCGGGGCGGTACGGGGCTGGACGAAGTGTGGGAGCATGGAGAGTGAGAGTAGAAGAGGCAAGGCTGCGACTGAGATGCGCGAATGACAGCGGGCGCGCCTGGGATCGAGCCAGAACACCACGACGGCACGCTGCCAGCACGCGCGCAGCACGGAGAGGAGGAGGACGTACCATGGCGCTCATTCTCAATGTGCTGTGCTGTCACAGAAGAGGCGGGGAGGAGGGGAGGTGTGAAGGGGAGGTGGGGAGGGATGATGAAGCGGTTGAGGACAGCAGAGACGAGAGAAAGAGCACCTGTGGATGTAAATAGCAAAGGCGAGCTGTCACATGGTCACATTGGGTGTCTCGGATCTTGGAGGGACGAGTTCGGATATGGCCGGTCAAAAGACACATTCTGTGGCAGATCCCCTCTGACTAAGTTGAAGGATCGATCCCGTTCTGAGACACTTTTACAATATACTCAACAGCATTACTCTCTTGAATTTGGGCAACCACCTCGTTTGAACTGACGCACGCGCTGATGGATACAACATGCGGCGCTACACATCGGTGGAGGAGGCTAGCAAAGAGTTTGTTTTTGGAGGTAAAGCAAGACTGAGCAGCGGATGACAATCTGGGGCGCGTGTGGCACAGAGCCTCATGTCGACCGGCGATGAGAGTGGCAACACACCACGCGGCAACACACCACCTGACTGGTTTTGTCGAGAGCATCAGAAGAGCGGCGAGTGCCTGGTTATCACAGCAGCTTTTCATGCCTCCCTCGGCATCAGCACAGGCATCAGCACAGGAAACCCAAGCGGGAGAGGCGTCTGTCCGGAAGCCTCGTAGCCGACTGGCACAGTCCACTTCATCTTCTGGCACAGGAAAAGGGCCCGCACCGCTGGAAGCCGAACAACGCCCACGCACATGATAGTAGGAATGGACGCGCAGTCGACCCACTTTGGAACACGCGCTGAAGGAAGTCGTCCTAGTTTGCTGATTCTAGACTTTCACTCACGTAGCTCACTAAGCCATCCCACAGACAGGCTACGTTTCCTGTGATAAGAATGCCCAAGCCTGACTCCATTTGACCCTCCTACCGCTTACACTCGCCGCTCATAGCTTTCGGCCGGGCGATTCATGGCGCGGGTGAGCCGGGAACACTCACTTCCGGAGAGATCGGTGGCATTGGTGGACTCGTTGCGCGCTATAATTCGTCTATTCTCGACAACTCCGCAACGGAACGTGAAAAGCCCCCTGCGTCATGTCTGCAAGGGGGGCAACACAGAGCGACTGTGATACTCTCAACTGGGAAATATTCTGGATCTTGTCGGCTTGACTAGGTAGATCCCAGTCAACCGAGTCGCGAATCTATGCGGTTCCGTTGGCTCAGAAGGCAAGAAATCCAACGGAGCCTAGAGGCCTAGGATGAAGTCGACCCCTCAAGCCCACCGCACAACGTCATGCTCTCGATTGTGGAGACTAATGAATGACAGTAACATATCCCATTATGAGATGTTTTTGGGCTTTCTACGTTCATGCGCGTTCTACAAGCTCACAGTTGTGCGACGCTACGACTGTGCTACCAAAAGCGAGAAATGCTTAGTTGCGGACCTGCTTAACAGGGACCGACGAGGCCGACGAAGCGTCGTCGCGGATGGCAACCGACTTCTTGCGGCCGAAGCGGAGGGCGCCGAAGGCCCAAAGGGCGCCGAGGGCGAGGAGGAAGACACCGGCGGTAACACCGGCACCGATGCCGCCGGCCTTGGCAGCGGGCATGTCGTCGGCGGGGAGGGTGCCGCGGGCGTCGGCACGGGCGAGGTCACGGGCACCGTTGGGGCGCGAGTCGGGCGAGACAGTGAACTCCATCGAGCGCTCGGCGTCGAGGACACGGGTCTCGTTGGTCGAGTAGTAGTTGCCGCACATGAAGTCCTCGGGCTCGGTCCAGTTGTCGACGAGCTCGACGTCGGCGCACTGGAACCACCAGCGCTTGGTGAAGCCCTTGTTCTTGATGGGAGCGCCGTCCTTCTGGAAGACGACCATGAGGGTGGCCTTGTCACCGGCCTTGAAGCCCTGGGCGGCAAAGTCCGGGCCGTTGGCGCAGTAGTGACCCGACGAGAGCTGACTGTCAGGAAAATTCGGTGTGGGTGTGGCACGCTGGGCCGAAGGTATGACTCACGTCCGAGACGGTGTACTCGCCGTAGGTTTTGAACTCGTAGTCGTCACCGCCGTCGTTGACGATGTACTTGGACCAGAGGAAGTTGACGTTGTCGGTAGCCTCGTGCTGGCCGAACGAGAGCTTGCCGCCCTTGAGGGGGTACTTGGTCAGGGGGCCGTTGACCGAGCCACCGCAAGGCTGCTTGTGGGTCTCACCCTTGACCGGCTCACGGCCCTCGGGGAAGATGAAGCTGATGGCCGAGGGGGCGTCCTCCTGGACGTTGGCGGCGTAGCGCGACTCGAGAGCGGGCATGATGTTGTTTTTGAGTGAGGGTTGGGTGGGGTAAGGGAGGGAGACGGGGAGACGGGATGTGGGAATGAAGAAAGAGCTGCTCACATGTGAGCAGCTCTTATAGCAAACTGGATCAAGTGGGGAGGCATTGCGGCCGACAACCACCTTGGCGCACGCCTCGGCGCAGCGGCTGACTGACAAGTACTGTCATTTTGTCCGGCCATGTCTTGGCGGTCCTGGCTGCACGCTGTTCCTGGCGGGCGCCGATGGAGCCACGGCCGCAATGCATTCCCTTCTGTACTCCATGCGCCATGAGAAACGCCTGGCTCATGGCGCGCTCGACCTAGTGTGGCAGAATTAGAGGCAGGGGGAGAATGAACGGCGGGAGATGCTTAACGCCAAGCGTTCCTGGCGTCCAACCGGCCGAACATGACGGAACCGAAGCCCGACTTTTCTACGCTGCCAGTTACCGATATGGCTCATGTTCGTCGTCGCCCCCTGTCCGTGCCAGATCTATTCAAACAAGCCATGCATGCAATTGAACATGCACAAGAACCTTTCGTTTCTGCTCCACGTCTCTTCCGAGGCTGTAGACTAATGATGGCAGCCAAGTTGGCATCGTGTGTGGCATCTTGGACGTTAAAAGGGGCGCCCAGTCCCCCGCCAATCACCACGTTATCAGATAAGGTCGGCCGATGCCCCGCTCAGTAGATCAGCTCGCGACTTCTGCCGCCATGACGCCAGCCACAACCATGTTACGGCCCCATCGGCCCTTCCGAACCCTGCTCTTTACCACCCGCGCAATATCCCTTGCCTTGTGCTTCCACTTCGCGCAGCCACCATGCCGCAACTCTCGGAAACCATCCCCCGACGCTCGGCATCTACTGGTAGCCGACCCAAGCGACGTGACTGAACCCAACCTCTCGCTCTTTGTCCTTACAGGCTGCACTGACATCCTAACCCGGCTGTTCCGAAGGTTCACGCTCATGTCGGCCACACCATCAGCAATGTGGCCCCTGCGTGCAAAAACGCCATGCTCCTGCTCCGACAATGTGGAGATTTACCGGCCGGATACGTGTGATATGAGGCACCCGCTACTACTCAGCCGCCCAACTGCAGTCTCGACGCACCTTCACGACAGGTGGTGCCAACAGGTGTCTGGTAATGGGACCAAGGTGGCATCCCGGCCGGCTTGTGGTGTACCTTGCACCAACCGTCTGGCGTCCAGAAGTCATCACTGATAGTGCTTGGCTCGGCAGGCCCATCATGGCACGCCCCATCCTGGCTGCGTCATGCTACGCCCGCCTCGGCCCGCCTCAGGAAAGCACTTTACCGCAACGATGATATGTGCAGCCTGCCCCGCATGCCCATCACTTATGACTCGCGTTCGGCAGTGTATCCGGGTCCTACCTGCTGTCGGTGTCTTCGACTGGCTCGCAGAGGGATGCGTCTAAATCCGGGCTTGAGTCGGTCCGAGAGCGGGCGCCAAGCACACTGTTCCCCACCATCTGATGCATAAGAGCTGACACGGACGGCGACCATGCGGACGTGCGCTGACCGACTCGGTCACGGAGTAAATGCTTGTCCTGTCACCGAAGTCCTCGATTGTTGGCCTCGATGATTGGGCCCTGGTGCCTTGCAGCACTCCGCTCCGTCGAAGCAGCGACGACTCACTGACTCGGACCCAATGGTGAACGGGATCGGGCGCCACCCCCGACATCGGCGACTTTGGTGGGGGAGCCAAGCAGCCAAGTCCCCGCTGCACCTCAGTTCAGTATCGATAACCCGCCGCACGTGGTGCATGGTCTCATCGGACCCGGTGCGACCAGATTATGGCGTTGACGAGGTGCCCATGTGACTAGCTGGTGGAGTTATCCGACGAGCTCGCTGCATCGAAGAGTCTGGAGAGAGAAAGAGGTGTGATGCCCGCATGGACGACATGGACGACATGGCCATAAGGCAACGACATTCCTTTTTTGGTCCCACCAATAAGTTGTTTGTCACGATTTATCAACGCCGTGCGCGCGGCCTTCATGGCAAGGAGATCTCTTACCCTCCTGAAACTTTCGGTGCGCCCAACATCAAGCTGTTACGCTTCCAATACGCTCGTATTCTTTACCGTCGCATGGCGGTGTTGGGCCGCTCCATGGCACCTCCTCCAGGTCGCAGCGTGACGCCTGCGGCTGGTCCTCCGATTCTTTAAGACCCTCCCTCCTGTTCACGTCCCTTGGTTTTCCGACTGCCAACCCCGTCGTACAGGCCTCGACTGATGAAAATACACTCACGCCGCCTGCAAAGCGTGCTCCCGGCTCGGACTTTGAGACAACTCCTAAGCAGAAGACTGCCAAGACGGGCTGAGAGCGAAGGGTTTTGTAGTCTGGTGTTGGAACACATCGATCCCCTGTGCTCATCACTCTTGGTTGGCAGGATGTTAACTGAACCTTGGCAATCGTTCTACATACGGCCTCAGAACTCGCAGAGCGCAATGCATGCATGAAGGGATGATGAATACCTCCCACAGGGTGTGAGCCGTTAAGCATCTCGAAAACGCCATCGACGGTCGCGGCACGTGATGTACCTGAACGAGATGCCGCGGTAAAGCATGAATAAGACTGGAATTGCAGGGAGCTCGGCGGGACGAAAATAGACAATTGCTGCAAGCACACCATCGTTATCAATCGCAATTCAGCCCTCCCCGGGCAGCAAATCGTCAGCTCACGCCGATGCTGAACAACTTATAGCTGCCATGGCGGTTTCACGCCTATTCCAGCCTGACAACTCGCCACCACCATGGACGCACAACCGCCAGTTGAGAAGCAGGCCTCCCTGGACTCGGAGGAGAAGGCCGTAGCGCCAGTCCCCGCCGTGAAAGCGGCGCACTTTGCAAGCTCGGACAACCTGCGCCGCAGCCTGAGCGCTCGACAGGTGCAAATGGTACGCTTCGGCACACCCTGGTGCTGACCAGCAGATCGCGATCGGCGGGACAATTGGGACGGGGCTCTTTCTCGGGACAGGCAAAAGTCTGGCCAAGGGTGGCCCGGGAGGGATGCTCGTAGCTTACGCGATCGTAGGCGGCATCGTGTACGTGACCATGCTCTCGCTCGGCGAGATGTCGGCGTTCATCCCCGTCGCGGGGTCCTTCTGCACATTCGTAGGAAGATTCGTTGATGACGCATACTCGATGGCCTTGACGTGGAACTACTGGTTTAACGATGCCGTGTCGACCGCGTCCGACCTCGTCGCCCTCCAACTCCTCCTTCAGTACTGGACGAGCCACTTCCCCGGCTGGGCGCTGAGCCTCATCTTTTGGTTTGTGCTCTTGGGGCTCAACCTGCTGGCCGTCAAGGTCTACGGGGAAGTCGAGTACTGGCTGAGTCTCCTCAAGGTCATTACGATTATTGTGTTCATCTTCGTCGGCATTGCGGTGAACTGCGGCGCCAACACAGACCACCGGTACATTGGAGGCAGCATATTCAACAAAGGCGATGCGCCCTTCGTCGGTGGCATCGGCGGATTCGCCTCCGTGTTCGTCACGGCATCTTTCGCGTACGGTGGCACGGAAAGCATTGCCATCACGGCAGGGGAGACCAAGAATCCGACCAGGAATATGCCCCGCGTTGTTAAGAACGTCTTCTGGCGCATCCTGCTCTTTTAGTGGGTCCGTTGCTGTGCTGGCTGACATCCAGCATCCTCTCTGTGCTGCTCATCGGCTTGAACGTACCATACGACTACCCTAACCTTAGCACCAAGTCGTCCGCAACCTCACCATTCACGATCGTATTCCAGATGACGGGCGCCAAGGCCGCCGGAAGCGTTATCAACGCAGTCATCCTCACGTCAGTCATCTCGGCAGGCAATCACGCCCTCTTCGCCGGAGCCCGCCTGTTGTACACCCTGGGCAGCGAGGGGCACGCGCCACGCTTCTTTGCGCGGCTGAACGGACAGCGCGTACCATGGGTCGCTACAATTGCAACAGCTCTCGTGGCGGGCCTGTGCTTCGGCAGCTCGTTTATCGGCGCCGGGCAACTTTGGAACTGGCTGCAGAACCTCGTCGGCGTGAGCAACCAGCTGAGCTGGATTAGCATCGGCATTGCGAGTATTCGCTTCCGCCGTGCACTGGATCGGCAGGGCAAGACACACCTCCTCCCTTTCAAGAACTGGACGTATCCGCTTGGCCCGTGGATTAGCGTCATACTCGGCTCGGTCCTCGTGCTTGTTCAAGGCTGGAGCTGCTTCAGCCCCAAGTTCAGCCCCGTCGACTTTGTCAGCTTCTACATTGAGCTGCCTATCATGCTGGTCATGTTCGTCGCGTGGAAATGGATCAAGGGCACACGTTTTGTGCGCCTTGAGGAGATGGACCTTGTCACGGACGTGTACACGGCCGCGGATGACGAGCCAGACAAGCCTGGTATCCGCGGACGTCTGCGGCGGGCGTTCACCTGGGTGCTGTAAACTGAAGCATAAACTGTAGTACATCGTATCTGATTATTCTGGACGGAAAACGAACCCGGGGAAAGTGGGGTCGGCACAGTCGAGGTAGTACTCACTGCGGCCCATGAGGTGGGCCATGCCGGTGATGCGCGGGATGCAAGCTGGAAAGGCTGTCGGACTCGGTACCTCGGAGTCCACGCGAGCGATGAAGATCGTGTTGATGATGGAGGTGTGATGCAAGCGACCTTTGCCAACGCCGAGCTTACCCTGTGCAAGCAACATCGCCGTCCGTGCCGCAGTCCCCGACCCGCACGGCGAGCGGTCCACCGCGCCCTCAGCGTACACAACCACATTCCGCTGGTGCAACTCGTCCCGATCCTCGGTGAGAGGCTCGTAGAAGCACACGCCGTACAGGTAGTTGTGGCGATGTTGGGCAGCCGAAACCTTGAGCGCAGCCTTAATTTCGCGCCCCAGTGCGACATATTCGTCATGTGCCGCAGGTGAGATCGTCATCCCCAGCGCGCGGACATTGACGAATCCATACAACGCCCCACCGTACGAGAGATCAGCCACAACATCGACGCCCCTGCTTTTGACGTGAACGCCAATGTCCGAGGCGACAAGGTACGAGGGCACATTGACGAAATCGGCGCTCACGGGCTGGCCGCGGCATGTGCGCACCGCAGCGACCACGCGTCCGGACGGCACGTCGATCACGACGTCGGTGACGCCATCGGGCTGCTGGAGCTTGACGCGCCCCGTCGCAATCGCCCAGCAACCGAGCGCGATCGTGCCGTGCCCACACGCGGTTGAGAATCCGTCCTTGTGCCAGAAAAGCACGCCGAAGGCCGCACCTGCATCGTTCGCGGGCACGATGAACCCGCCGTACATGTCTGCGTGGCCGCGCGGCTCAAGACATAGCGCGCGCCGCAACACGTCAACGGGGTGGTCTGGCGTCGCCATGATGTTCAGTCGGCGCTCCATGACTGTCGCGCCAGAAGTCGTGCACTGCTCCGGTAGCTCAGAGACGATGCGGAACGGCTCGCCTGCCGTGTGCCAGTCATCACTACGTACCCAAATGGGCTTGGGAAACGCCTTCGCGGCAGGGGAGGATGCTGTGGCGCTCATCGAGGTGCTGGGAGTGAGGGTGAGCGACAGGCGCTTGTAGACGCGACTTTATCAGGACTCGATGGCACGGTTGACGGAATACTGGTGTAGAGCGGATATCTGCCCACCTCGGCATTCTTGTGCCTGTGACTCGGCCCAATCGTGCGGCGACTCCGACAGACCTAATCGGTCACTCCTTCACCATCGTACACATGCTGAGCTTAAGGGATAACAAGAAAGCGAGAGACAGGGCAGGCAGTTGGTGAATCGGCGGATGAGACGACATCTGCGGACGGAGCGAGCAGACACTCGAGTCAATGATGGAACGTTCGTTGGTTCCCGTCGTTGGTGTTCCCGAGGAGGAATCGCTGATCTGAAATGGTGGGTTGGGGAATGGATCAAGTTCCTTCCATCGCTGATGTTGGGCACCTCTACGACTCTGCGCCGATGAGATCACCCCTCCTCGCCCTTCAGTCCAACCATAGCCTTATGCGCTAACGGATGTCCATCTAGACAGCGCTAATACACGCTCGTGTCTACGGTGACTGATGGACGGATAGTTTTTAATACCTACCGGGGCAGAACGAAGCCACCAGACAATGCCAAAATATGGACTTGGCGCCAAAGTGAGCGCATTTGACATGAACCACATACTACAGCCTAATGGTGCATGATAAGAGCTGCTACCGGCCATAAGAAGGCCGCACAGCTCTCTCTGGCACTCAAGCGACCTATAACACCTCATTTCTGCAGTCAGCCCACTACCATCCAACGCCACTCACGGTTTGGTCCGCAAAGGCCCCGTCTTGCCGCTCACGCTGCGCCATCTTGTGCTCCGTGTCGTCTGATCCGTAATGGTGCGCGCTGTCGTGCCCCGAGTGGTGTTTGTGACTTCCGCCATCCATGTGGCCCTCGCCTGCATGACCCTTGGAGGCCGAGTCGCCGTGGTGACGCGAAACATGGCCCTCGTGCTTGGGGTGCGAGTGGTGGTGCTCGGAGGCGGACATGGCGATGGGACGTGGGGAGCATAGATGCTGGCTGCCTATGCTCACCATATATACGTATGCAGGAGAAGACGGGAGGTGGGAAGCGAGTACGTTACCATGACGTCGTCCATGAGACACACGGGCATTACATTGCTACAAGCGAGATCAAGTGAACGGAGAGGCACTTGTGCATGAGATAGCCCGACTCGGGATGGCTCCGATTCGGAGAGACGGATGGCATGGAAGACTGATTGTGCCGCACATCATGATGAGGAGCACGATGAACCTGTCGGCCACATTATAGCTTAGACCACCTCCGATGCTGACTCAAACCATCGCAATATAACTTCAGACAGTGCATTGCTCCTCCTGCTACATCAGTAAACCCATCTCGCGCATCTCCTGCACGCCCGACTTCGGCGCAGTCTTCGTGCCCAAGCGTGTGTCGAGGAAGCGGTCCGTATCCCCTTCTGCATCGTGATTGTAGAGCCATATCTGAGTTGACGGGTCGCTCCACTGATTAGTGCTCCGGATATAATGCTCGCCCGTGAGGGTGGCGGCCATGCCTGCGTCGCGTGCCCTCTGGTCTTCCCCGTCGGGGTCTGGTATCAGATCTGGTGCCCTCTTAGCCCACTCACAGTGCCATATACGCCCGTTGAGCGCACTCCGCCCCTGCACCTCATACGCGCGATCCATACGGATGTCGGCGAACAGCTGCGTGAGGGCTGGGAGGTCCTTGGGGCCACTTGCGCGGGCAAGCACACGGCCGAGAGCAGCAGCATCTTCCATGGCCATCGCGGCGCCCTGCGACATGTATGGTAGCTGCGGTCAGCGGCGCCGCGCGGCGACTCACCATGGCGTGGCACGCGTCGCCAAGGATGACATACGTCCCGTTCGGGTGCACCCAGCTCTTGAGACGCTCGTATCCCATCAGCTTCCACTTGCTAGTCTTGTCAATGAGGCGGATGATCTTGGTGAGCCAGCATCAGCACTGCCGCCGGAGCGCTCACTTGGGGTCCCATCCCTCGTAGTGCTGCCGCATCTCGGCGATGAGCTGCTCCTGCGTTGCAGCGGGATCGACCGGCCCCTCGTGCGGGTGGCTGAGCACCATGTTGAACGTCTCCCCCCCGCTGATGGGGTAGCTCATGACGTGCCGCTCATGCCCTATCCAGAGGTGGAGATCTGGCTTTTCGACCAGCCCTCGCAGCTCGGGATCGGCGCGCAGTGCCGCCATCGGCACGGTAGAGCGATACGCACAAAAGCGCGTCTCGCGAGGCCCCGGGTCCTCGCCGCCGAGGAAGAAGCGGCGCGTGACGCTCTTGAGCCCGTCACACCCCACAACTATGTCGCCGCGCACGACACGGCCGTCCGCCGTCGTCACCGACGGCGCATCAAAGTCCACGCTCTCAATGCGCCACTGCACTTCGACCGTGGCGCCGAGCGCGCGCGCACGCCCCACCAGCGCCTCGTGCAAGTGTGCCCGGTGCACGACCCAGTAGGGCGCGCCGAAAGCCGCCGCGAAGTGTGGTACAAGGCGCGTGACCCCGATTGGCGCGCCCGTCTCCCACCGCCGGAACCAGATGTTGCCGGGCTCGACGGCAGACCCGCGCAGCTCGTCGTACACGCCCCAGCTGCGCAGGAGGCGCGTCACATTTGGCGTGAGCTGGATGCCGGCGCCGACCTGAGGTCAGTGAGCGAGCAAGCGAGCAGCGCAGAGGGACACGTACCTCGCCGAGCTGGGCGGCTTGCTCAAGCACTGTCACTTTGTGACCGGCTAGCGTACAGGAGATGGCGGCGCTGAGACCGCCGAGGCCGCCGCCCACGACGACGACGTGGAGTGGCGTGCCGCCGTCGCTGCGAGCGAGGTTGGTCGAAGTCGGAATTGTCATGTCTGCGAGAGCGAGGGCCAGTGGTTAATCATGCAGCCAAAGAAGATGCGTTCTTAACACACAGCAGCTGGGTATGACGGGGAAGTGGATGCGGCGTCTGCTGCGATAGTGACAGTGCGGTATGCTCGGTTCGGTAGTGGCGCGTGGAGCGCGTGAGCGCGTGATGAGCGGTATCTGCGGCGTTCATCTAGACTGTACGCGCCACATGACGCCGCGCAAGCTCGGTTCGCTGGTCCGCGTGGCTGTGGTGGGCCAGAGGTAAGCGATCGAGGGAGGAGAGGAGAAACGAGAGACCGAGAGACCTGTTGTGGAGAGGTGGGAATGTGGAGTCGTATCCGATCTACCCGCGGAGTGGGCACTCGAATCGATCCGTCCCCGTAATCATGTGGCAGTCACCGCACTCCTCTGTCACTCACCGGTCTTGACACTTGCCACTGCCTCAACTGGCATCCTCTGAGCATTACGCCCTGCGGCGTCCAGCTTCGCCGCGGCTTGATGCCTTCTTATCCGACGACCAGAATGCCGCAATACTTGCCGCCGACGACCAGAATGCCGCAATACTTGCCGAGTTGCACGTCCTCAATCTCCTCCGCTGTCCTCCCATAAGAAGATCCAACACGCGCCCAGAAGTCCACATCTCCCGTGTCTGCCCTTGCCTTGCTCCAACCCGCCACATTGACCGACACGAGGCGCATCAATGACTGTCCACGGCTCGTCGACTTCCGCAACCGCCTCGGGCCCCCTCGCCCCGCCTCCGCAGTACGAGATCGAGGTCGCCAATGACAGTCAAGAACAACTCATCAACGACATCAAGGCCGAGAGCATTGAGCCACTGTGGCCCAAGATGGGGCGGCTGAACCCACCGGCGCCCGAGCCCAAGGCTGTCGCGCACAAGTTCGAGTACGCCCGTCTGCGCCCACACCTCATCCGGGCCGGCAAGCTGGTCACGGAGAAGCAGGCTGAGCGGCGGGTCCTGATGCTCATCAATCCCGCAATGGGTGAGTCGTGGTGTACACCTCAAGGGCTGTCGCAATGGAGAAACTGACATGCACAGAGGCACCACATACCACGGACACGCTGTACGCGGGCCTGCAGCTTGTGATGCCGGGCGAGACAGCACCAGCACACCGCCACACGGCGTTCGCGTGCCGGTTCATCATCGAGGGCAACGGAGGCTTCACCGCGGTCCACGGGCGGCGCATCAAGATGCACCGCGGCGACTTCATCCTCACGCCGACGTGGTGCTACCACGACCACGGGAACGAGTCGGCGGCATCGCCCATGATCTGGCTCGACGGCCTCGACCTCCCCCAGTTCCAGCATTTCCCCGTGCACTTCGTGCAACACTACGAGCAGCCGCGGTATCCGGCCGAGGACGCGCCGACGTCGCCCATCGTCTTTCCGTGGGCGGAGATGCAGGCGGCGCTCGACGCCGCGAACGGTGCGCACGCCGTTGTCCGCTACACGTCCAAGGAGGCTGGCAAGGAGGGCCAGGAGGTGTCAAAGATCATTGGTGCGCAGTGCGAGCGGCTCGATGCGGGCGCGACGTCGGAGCCCGTTCGCGAAACCACGAGCGCCGTATACCATGTCATCGATGGCTGCGGGCATTCCTCGGTCGGCGATAAGGTCATCGAGTGGATCAAGGGAGACACGTTTACTGTGCCCTCGTGGCACAAGTACAGCCACACGGCCGCCCAGAACACATACTTGTACCGGTTTGACGACCGCCCCATGATCACCTCGCTGGGCTTCTACCGCAACGAGAAGGAGGATTTCTACAACCAGCTCTAGGCGAGGTAATAGAGTGTGGATAAAACAAGCAGTAGTCGAGTAGAGTTAAGTTTGAGCGTTTGGCGTGGTGGGAGGATGCCGCCGCTGACGTAGTTGAGCGCTCTGACGCGATGCGACCCATGTCACGTAGTGCAGGCGTGTGCAGGTGCTGAAGCATCTCAAAGTGACCTCTGATGATGTTGACCAACACGCGCGGCAAACTTGGGCCTGTGCCGAACTCGGGTGGCAGCTGTGAGATCGTCGGCATGTCAGGTGCCAGTCACCAGTCCCATTCTCGCCCCAAGTGGAATGGACTATTAGTGGTCATCTGTCTCGGGAATGCTGGCATGCGGTGATCAACGCCTCATCGTCAGTTCGTCAGCGTGGTCAGGAATGTTCGTTTGGGTAAGATCGCGTGGGAGCGGAGTGAGAGTACCTGGAGGCCTGGAGGCCAAGCGAGCCAACGAGGTGCAGGGCGCTGGCAATGAGTGATCGTGTGAGGCGTCGTCATTGGGTAACGAGCACCGAGGGCCGGGAGGACGAGGCAAAGAGCGGCAAGAGCCGAGCCAAACGTGTTGCTCTCGCTCTCTCAAGCCATGCAGAGCTCACCATGCTGACCATCTCCCTCCCTCACCCCACGTGCCTACCCGCGGGGCCTCTCTCCCCGCCGGCCTGCCCATACCGCCCACCGGCCCAAGCCCACCCACGGAAAGTAGCCGCATCCGCAGCATGCCAGCATGATCACAGGACAGAGCCGCGGGCCAGGAGAGGGCCGAGAGTCGAGATCATGTGGGGACCATGAGGGAGGAAGATGATGAAATCTGCTAAGCGAGGCGCAGAGATGAGGAGGAGGATGAAAGGAAGAAGGAAGAAGAGGAGTTTGAGTGACCTGTCCGTGTTTAGTCTGTTGAGGTTCATCCGGATCCGTCTCATCCCCTATCTTGCTCCATTCTCATCCATCTCTCTTCATCACCTCCATCTCTCTCGCCATCTCTCCATGCCTCCCGCTCCTCCTCCTCCTCCTCCTCCACAACACCTCCTCCAAAGCACAGGCAGCAATAACAGCCCAGATGCTCCAGTAAAGAAACGCAAGCGCACTGCCCAGGCTTGCGGTCAATGCCGCACCAAGAAGACCAAGGTTAGCAGCTGTCCTCTTCTCTTCATCATCCCCATCTCATCATCGGAATACCGCGGGCAGCGTCCAGCGTGCCGGCTGGGCAGTCACCAGTGCAGTCAGCCTAACATCAGTGCGATGGCATACACCCAGCATGTACCCCATGTATTCAGCTCGGCTACGAATGCTCGTACCCACTAGACTCGAGCGCACCACCTACTGGCTCGGTCGTCGTGAGCAAAGAGTAAGGCCCGCCCACAGACATCCATATTGACGCTAGCTATCTTGCTGCTCTGGAACGACGTTTGCATCGCCTCGAGTCGGGGCCGGAGCGCTCCTCAGCACCCAACTCTACATATGTCTCGCCCCCAAGCAACGTTCGCCATGGGAGTACACCGCGCACATCGAGCTCGGTGGACGAGGGCCAGCGCCTTCAGTACGCCCAAAACAGCGGCGGCTTGCAGCCGAGAGACTACCCTGGGCCTGACGGAGACGACTATGCTCACCCAGGGCCAAGCCCGGGCTCGTACAGACCATTCGGCGCTAGCCAGCGTACAGTACCCTCCGAGCGCTCGACAAGCTTCTCCGGCAGTGCATTTCAGATGCACGCAGCGCTGGCGCGGCCTGAACCCGCCACCGCTACAGTCTTGTCGCCAGGCAACACCGCAGATGGGTCCGCTATCGATGGCATGGGGCTGCTCCTCGCACCAGAGCGTACGCCGCGCAATCCCCAACCGGGCGGCGGGCTTGGATGGGGCGCATCACCCGAGGGCGAGGTGTTCGGCGATCTCTCGGGCATCTCATTCCATCGCCTTCTTCTGGACACCTTGCTCCCCGGAAACCAGTGCATGGGCCCAATGAACGACATGGCAGTGACCAACACCGATTTTTACGAGAATGGACATGGAGGAGACGGCGGCTTTCTCGGGGTGCCTCCCTTACCCGACATGTTCTTCATCCGCCCCGAGGACCTACCGCCACGAGCACAAGCGCGGGTCATGGTTGACTACTTCGAAAGCCATACCTGGCAGCTGTACCCGCTCGTCGACTGCGCCAGCCTCAAAGCCACGTACGAGAAACTGCAAGATGAGGCGTCCGAGTACGCGCGCCACACGCTGGCGGATAAGCCTGGACATGTCCCCGACCCTCTTCGTGTTCCGCGCAATCAGCCCATTATTGCTCTGCACTTTGTTGTGTTTGCCCTGGTTCAATCCATCTCAGAAACGCCTTTCACTCGCATTGACGGTGAGCCTAACTCGGCTGAATAGCGGCCGGAGCTTACCATACCAGTACACCGGCTAGCACTGAGAATGCTCCGCAAACACCTCGACTGGCCACACAGCACGCTCAAGGTCCAGGTGTTGCTCATTGCCGCGCTGCTCATGCAGGGTATTGATCGTCCTGGTACGAGTTGGGATCTGCTTGGCTGTGCGTATCACCGACGAGAAACCCTGCCAATACCGTGACTGACTCTCAGATGCCATCCGCTCCGCATACGCTGTAGGACTACGTGCGTGCCTATTTTTTGGCCTGTAGCTGATTGCAGACGACAAGGACCAGAATGAGCGATTTGCCCCAATCGAACGCGAAATGCGATCTCGAGTGTGGTGGGCGTGCTATACCTTTGACCGGTGAGCTGGCGCGAAAGGGTACAGCTGATTTTAGCCTTCTTACTGTGTCCATCGGACGGCCATCCGTGATCAGCTTTGATGCGTTCTCGACACCGCTGCCTACGCCATTGCCAGGCGAGCAGGAAATGCCTGTTCGCTTCATGAGCGACTCTATGTGAAACACGTCTGTCGGAGTTTGTGCTGATTGCAGACGCCTTTACAGGGGGCTTAGCGATGTGATCAGCAACCCGCCAATATCGTTTCGCAACGCCTCTCCTGAGTTTGTCTCGTCTGTCACGGCGCAGATGTACCATTTGGAGAAGGAGTACGCGCACTGGAGCGAAGGGGTCACGCCAGAGCTCAACTTTGCCCATCACCCTCCCACTTCGGCGCTTGCAACAGTGCTCGCTCTTCGCGGGCTGACCCTACGCCTCCTTCTGCATCGTCGGGTAATGCTTGCTGCGATCCGCGAGCACGTTGGACAGCGCTCCCGCTCCGGCACGCCGACCTCGGCCATGACCTCGGTGCAGTATGTTGAGTCGCGCCAACGCCATCTCGCTTTTGGCATCAGTCTGGGTCTAGTGATCGAGACTGCCATCCAGACTGCGCATGTGCTCGAAGGACGCACAGGAGAGCCCCTAGTGCTGTCCGCCCCATGGTACCTTCTGTTCTACTGTGAGTCGCGCAATGACCGTGACCATCGGTGCTGATCCCAGCCATGAACGCATTCATGTCGCTCGTTGCGGCTTTCCTCCTCGATTTGTCGCAGTGGGCGTGGTTCATCCGCACGCCAGGCGCGTCCATGGTTAATGCTCTCTTATCACTGCATGCGACCGTGCGGCAGATCTACGGGCGCTACAACAGGGCGAGCGCACGCCAGGCCTTGTTCATTATGGAGCACATCCTCACTGCGCTCGGTCTCCCGGCCTCTGACCAAGGGCGACCTCCACCCGCGCCTGAGCCGCCGACGGCCGACGGCATCGATGCCGTCGCGAGCATCATGGCAAGCTTCCAGGACTTGCCGCACCTCGACTTTGACGAGCTCTACAAGACACTGGGGCTCGAGCTTGACCAGGCCGCATTTTCTTAGGTCTCGCGTTGTACGTGCAAATATGACATTGTATTGGCGGCTGGAAAGTGGTAGGGGGCGTAGCTCGTGAAGCGGCGACCTGCACGACTCGCAGAAAGCGGATAGGCTAAGGCTAAGTGGCTGTGAACGGTGAATTTCGCCCCAGTGCGGGAAACTCACCTACATACACCTACCCTGTGCTCTATCAACGCCAGTATACCTCGCGTCTCGCATCCCTTACTACCGTGCTATCAATGACGACCTGCGTGCATAGCTGCCGAGATAGCGGAAGAGCCGCTAGCCCGTACCATCCCCGGCCGTTGTCACAAGTCGGCGAATTCGATGAACGCCGCACCCGGGGATATCTCGGCACCCCACTCATGCCTGCCCACTCGTCATCGCCCCTCATAACCAGGCAGCAGGCAGCCATCACCAGTCCCACCAAGCACCATGACGACCTGGAGACGCCTTATCCGCTTCACGCCCCCCAACTCCTCCGACGAGCTGTACGGCGAGCCCATCGTGGGCGACGGCGACGACGTCGGCCGCCTCGCTGACGCGGGCGAACTGCGCGCGCGCATCGTCCAGCCCGGCCCGCACGGCGTGCTTGGTCCCGAGACGCAAGTCACGGACCGCACCGAGAGCGTCGGCACCCTCCTTGCGCCGCTTGGGCCGGGCGATGTGGTGGACTTCAAGTGCATTGGGTTGAATTACCGCAAGCACAGTGAGTATTGATGCGCAGGGTGGACGGGCGGGGTTCCCCGTGCCAGCATGTAGCTGTCGGTGACGACGCCCTCGTCGGAGCTCTGGTTGTCCCGCTTTGGGCGGCCCTCGGTGTCCGTATCCTTGCTTGGACGTCTGAACCCGGCCGAGCATGCACGCACAAACTAACGCTAGTCCTTGAAGCAGGCCGCTCCCTCCCCCCCTTCCCCTCGCTGTTCATCAAGCCCGGTACCGCGCACGGCGAGTACGGCCGCGCCGTCCCGATCCCCAAGTGCGCGCAGGACGGCGAAGCCGACTACGAGGGCGAGCTGTGCGTCGTCATCGGCCGCGACGCCAAGGATGTGAGCAAGGAGGACGCGCTCGCCTACGTCGCGGGATACACGGCCGGCGACGACGTCAGCACGCGCAAGTGGCAGCGGCTCAAGGAGCGCGCGGGGGGTGTGCCCCAGTGGTGCTTTTCCAAGGTGTGTGCAATTCGTGTCTGGCCAGAGGCCAGAGGAGGGGGGCCAGAGATAGGGAAGGAGATGGAGGAAGCAGACGCAGGCGCAGGCGCAGACGCAGGGCACGGCACGGAGCGCTCACCGCAGGGCTTTGACAACTTTGCGCCGCTCGGCCCCGTCCTCGTGTCGCCCGAGCTTATTCCCGACCCCGCGGCATTGCAGCTCAAGACGAGCGTCAATGGCGAGCTGCGGCAGGACACGCCCGTGGCAGACCTGGTATTTGATGTGAGTTTGCCGTCGTTGCGTTGGTAGCGGGGCATTTCGTTTCGCAAGAGATGTTGAAGAACGTGGGCAGGGTTGGTGTCTGGCGCAATGGTTGCAACCGCCAGCTCCAGACCAGATCCGGGGCCGTTTATTGCCGGTCATAGCATGGAGGGGGACACGCGCACGGGTACGGGTACTGCAAGCCATTGGCCATCACCTCGCCGACCTCGCTCACTCAGATTCCGACGATCATCTCCTTCCTATCGCAGGGCACGACACTGCGCCGCGGCACGGTAATCATGAGCGGGACTCCCGGTGGAGTCGGATGCGCCGGCCCGGAGGAAAAGTGGCGGCCGCTCAAGGATGGCGACGAGGTCGAGGTGTGGGTGGAGGGTGTGGGTACGTTGCGCCACGGCATCAAGTACGAGTCGTGATGCCTGGCGCTCGCAGATGAGATGATGCATTGTTCGTGGACCTAACATGTGATCGATCAGGAGATGAGCTTGCGGCGGCGCTCACCGTTACGAGCGCTACTCGTGGCGACTTCTTACATTTTGGAGAACACCAGAGCTCAGCCGACGTCGCCACATCGCCACGTTGGAGAGTCCACCATCCCTAAAACTACATGCACCGCTTTTCTTTGCACCGGCACAACGCTGGATGCGGTGGGGTCGTGAGCGCGGTTAGGGCCGTCGTAAACCCCTTGCACTTCCAGCTGCAGTCACCGCGCCAAGGTAGCCAAGCTTGATCTTTATTCGCCCATGACATTCCGCAGATCTGCATACTCACGTGGATTTCATCGAGACGCGCCCATGATCCCATGATCCATGCACCAAACCCCACGCATACAGCACGATAGCCTGATGCGTCCAGGTAACAGGAAAGGCTGGAGAAAAATTGTATGGGGCTCCTGGCGAATTCAGCGCCTTACCGATTTATCCGCCATCCGTTAATCCGAACAGCGACGACAAGCCCTGTCGATCTGTCCAGCCAACTCAGCATTTCCTGTGGCAGACATTCCCGTAATAATCAAGCGTTTCCTGCGGAGGTCGAGATCCTGGCTGCATAGGTGTCGGACGCAGGCAGGTTGATTTTCTGGTCAAAGACGTGGCGATACCGAGCGCCTCATGCAATTCAAACCCAGGGTCCCGGCGATATAACCACTCAGCGACCTCGTATGACGCCAACGTGGGCGTTCTCCACTTCATTGTCCCGCAAGATACGCGCTAGCCCCGGCCCCGGGTACGTAACCTCGCTGGGCCGGTGATTCCAGGAATGCGGTGGCCGCTGACTGGTTCACGTCTGGATCCAGCGTCGCGGGGGGTCATAACCCATATTCCAGCGCTCCGGGCCCATCAAAGTTTGACCAGCCCTGTTGCAGATCGGCATGAGAAACTTTATCCGGCGTCGATCACACTGTTGAAAGCTTACCACAGCACAGTCGCCGGCCCATCCCTGCATTTCAGCACGCCTGTAGTATGGCGGCCAGCGCGTCACCATGTCGCGTGCACGGCCATGCATGACGCCTGCTGCTTACAACATCCGCCACATCATCCAGGTTGGAGCTGCTGACAGCCTTTCCTGGAAGGCCGAAGGGCGTAGACAAGAGTTGCAAACAGCGAGGAGGCGAGGGCGCAAAGTGGCACCCGACATCTCGGAACACGCGGAACACGCGGAATGGAGAGCAAAGCTGATAAAGGCACAATGATCTGCAGGACTGTGGCGGTGTGGCGGTGGCGCGATCCTGCAGGCAGACTGGATTCTGTCGGGGGAGGAATGACCGCCATATGAGCGCTGTACTGATCGAAGCTGCAGCTGCAGCGGTGGTGAGCGCCGTACGCCGTATGCGTGGGTATGGCAGATTGTCAAGTTTGATGCAGACCAGAGCACTATAAAGGCTGCAGAGTGAGGCAAGAAGCATGCACTCACATCACCACCTCCGCCACACTCCACTCCATTCCATCTACAATGGTCTCCGCCTTCGCGCTCCTTGCGCTCGCCATTCCAGCTCTTGCTGCCGACAAGGCATTCCTCGGATGTTTCAAAAACATTCCACCAGGAGGCCCCTCCGCGACTGTGACCTCTGAGGCAGCCTGCGACGTACGTACTTGCCCTCCAACATTCCACTGACATGCAGCGACTGTGCACTGACTACCCATACGAGTTCTACACCATCATCAAGGGCGGCGCCGCGCGCTGCCAGTGCGCCGACAGGCAACCCAACGGCCTCGGCAACTGGCAGGACGCCGCCGAGGGTGACCAGTGCCAGACTGGCGACGCTCGCGGATACCTCCGCAACCCCCCCTACACGCACACCGGCGAGTGCATCGCCGCGCCGTGGTTCTACTCGGGCGCCTACTCCAAGTCGGCCGGCATGTTTGGTGGCCCGGGCCCTTATGCCGTCAAGACCAACCCCAAGCAGGCCGACACGACCGCCAAGTGCTTCGACACTTGCAACGCCGCCGGCTACGAGTACGCGATCTACAACGCCAAGCCCGGAAACCAGATGTACTGTGTCTGCGCCAACGGGTACCGCGGCACCGCGGGCAAGTGCACCGGCGACACTTACTACGTCTACGGACGCGGCGGACCCTTCCAGCCAGGTGCCTCGAGCTCGACCTCCTCATCGAGCTCTAGTACCTCGGCGGCCACCTCTACGAAATCCGCCACCACGACTGTCACCTCCACCAGCTCGACCGCCTCTTCCACCAGCGCCACCGCCACCTCCACTAGCTCGACTGCTACTTCCACCAGCTCGACTGCCACCTCGACCACCTCGACCTCGACCACCTCTACTTCGACCAGCAGCACCTCGGCCGAGACGACAACGAGTGTGACCCAGACTCCCGTCGAAACCCCGGCTCCTGTTCCGTCGGCGGCCGAGACCCCTTCTCCCGCACCCATTGCCCCCGTCGAACCTACCATGCCTGGCCCAGAGGAGGCTCCGTCCGCGCCTGCTCCGGAGGAGGCCCCGTCCGCACCCTCTCCGGAGGAGTTCCCCACCGCGCCCGTGGAGCTGGAGGCTCCGTCTGCTCCTGGCCCCGAGGAGATCCCTCAAGCCTCAATTCCCGAGGCCCAGCCCCAACCCTCGATCCCCGAGGAGCTCCCGACCACTGTCGAATCTGAGCCGGCGCAGGTTTCCGCTCTCCGCAAGCGTGGACACTCTGCCCCCATCCTCTCCCCCTCGGCATCCCGCTGCATGCGTGGCCTCACGGCTTGCGCCATCCCCGGAACCAACGACTGGGAGTGCATCGACGCTATGAACGACCTTGAGTCCTGCGGCGGCTGCACCACAGGCGGTTTCGGCGACAGCGCCCTCGGCGTTGACTGCACCGCCCTCCCCGGCGTCAAGATGTCGGGCGTCACCTGCCAGACCGGGCGCTGTGTAGTCACCGCCTGCCGCGCCGGCTTCTCGCTTTTCGCTGGCCAGTGCATCCGCAACTAGAACCGGTGATCCGAATAGACATCCTAGACTCACCTAGAGCATTAGACGTAGATACACTGTAGGCCCTCATAATAGAGACTGTAACAATAGCTGTAAGCATTACTGCATTTGCACACCAACACCTGAAAGTGGGGGCGCCTGGCAGCTGGCAGACAATAGCGGTCGGTCATCGGTCAGGAATGAGGATTGCGCCTCTAGGAATTCAGGTTTGTGGCGTCGATCCAGAGCTCTGGACGGTCTCATCGCAGTCACCGCACAACCCGTCCCTGCGCTTGAAATCCTGCATGCGCGTTTGGTTTTTGCGAGTCACCATCCACTCCCAGCGCTCCAAGCTTACCCCGCGAACAATCTTTGGGGACCGCTGATCGCTGCGTGCAATCACACGCAGCCAGAGCATTGCACAGGGAGGAGATGGTAGCCGGTAGCCGACCTAGCGTTCTCTCTAAAATTCAAGGGCGGATTGGTAAAGTTCAACGCGGGAGCGATCAGCGCCCACGGGACAGCATGCATGGCGCGCACGATCGGCAGCAGTAGTAGATAGGTCAGCCGCTACTGGCTTGCTCGCCTTCGTACTACGATGGCGTTTCGCGTGGGCACTCGTGCCATTCCGGATTATACGCGGGTTGCAGCAGGCTGCCGGCATTGCTGGCGCGTGGCGGCGCCTCCGCTTCTGGTCGCTTCACGCGCACGGGCGAGCCATGCGAAATCCCTCCGCCGGCTTCGATCTTCTGCATGGCCGCAAGGTCCTCCAGGGTGATACCTTTAGATGCCCCAGCGGGTGGTGGGCGACATGTCAGTTCGTCTCGAGGCTCTCCGCCAGCCCCGCGCGACAGCTCTAAAGCGAAGCGAGCGGCGGAGGTCCGGTTCGCCACCTACAGCGCCTGACGCGCCAGATACCAGCCTAACAGCTAGGACTTGACGCTGGCGGCGCGGTGTTTGAAGCGATTGGCTTAAGAATGCGCGAGATATGTCATACATGTGGAGTGCGGTGCCCCGGTTCATTCAAGCATCGCTAGCGAGCACTGCGCGAGATTCGGGAGTCCATTGAGCCGCGCCAAGTGATGGTGAGAATGATTGGCGCTGAGAGCGAAGATTGTTGTAGCAATGAAAGTATAGAGCCGGCGAGGCTCACAGGTCAGTGAGCGGCTCACCTGTTCGGCATGTCCAACTCTCGCTGTACTGAAGACTGGTGGTGCTGCAACCATATGATCAAATCCCTGCACAGTATTAATCGCCTCACGACGAACTTGCAGTTGCCATACTGCTCAGCTTATCTCATCTTGGTCTCAAATCAGCTTCATTGCACTCCTATCTATCCTTAGTTTCGTAACATGCGTGCCGCATTACGTGCCCTCTTTGAGATGGTAAATGAGTCCAGCACGCTTCGAGCGACCTGGTGAGCTAGCTCTTGAGAGGGCAACTCGAATGACAAGTGCCCCTCGTTCAGCCGCTGGAACATATCCCATAGCGTTACTGAATGCACAGACCTTCTGTGGATTTGCATGTCCGAACGAGTTCCGCGGCGGCCCCGTCACGAAGACGAGGCCAGCCCTTGCGGCTCTCGACAATTCTCGACAATCCCGAAGTACGCTGAGTCTCATTAGCTTACTTCCACCGCAACCATGATGCCCTCTTGGCTGGTCTTCTCGCTCCAGCATGCATTGTTGCATGTGGCAGTGTGGCAGTCAACAGACGCAGGCACGATCAGTCGGCACGTGGTTACACGTGGCACTCATTTCCGATACCCCGATGGATAGCCGGTTTACCCGGATTGAGGCAGAACCGGTTGGGACAGAACCCCGATGCTGCACCGCAGCCTGCGACTCTCACCACATCCTCTTCTACATTCAAGGCGCATGCAACGGTGCACGCGTGCACGATACACAGCTGCACCGCTCCGTCGTGCATCCGAGCAAGCACACGATGAGGATTACAGGATTGATTAGAGCCGAAGCTTGGCGCACGTGGCGCGGCGGCGTTGTAGATCTGGCTTCGTTGCCACCTACGTATCTGGTCGTCCGCACCGGCCGTGCAGCGTGCAGACCACGCAGTATGCTGTATGCAAACACGGCCATAGCGCTGCGGCCGTGTTTGAACACCATGCCTGTCACCACATGCTGGTGTTGCATCTGCACCTATAACCTTTCACGGCCTGGGTCATCGCCTCCACCTCCCCTTGTTCTCGCTCGCGATCGGTCCCTCCTCGCCAGCTCGCCAGACTGTCAGATCATCCACCGTCCCCGAGGCCCGAGAGCAGAGCTTGTGGTGCGATGTGCAACCGCCGGGGCCGCTGAGATCCCTGCGCCCTACGCCATCTCTCCGACCGCATCGCACCCATCTCATCGACGTCGTTGTCGACGTCGACCGGCCTTGATCGGGCGTGGAGTGATGCACGCCGGACGTCAGATGTCAGTGAACGGGAACCGAGCAGGAATAGTAATACTGTGCTGAAAGCGATGCAAGACAGATGGCTACATGTGCTACAGCGGTGTGGATGCAGAATGAGGATCGGAAGCCGTCGGGTGGGCTACACGCGCCAGAGGTATGGATCACGTTATGCATACGCGATGAGAGACGCGTTGGACTTGGGCTTGGCTAGTGGAGAACGTGCAAAAGACGGAGAGCAGAGCATGATTGGATGGAGATGGAGAGATTGGATTCGAGCACGCCAGCGCAGCGAGGGCCGCAATGGAGAAATCCGAGATCACGCCATCATTCCACCGTCCAACGCCTCTCTATATTATCCTCGACTCCTCTTTTCCCCACCCATCTCTCTCTCTTCTCTTCATCTCATCTCCCATCACCACAAACACAATGGCCACCTCCAAGAACTTCGAGACCCTCCAGCTCCACGCCGGGTGAGCTCCCTGCCTCTCTTTCCAGCTACCCCGGCAACCCCGCTAACCTCACAGTCAGGAGCCGGACCCGACCACCCGCGCCACGGCCGTGCCCATCTACGCGACCTCGTCATTCACCTTCCTGGACTCGGCCCACGGTGCCCGTCTCTTCGCCCTCAAGGAGTTCGGCAACATCTACTCGCGCATCATGAACGTGAGTTTGTCTACGCAGGCTTCGAGGTTTTGGAGGGTTTGGAAATGAGAAGCTTGGGGTGGTGGTGGGCAAGACGCAGGGCAGCGACTGGGAGCAATCGACATCTGCCCAGTAGGGACCTCGGAATCGCCATCTTGGCGCCGTGGGGCCCTGCGCTCCCTGGACCGTGATTTTGACTCGGCCGAGTTGTGCCAGCCAGTCCGCGTACCAGCGTGGGCAATGGCGTGCGCGTCAGCATCGCGTCAGTCAAGTGGTCCTCTGCCACTTCCCGCCTGGGCGGTGTGGTGGCGTCGAGCCACGAGATGACACGACGTCGGACGTCAGAATGAGATGAGATCAGCCGGCGCGCAGATCTCGTCGGCTCCGTGTTCGCTTCGCAAGACGCCGTGTCTGATATCGTCACTGTTTGCGCCCACGGACCTCCTCCCTCCCCTCCCTTAAGAGTTAGCTCGACCAGATGCTAACCCGCAGCCCACTGTTGATGTCTTCGAGAAGCGCATTGCTGCCCTTGAGGGTGGTGTCGCTGCCCTCGCCACCTCCTCCGGCCAGGCCGCTCAGTTCATCACCCTCACCACCCTCGCCAGCGCCGGTGACAACATTGTCTCTACCTCGAACATCTACGGCGGCACCTACAACCAGCTCAAGGTCCTCCTCCCCCGTCTTGGCATCAACACCAAGTTCGTCACCGGCGACAAGCCCGAGGACTTCGCCGCCCAGATCGACGAGAAGACCAAGGCCGTCTACATCGAGACCATCGGCAACCCCCGCTTCAACGTCCCCGACTTTGAGGCCATCGCCAAGGTCGCCCACGACGCCGGCGTGCCTCTTGTTGTCGACAACACCTTCGGTGCCGGTGGCTTCTTCTGCCGCCCCATCGACCACGGCGCCGACATCGTTGTCCACTCCGCCACCAAGTGGATCGGCGGCCACGGCACCACCATTGCCGGTGTCATCGTAGACTCGGGCAAGTTCGACTGGGGAGCCAACGGCAAGCGCTTCCCCGAGATGGTTGAGCCCGCTGAGGGTTACCACGGCCTCAAGTTCTGGGAAACCTTCGGCCCCCTCACCTTTATCCTCCGTGCCCGTGTCGAGCTCCTCCGTGACCTCGGTGCCTGCCTGAACCCCTTCGGCGCCCAGCAGCTCCTCCTCGGCACTGAGACTCTTGCCCTCCGCGCCGAGCGCCACGCGTCCAACGCTCTTGCCCTCGCCCAGTACCTCGAGCAGCACCCCCAGGTCTCGTGGGTCTCGTACCCTGGTCTCGCTAGCCACCCCTCGCACGCCACGGCCACCAAGTACCTCACGCGCGGCTTCGGCGGTGTCCTCTCGGTCGGTGTCAAGGGCGGTGCCGAGAAGGTCGCTGCCACTGTTGACGGGCTCAAGCTCTTCTCCAACCTCGCCAACGTCGGTGACTCGCGCTCGCTCGCCATCCACCCCTGGTCGACCACCCACGAGCAGCTCTCCGAGGAGGAGCGTGTCGCCTCGGGTGTCTCTGAGGACCTCATCCGTGTCTCGGTCGGCACCGAGCACATCGACGACATCATCGCCGACTTTGAGCAGGCCCTCAAGGCCATCGCCTAAAGCAACCCCCTTTTGGTCAGGTGGTCGCGAAGGTCGCCCAAGTAAAAGCCGCCGCGCCGTCGCACCGCGCATCCCGGCGTAGACAGAAGGCATTGATTAGACGTAATCCTGGGCTTGGTAGTTCTGGCTCTTGCCGCGGGTTCCAACACGCGTGGCTGAGAATGTATAAAGTAGCACTGTGCAGTGAGGCTGTCTGGCAGATAATTTCAAATATTCTTGTGCGGTAGCAGAATCTGAAGATCGATTGAAGTGTGCACACTAGGTGCGCTGTCACCACATCCGATCTCCACGACCCACTCTCTCGTATCTTATCATGTAGTCTTCACGACACTCCACCGTGAGCATATGGGTACCGTAATCTTGCCCGACGCATTTTCCTCGCCAAGATAGCCCGGGCAAAAAGGGTAAAGTATGCGGGCAAGTGCTCGGATGCTTACGGACTTTGATGGAGACCCGCCGGAGAAACCCCGACCTTTTTGACGATCAGTTTTTCCAGCGCTCAAACTTTACAACCGCCTTGATTTTAGACCTGTGTCTGTGACGCGCTTGACAAATTGGCAGCCCGACGCGATTCGAGCCCGAAACGAGCCCGGTCGGCACTCGCACTCGGGACTCGGCTTCAGGTTACAAGGTGGGAACCAGGGCCGGCGGCAAACCCTACTCCCTGGACATGTGCTTGCTTGGCAGCAGAGGCAGCTCAACATTTCCCCCACCCCCGACTGACCCAAAGTTCTGACGCAGTTCACAGCTCACCGCTTCAGCCAGCAGACAGCACGTAGCGTCAGCGCTCTCGGCCGCGCCCCCGCCACTCGCCTTTAGCCAAACCCCGCAGACCGCCCCGCGCCCAGCACAATGGACGTCGGGCAGTGCGTGCGGGCAACTGGTCTGCTGAGTCGCCCGAGGAAAAACGCGCCGACACCACTCACTACTCGTTGACTTACCCATCGCTCTCACTCCTGCCGCTATCGTTGCAGTCTTCGGTGTCAACAATCGCTCCCCTTGTCTCTCTTTCATTCTTCCACTCTCACCGCCCCGCCTACAGGCTACTACCACGATGGGCTACCCCGAAAAACGCACCGGCTCGCCCGGCTCAGGCTCGGCAGAGGAGGGTTATGCCGTCCACTCCGCGGTCGATGACACGCGGCATGACGCCGTATTCGGCGACATGGAGGAGGGCGGCCCCAACTTCCGTAACGTGAGTGCTAGCCGCGACTGTGCGGCTGTGATGACGCACAAATAGTCAATTCTGACGGCAGGTCGGGTGGATTGGCGCAACGGTGCTCATGATCAAGAGCGCGTTCGGCCTCGGCGTGCTCTCGATCCCCTTCGTTTTCCAGGCAGTCGGCATCGTGCCGGGCGTTATCCTGATTGTTGTCGTCGAGCTCATCGTGACATGGAGCGCGTTCGTCCTCGGCTCGTTCAAGCTCAACCACCGCGAGTGCTACTCGATGGCCGACGTGGGGCGCATCCTCGCCGGCCGCTGGGGCGAGGAGTTCTTCACCCTCGCCGTCTGCATTTGCATGCTCTTCTTCTCCGCCTCGGGCATGGTCGGCGTTACGACCGCGTTCAACGCCGTCACGACACACGCGACTTGCACTGCAGTGTGGATGGTGGTCGTCTTCGTCGTCTCCTTCGGTTTTGCCAGCATCCGCACCCTCGGAAATATCACCTGGCTCGCCTGGCCCGCCTTCTTCTCCATCCTCAGCGCCGGTGAGTGCTCTGCAATGCCACAGAACGTCCGTGCGCGGTCCGTGATCCGAGGTGGCTCCGGCCGCGCCTGATCTTTCCCCTGTCGATCTCGCCATTCAGGTGGCCGGTGCGCCAACTGAATGTGCCTTTCGATGCCCACTTCCGAACCCTTTGGCTCTGCCACAGCCGCCTGCCTCCGCTCGGCATGTGCTAACCCCAGTCCTCGTCATGACGATCGCTGTCGGCGTGCAGGACCGCCCGAACGATGCGCCCGCGACGCCGGCGCCGTGGGACAAGGACTTCAAGATCTTCAACAAGACCGACTTCGTCGGGGGCATCAGTGCCGTCGCGACCATCCTCTTCGCGGCCGCCGGCACGCCCACCTACTTCGGCATCATCTCCGAGATGCGCGAGCCGCGTCTCTACCACCGCGCGATGCTCATCAACCAGACCTTTGTGACCCTCGTCTACATCGTCATTGGCTCTGTAAGTCCCGATTCTTGCCTCGCTGACCATAGGTCGTCTACTGGTACTGTGGACAGTACGTGTCGCAGCCCTCGCTCGGCTCTGCGGGCCGCGTCATGAAGAAGATCTGTTACGGGCTGTCAATTGTGAGTGCCCCTCGATCCCATCCCAGTCTCTACACAGCTAATCCCAGCCCGGTCTCTTCTTCTCGGTAATCCTCTGGGTGCACATCCCGGCCAAGTTCATCTTCGTCCGCCTCCTGCGCGGCAGCGAGCACCTGACAAGAAACTCTGTCACGCACTGGGCGACGTGGCTCATCGCATCGTTTGCATGCACGACGGTGGCGTACATCATCGGCAGTGCCATCCCGATCCTGAACAGCATCATCAGCCTCGTCGGCGCGCTCATCGCCCCCACGCTCTGCATCACCCCCTTCGGCGCGATGTGGCTGCACGACAACGTCCGCGGCCGCAGCTGGCGCTCCCTCTCGACATGGAAGCAGGCGCAGACCGCATGGGCCATCCTCGTCATCCTCATCGGCGTGTTCATCACTGTTGCGGGCACGTACGGCGCAGTCGTCACCATCGTCAAACAGCCGGGCGAGGGGTCGCCGTGGTCGTGCGCTGACAACTCCAATTCGGTCTAGACGACTGACATTCCGGCGTTGTGGCATTGGGCCCAATAATCCTGTACATTAGCTCGCATAGCATATTGATACTCTGCATCTTGTGTATGGCGGCGTGTTGGCGCGGGAGTAGATCTGGGCGCGGCGATTCCTAGATCGCGGACTAAGAGTTCCTCCGCTGGAGACTGCGGCGAAGAGATTTCCCTGACTGTACGGACAGTTGCCCGACAGAATCTTGGCGAGGAGTGTAAGCGCCGCCCGGCGGGGTGTGGGTGCCCCGCGGAGTCGTGAAGGGTGCGGGATGAAGTGCCAGCATGGGACGGATATGAGGTTCAACTAGCAAGACCCGGTAGCATGTCGATTCCCAATTTGATCGCCGCTCACGCTCGTATGCTAACGATGCAATCACTTTCAACGTGATGGAAAACGAATACTCTGGTCTACATGTGATGATTAAATGCTATTCTACAATTATACACAAGGCCTTCAAGCTCCACAGGAAACTTCTTAGGCCTTCTGGATCTTGAGGCCGTACTCAAGGAACATCGCGGCGATGTAGTCGCCCGGCCCTCCGGCAGGGAGGACGCGGTTGCCGCCGTAGCCCGAGTTGAGCCATGGCACAGAAATGACAGGAGCGATAGCCGTCATATATCCCCATCCAAAGATGCGGCCCCAAGTGCCCCGCACTTTGCGCCCCGTGATGCTCTTGAAGCTCTGCTCGGCGGCACACCCGGCGCCAGCGAGCATGAAGAAGAGAACGAGTCTCCCCGGCGACCCGACGGGGTCCATGCACATCTCGGAGAGGGTGTGAAGGAGGCCGCTGAAGAAGAACGTCATGAAAAAGAGGCTGCGGCCGTTGACGGGCATGCCAAGGGCGCGGAGCACGACCGTCGCGGTGACGATGAACATGTGGCGGAAGGTTTGGTGCCAGCGCTTGCCCCAGAGGTCGATAAGCGAGTCCGACTTCCAGGGCGCGCCGAAAATGTTGGGATCCCACGCCTTGACGGGCGCACCGAGGGCGACATGCACGGCCGCAAACAGCTGGTACAGCCCCTCGAACGCCATCCAGATGACCACGAGGATCGCGAGCTGAATGATGATCTTGACGACATAGTTGGGCACAGGCACATCGAGCAGGCCGGGAAGCGCGATGAAGCGGTTGCCGTAGATGAAGGTGTCGAGGACGTTGCTGCCGCCATACGGCTGCTGGAAAACGGGGTCGGCACGGCGCATAAACGAGAAGCACGCATCCATCCCGACATACAGGGCGGCAGCGTATGCCGCATGCCTCGCGACGCTGCCGGCGCGCGAAGAGGGGCGCGGACCCAGGCAGTTCTGCAGGTGGCGCTCAACGTAGTCGGGCGGCACTTTGGCATTCGAGACACCCGGGCTGACGTCGAGGCCGACGTTGCCGAGACCAATCATGCGGCTGTTAACGAGCAGGTCCCACGCAGCACGGCTGCGCCGCGGGCTGCAGGGGTCGCGGATTGGGCCCTTGAGGCATGCAAACTCGATCGTCTTGAACATGAACTGGAGGTAGGGCATGGTCACGACGTGGTTCCACGCGTTGAACCACGGGTCTGGGGTCAGCGTAATCCTGAGGTGGAAGTGACGCGCGAGCTACCAGCGCGCAAGCGGAAATCGGGAATGCAAGTGCGGAGCGCACACGCCCCATGGTCGACTCACTCGTGAAGCGCGTGCTCGTCCAGGCGGACCACATGCCGATGAGGCAGGCGGCGCCGAGCGCGACGCGCGTGTACCGCGTTCCAGGTTCGAAGAGGAGGTAGCACTGGGCATACAGGAGCGCGATGGGGGCGAGGTACCGGGCGACACGCAGGGGCGTGAAGCCCACGGCGTTGGCGATGATGTTCCGGTGGAGTGTGTTGAGCCAGCCAAACGGCCATTCCGTTGCAGAGCGGGCTGCGGAAAGGACAGTGTCGGCCGAGGCGGTGTAGACCTCAGCAAACGATGGCAGGGGGAGGGAGGTAAGCGACATGTGAAGGGGCGTGGAGTGTCGGAGATGAGCTTGGAGTAGCAAGAGGCGCGGAACTGGTGAGCGAAAGCTCAGCGGTGTAACGATCGTAGGTAGGGTTCCGCGAGAGGGAGCGTGAGAACGCGTTAGCGTATGAGAAGAAGGGCGAGAGAGTGTGCAAAAGAGAAAGTGAGAAATGCAAGAGATTGCAGTGAGATGAGACGGAGATATAGATTGGACATAATGTGGATGTGGGGTAAAAGGATAAGGCATAGCCGGCGCGGCGCACGGGACGCAGAGCGGGGAGCTGGGCCCGCGCATTGCCTACGCGCGACATATTTCTATTGCTCCAGGCTCACTGCGCGCCCCACTGGCCAGCGGCGGGACGGATGCTGGAGCGCGGCGCTGATGAGGCGAACCCCCTTGAGTAGGTGGCGCCGGCCGGGACAGATGACAATAAGCTTGAAAGTCATCGGCGATCAGCGGGATGCGCCTCGTCCCTGGAGCCGTGCGTCTCACGTGTGTCCCACGCGCTTGTCACGTGAGCAAGTGCAGCCCTCACTTCCTCCACCAGCGACATCCACCTCTCGCCACCACTGTCATCTTGGTCTCACTATCTTCACCATAACCCTCCATTGCACCCACTCTCATCATGCTGCTCGCTGGATACGACTCGGACTCTGACGCCTCGGGCTCGGCCTCACCACCCCCTGCGCCCGCCCCGGCCCCTGTTCCTGCGACAAAACCAGTAGTCAAGAAGAAGAAGCCCGTCAAGATTGCTCTTGATCTTCCGCCGAAAGCGAAGGGCAGTGGAACGAGCAAGGAGCCCGAGGTTGAAGCCGATGCTGGCGCCGACACCGACGCCGACGCCGAAGATAGGCCGCCGGCCAAGAGGAAACTCGGAGGTGTGGGAAGGTGAGTTGGTGTAGCTCGGGACGTGAATTGACACCAGCTCTGCATTGCTAGGCATGCTTCCCCCACCAAAACGTAAGCTGCCATCGACTGGGATCAAAGCCAAACCCGGCTCGGCATCCCGGCCACCAACATTGGGCATCAGCATGGGGCTGTCGCGGCCTTCGGTGGACGATAATGACCACGACGCGCCGGCCTTCGTCCCCAAGGTTGTCAAGCGCAAGGCGGAGGAGAACCTCGATCTTTTCGGGCTATGTGAGTCACGGATACTCTCCCTGGATAGTCTAACGCCAGCCGAGGCCGTCACCAAGCCAGCTCTGTCGCTCCCAAAAACAACACCAAAGCCGACAAACATCACATCCGCGCCCCCTGTGTCCGAGTTCGTCCCACCCGCGCCGAGTCCCGACGACCCTTATCCGGGCTACTACCAGCTTCCTTCCGGCTCGTGGGCGGCCCACGACCCTGCATACTATGCCAAAGCCGTCGCCTCGTTCGGCAACGCCAACGATGGACTCGCAGCGGAGGAGAAGAGCAAGGCGGCGCGCATCGGTCGAGACTGGGCGGCCCTGGACGACGGGCGCGCCGACGTACTGGAAATCAACGCGAATGATGGGCTCGCCGCAGGACGCGCCGAGGCCGCTCGCCGCGAGCGCCTTGTTCGTCCCAAGACAGACGATTTCGAGTACAAGCCTGTCGGGCAGACCAAGGGCCTGGCGCAGGACCGCCACCAGCTCTCGTCTCTGTTGTCGAGCGCGTACGCGCAGCGCGACGAGCTCGAGGCGCGGATCCAGGAGAACAGGAAGAACATGCGGAACGCACAGATGAAATATGGTGGGTGTCTGGTGTGTGTTGAGGGGCCCGCTGACCGCAGGTTTCTGATTTTCCTGCCAACGATAGACATCCACCCCGGAGGGGTTTGCGCGAGGATGTCACAAGTGGGCGGATGTCACAGGAGGCGTGGCTATTATCTCAATACTCCACTGTCGCGACTGGTGTACAACGATTGTCCATGCACATGATACAACAACAAACTGCCGCGGACGCCTTATAAGAAGAGGGCGTGATATCGGCATCGTGATGCGGGGAGCGTCGAGCCAGCCGCCCACGTTCATAAGTCATGACGTCGTCATCGAAGTCGTGGCCGTCAAGGCAGGCGGCGGCTGCGCGGTGTCGCGCTGGGCGGGTGTACGTGATCTTCCAAAGGCACTAAGCGGATGCGAACGAGCCCATGCGAATAGCGAGCGCCTGCTCGTTGTAGAACTCGAGCTCTCGGAGGGAGTAGAGCACGAGCTTTGCCTCTGGCGGCCCCATATCGAGCTGGGATCAGCGCTGCTAGCAACGGAGCAACCTACTGCGCCGCCGCGCCGCTGCAGCCATCTGTTGGCGTAGTGGATGATGGTGCGCACCTCGTCCTCCGAGCTGGCGTCAGCACCGCACAGACCCGGACGCCCCGGACGTCCCGGAGCCGTGGCGCCCATCTGGACAAAGCGCACTCACAGCGGCATGCCCCACATGGATATCCGCGTCTTGGTGAGGCCAATAAACTCCTGCACCATGGTCAGGAAGAGGATGAGCGGCTCCTTGATCTCGTTGAGGCGCGGGATGAAGCGCATCATCCTGGTGTCAGTCCTTTGGCCTCTGGCCTCTGGCCTCTGGCCATGGGCCAGGACAAGGCAGGATGCAGGATGCAGGATGCAGATGCACTCACCGGTCGAGGATGTCGAGGTAGCGGTCGACGGGGAAGACGCTGCGCGCCTGCAGCTCGCGCAGGTCGTTTTCGAGCTCGAACTGGAGTGTCACGTAGGCCTTCTCGTGCTCGAGCGGCGTGTGGCCTAGCGGCCATGGAGAGTGGTAGGACTGGAACATGGGGGAGGGGGGGAGAGTTGCTTGGGGGGAGGGTGGACGAGACAGCAGTGTAAGCTGTCCGTGTCAGTGCTGCGACGAATGTAGCGCCGGTGGAGAGTGAGGATGAGAATGAAGATGAAGATGAGAACGTGAGGTGAGGTGAGAGGGGCTAGACTGATGGGTGGCGGCCGTCTTAACCAAACGAGGAGACGAGACGGTTGACGGCGGGACATTCGAGACGCTGAGACATGAGGTTCGCCGGCCCTGCGTTTCATGGCTGCTGGCCGGCCGGCTGGCGTCCGCTTCGCTGCCTCCTCGTCCTTGTCAGAGAGACCATGCTTGGCTGAGCTGAGACGGCGCCAGCAGGCACGGTGGCGGATGGCTGTTTCGTGTGTGTCGTTTCGTGTGTGTCGTTTCGTGTTTGCGTGCGCTGTCCTGCCACACCCACGAGCGACAGAGCAAGAGTAGAAGGCATGGAATCAGCGCGGCCGGCCCTGACGGCCAGATCGGGTGGGCGGGGGCGCGGTGACATGCGAGGTGTCGTGGTCTGCCGAGGTGTGGTGTGAAGTGAGTGGGTGGTGAGTGGGGGTGACAGCTGGGCAGTCCCATGCTCACGCTCACGCCCACGCCCACGCCCACGCCCACGGCCACGGCCACGGCCAGCGGCACCGGGCGCGCAGATACCAGCGAGAGGGATGAGGATCTGAGGAGGAGACGAGCGAACATGTGACAGCGCACGAACAAAGGAGGCCCGCGAGAAGCAGCTGGCTCGTGCAGCAAGTGCAGGTTGCTCACCGCAGCGAGCAGGCTGCAGGCTGCAGACAGCAGAACGCGGTACGCAGAGTGACTGTGGCTGTGGCTTGGTTGGCTTGCTGTGGCTGCGGCGGTGGCGTCAGTGTGTGGGCACGGGCGTGGCGGGCAGAAGCGCTGTCCGCCCTGGCCGTGGAGCGCAGAGTGTGTATGCGCTCCCGAACCACAAGGCGTGTGGCTTGTGTGGGTGTTCGTGGCGTTCCTAGATCCAGCAATGTGGCAATGTCGCAGCGTCAGCAGTCAGTCACGAGCAGGCCGCTCCGCTGCTTTCAGTAACTCGAGACCCAAGAGATCGGAGACTTGCTCGGCATGCTTGGTCTGCTTGGGGTAATTAGAGTGCTTCCGCTCGTCAGCTCGCTCGCTCGCCCGTTTCCGCACTTCCGCTCGGCCTGCCGTCCGTCCGCAAGCGCCCGGCCTCTCGCCCCCACGCTCGTCCTCTCGCACTGCCGCTCGTCCGTCGTTGGCCATAGCCCTGTCATGCCTGTCACCTGCTGTCGCAGCACGGGCCTTCAGAAGAGAAGAAACTCTAATGCAACCGAGAGAGAGCGCGTGGATCTGAATACTCTTAATACATGCAAGTTAGGTGCGTTTTGGGGCCGGGTTGTATGGTGCTTAGGTGATGGCTGCAAGTCAGCGGTCTCTTCTCATTGATTGCCCCGATCTCAAATCTCAATCCGCAGCTGAAACGCCAGTTCGCCAGCTGAGCTGAAACGGAACTGAAACCATCACAGCCGGAGTTCACGCTCCCAGCTGAAACCAAAACTCACTGTACTTGGGGCCACCGCCACCCTCGGGGACGGTCCAGGTGATGTCCTGAGTCGGGACCTTGATGGAGCAGGTCTTGCAGTGAATGCAGTTCTGCGAGTTGATGACAAACTTCTTGCCCACGGCGTCGACCTCGGCACCCTCAGCGTCCTGGTACTCGTACACGGCAGCGGGGCAGACGCGGCCGAGAAGGCCGTCGTACTCGGTCACGTTGATCTCAGTGTGGCGCTTGCGAGCGTCCTTGTCGCTCGGGAGACGCAGGTGCACTGGCTGGCCCTCGGCGTGGTTGGTACCCGTGCGGGCGACCGAGGTAAGAATGTCGAAAGACAGCTCACCGTCAGGCTTCGGGTACTCGATGGGCGAGAAGTTGGCGGCGGGCTTGGTCGCGGCCCAGTCCTCCTCGGGGTGGTGGAAGGTCCAGGGCACGCGGCCCTTGAGGAACATCGAGTCGAGGCCCGAGTATGCCATGCCGCCCCACAATCCCAGGGGGTTGTGGAACGATGGGCGGAGGTTGCGCACCTCCTTGAGCTCCTTGTACACCCACGACTCCTCCATCTTCTCGGCGTACGACGACATGTCGACCGGCTCCTCCGACTCCTCACCCTTGGTGAGCTGCTCGTACGCGGCCTCGGCGGCAAGCATACCCGACTTCATGGCATTGTGGGTACCCTTGATCTTGGGCACATTCAGGAAGCCAGCCGAGCAGCCGATGAGGGCTCCTCCGGGGAAGAAGAGCTTGGGAATGGACTGGTAGCCACCCTCGTTGAGGGCACGCGCACCGTAGGCGATGCACTCGCCGCCCTTGAGCACGTCGGCAAAGACAGGGTGGTGCTTGAGGCGCTGGAACTCGCGGAAGGGCGAGATGTACGGGTTCTTGTAGTCGAGGCCGACGACAAGACCCAGGGTCACCATGTTGTCCTCCATGTGGTAGAGGAACGAACCGCCGTAAGTGTGCATGTCAAGAGGCCAGCCGAGAGTGTGGATGATCTTTCCGGGCTCGTGGACCTCGTCGCGCACCTTCCACACCTCCTTGATGCCGAGACCGTAAGTCTGGGGGTCGACACCCTCGCGCAGGTTGAACTTGTTCTGCAGCATCTTGGAGAGGGAGCCGTGGGCACCCTCGGCAATAAGAGTGACCTTGGCGTGGAACTCCATACCGGGCTCGAACGAGTCCTTGGGCTGGTAGTTCTTGTCGAGACCAACGTCGCCCGTGCACACACCCTTGACGCCCTTGCCGTCCTCGGTGTAAACGGGGTTTGCTCCCGCGAAACCGGGGTACACTTCGACACCGAGCTCCTCGGCCTGCTCAGCGAGCCACGACGTGAATCGGGAGAGGGAGATGATGTAGTTTCCGTGGTTGCTCATCTGAGGGGGGTGAGGCATGGGTGCGGAAAGGTTGCCGTTGATGAGGAACTTCATCGAGTCTTTGAGAGCGGGCTGGTTGAGCGGCGCACCCTTCTCCTCCCAGTCGGGGATGAGCTCGTTGAGTGCCCTAGGCTCGAGAACGGCACCGGACAGAATGTGGTTTCCTGGGGAGGGTTAGATGTGATCGTTTCGATAGCCCGCCTGAGCCGACGCGACTCACCAGGCTCGGAGCCCTTCTCGAGAACGACAACGCGGAGCTGGTCGTCTTTGTCAAGCTGCTTGAGACGAATAGCAGCGGAAAGACCTGCGGGGCCACCACCAACGATGCAGACGTCAACCTCGTCAGAGTCGCGCTCGATCGAGTTGAGGTCGAATGGCTCCTCTGCCTCAGAGGCAAAGGTGCGGACGCGAGAGACGACGGGAACGAGCGTGGCGACTCGTGGCCGCCTGACGACAGCGGCGACTGCCGAGCGGGAGGAGCCGATCCAGCGTGTTGTGAGGGACATGTTGGCGGAAGAGGAGTTCGCTGACCAGTGTCTACTGAGAGACGGAGTGGCGAACTGACTAGTGGAAAGAGAGAGAGGGCGATGAGAGAGAGAGAGAGAGATGAGTAGAGCGCGTTCAGGTAATCTCTATGAGGGGGCTGGCAATTGGGGGGAGTGTAATTGGCTGGAGGGAGGGAGGCAAGGTGAGCGAGGCGCGGACTTCGGCACGAGATGCCAAGGTCCGAATACCCGTGGTCCGTGGGAGGTTGGGGAGATTACACTTTGCGATTGCATTTCTAATCTCCTGCATTAATACTTTACTAATCCCCCCCTCCGTGACCCCGGCTAAGTTGCGTCCTTGCGGGTTTTGGCGACCGAGGAATTCGCCCACTTGGACGCTCCGAGCTCCATCGAGCTCTCTCCTCGCATTGTTTGTGACGAGGCGACATCAAGCGAGCGCTCTCCTCCACACACGGCCTCCACACTCCTCCTCCACTTGAGCATGCATGCCTCCGAGTGCCATGGCGACATGGCGAGCATGGGCCAGAGACGTGGGGCGTTGTACTCTCGGAGCCTGCTATCTCGGGCCGAGGCAATCAGCCTCCACTCTGTCACTCTGTTTCTCTCAGCATGACCACCAGCAAGCATGAACCACAGTGTAATCGACTCCCTCGTAAAATGCAGTAGCAGTCCCGGTCCACGTCTGCGTCAAGACCCGTTGACAGATGCGAGCTCCTTCCGAAAGCCGTGCATGGTGGCATGGTGGCAAGCATCGTGGTGGCCCGCGTGGCCCGCACTCCGGCCACCTCTTGGCGCCGCACAAAGGCCGGCTGGCGGTGGGAATTGGGCCGCGCCTAACCTGGGAAACCTGTATCGCCAGGGATCTCACGCGCCTAACAGTGACTAGCACGGGTGCACGCCTAGTCGCTGAGCAGATTCAGCAGATTGAGCCGCTCAAGCCGGCGGCTAATCACGCGTCACACCCTCCACCCTCCACGTGGCCTCCACCGCGAGTGACTCTCAGCTGTCGAGTGCTGTCATGAGGCATCGGTCGTCTCTCCCCAGCTCTATAGCTCTGAATTTCCACCTCTCGCCCATCTTCAACAACACCATGAAGGGCCTCGCGCTCGCCGCCCTCCTCCCCGCCCTCGTGGCCGCAGAGCACATCCGCGGCGTCGACCCAGCATGTACGTGCCTACCACCCGCACCTCCCTCATCCCCCGCTCACCCCAGTCGAGGACAAGTACGCACCCTCCCTCGCCGACTTCACCTGTCTCGACGGCTCCAAAACCATCCCCATGTCCGCGGTCAACGACGACTACTGCGACTGTCCCGACGGCTCCGACGAGCCCGGCACCTCGGCCTGCGAAGGCAGACCCCACGCCTACTTCTACTGCCGCAACGACGGGCACATCCCCGCCCGCATCCTCAGCTCGCGCGTAAACGACGGTATTTGCGACGACGCGTGCTGCGACGGCTCGGACGAGTGGGCGACCGGCGCGTGTCCTAACCGCTGCGCTGATATTGCTCGCGCACACAAGGAGCGCATCGAGCGCGAGGGCAAGATCCGGCGCACGGTGAGTGGGGGTGGAGAGGGAGGCAAGGGGCTGGAGGCCGGAGTCTGGGGCCCGGAGACTGGAGACTGGAGTCTGGGACCGGAGTCTGGGACCGGAGTTTGGAGGCTGGAGTCTGTCCAAGTTGGCGTCTTGAATCTTGAGACCGCAGTCTGGAGATCGCATTCTGGAGTTTGCTGCGCGGAAGTGAAAGACCTATCCTGATCTCACCCCAGGGCGCCAAGATCCGTGGGACATACGTCGCATTCGCACAGAAAGAGAAGAAGCGGCTGCAGGACGAGATCGCTGCCAAGCGCGTCGAGGTGCGCGAGCGCGAGCGGCAAGTGGCCGAAGCCAAGGCGGCGCTCGAGAACGCCGAAGCGCAGAGCCGCGATGACTTGGAACGCAAGAAGTCGTCCCGTGAGTCTCCCCCTCCCCTATTTTGTTCATCACTCGTACCGCGCTGACACCAGCTCTATACAAGGCGCTGGAGGAGCACCGGGAGGCGGTGAAGCGGCTGCGCGACCAGCTGCGCGCGACACAGGACGATCTCGGCACCGTACTCGGTATCTTGGACGAGCTCGCGAAGGGGTACAACCCCAACGGGCAGGACATGGCTGTGAAGGCTGCGGTTGTGGGATACCGCGAGCTGATAGGGGATGCTGAGCCCGAAGGCGAGGAGACGCCCGAGGCCAAGCTCCACACTGTCCGGGCGCCGGACGAGCACCTCTCAGGCTTTGACGTCGAGCGCGTCGTCAACGTCGACCTGGAGAGCTTGCTCGTGGACGAGGCGGCCGACGACGACGACGACGGCCTCCTCTACCGTCTCGAAGAGTACATCCCCGACTCGTTGTACGAGTACTACTACTCTGCGCGCGAGGCGTTCGTGGGCGCGCTCACGAGCATGGGCGTGTTGAAGAAGGATGTGGTCGCGCACGACGGCCCGCGTGAGTCACGGCGTCGTTGATCGCTGATGCCCAGACGTGTCCGCCGCGCGCGAGCGGTACAATGCCGCAGAGCGGGAGCTGAATGCGGTGCGCAGCGCCATCTCTGGCGCCGAAGAGACGCTCGAGCAGATCGGGAACAGGCACTGGTTCGGCCCCGAAGGCGAGTGGAAGAAGCTCGACGGCACGTGCGTCGATACCGTCGCGGGAGATTACACGTACGAGCTCTGTTTCTTCGGCAAGGCGACGCAGAAGAGCAACAAAGACCACTCGAGCAACAACCTCGGCCACTTTGTCGAGTGGAACCCTGCAGCCAAGCCCGGCGAGTATGCGTACTACACCAAGATGGCATATCGGAACGGGTGGGTACTAGGCACACGGCTGGACTAGCTGACGCCAGCGCCAAGTGCTGGAACGGGCCGATGCGCTCCGTCAACGTCGAGCTCGAGTGCGGCAAGGAGAACGCGCTGCTCGCCATCACAGAGCCCGAGAAGTGCGAGTACAACTTCAAGGTCACGAGTCCCGCGCTGTGCTGGCCGCTTGAGGATGCTGGTAAGCCTGTAGTCAAGGAGGATGTGGTCAGCGAGGCTGCCAAGGACGAGCTGTAGACCTGTAGAGCATGTTATAGGAAATGCAGTTACGACGGCAAGCGGTTGACTAACGCGATCATGGATGCCGACCATCCCACACCCACACCCATACCCCCTACCCCCACCCCCCCACCCCCACTCTCTGAGCTGCGATGCAATGCATGTCGTCGTGTCTACCAGGTCCCAGCGGAGGCGGTACGTTTCGAGACCTTGTCCCAGTCGAGGGTGCGGAACCAGTCACGCGCGTACTGGCCGCGCGAGAAGACGCCGTACTTGTCACCGAGGTATGCGTGCTCAAAGAGGTTGAGGACGGCGAGAGGTGTCGCCTCGGAGCCAGCGCGACGGCCGGCGGCGCTAGGGTTCTGCCTGGGAGGGGGGGCATCCGGGGAGGACTCGGCCTCGGGGGCGGGGGCGGGAGACAGGTCGCCCGAAGTGGCGGGCGTGCCAAAGACGGGGAGGGTGTCCTGCCGTCCGCGCTGCTGGCGCATGGTAACGAGGAGGGTGCCGGCGCCGTACGTTGGCACGACGTCGATGTCGGCGAGCCCGTCGCCGGCCTTGACGATCCACAGCCATCCCGAGCCAACGATGCCGTCGGCGTACGCGGCGACACGGTCCTCGAGCGCCTGGAAGTGGTCTGGGACAGGCTTGGCCGCGTCCGCGTTCAAGCCCTCGAGGAAGTACGAGTTGTTGAGGAGGAGCGAGGCGTAGTTGAACGCGAGGGCGAGCGAGGGCTCGCGCGCGCTCAGCGCCAGCAGGTCGGTCATGTGCAGCTTGTCGTTGTCCCACTTGAGCTTGATTGGCGAAAGGCCCGGATTGTCTGCGTGAGCTGTATACGCGGGGGCAACGCACTCCTGACCTCGCCTTGCAACCGCTCCCACAGGCCCGCCTGCCACTCGTTCAGCCGGTCGAACTGCTCAGCGCCGATAAAGCTCGGGAGGCCGTTGAGGATGCGGGGGTCGACGCCGCCGATCGCGCCGCCCGTCGGCTTGCGCGTCGAGCCGGCCGCTGCCGCCGTCAGGATGCTGCGTGCCGGCGCAGAAGAAACGAAAGGTGCGAGGGGAGAGCGCGCCGCGGCGCGGGCAAAGTTCGCGAGCGGGCGGGACATGGCTGCGAGCTGCGTAATGGATGCGGGTGAAGTGGTCGGCGTCGGCGTTGTCCAGAAAAGTCGGCCGCACTTGGGCTTTCCGAAAGATCAACGCTGGATACCGTGGGAAAGCATGCCACGTGACTCGTGGGTGGATGGGCGGAGATGGACCTGATTTTGGCGGATGGCACAGACGAACAAAGAACGCGCCGTCGTTGCAGCCTCCTCGCCTCTCGATCTCCCGACCTCTCGCGCTTGCCCCCCGGCACTGTCATGTTCTGAGTCGTCCCCGTCCTGAGAAGAGACCATGATCGCCCGCTCGAGCTGGCGCATCACGGTTCCCCGCTTGCGACTCGTCGCCCGCGCCGCGCACCGCGCGCGATACAGCAAGACTGCCGACTTCCCCCTCCTCGAACATGACGGGTCGGCCAGCCCCGGAAATGCTGCGGCGCGCGAACCATACGGGCAAGAGTACGGTGCTGGCCCCTCGTGCATCCCTTACGAGCCGCCAATATCCTCTCCCTCGGCTGCGGCTGCGGCGGCACGACCAGGGCCTACGGCAACCACGGACGCCGCCGCCGCGGCGCGTTTGGCGCGCACGACCACGCGGCAGTCGGCACGATGGTTGCGCAAGGCGCTCAACTCGATCTCGGACGCCGAGCGGCGCGCGCTGCAGGAGCCCATGGAGCGCGCGACCGCTAATGCCACACTTGCGCGCATAGGCATCCGCGTGCAGGCGCTGTCGCGGCTAGAGCTGCACACACTTTTGCACGACTTGATCCGGCTCGGGGCGACGTCCCTGGCGGTGTGGGTGTGTACCGACGTCCTTGAGCATCTCCACCCCTCGTCGATACCCCGCAAAGTGTTCTCTCCCTCGACGCTCGTTGCACTGGGACGGCTGAGCGATGGCCAAGAGATCTATCTCCCTCCGCTGTACAGGCACCCCATCGGCCGTCTTGAGCAGCCGTCCATCGACGAACAGCAACCACGGCAGCCCTCGCCATACCTTGCCTCGCTTCTCAGCATGCTCGAGCTCCTCCAGCGTGTCCGCCACCGGCGGCCGCAGGAGCTGTATCGCCTCGCCATGATTCAGTGCATCAACGAGTGCAGGCCCGACGAGGCCGCCAAGATCTACGTCGGCTTGGTGGAAGAATGGATCATCGAGGGGCGCATCGCCGAGGGCGCCGACCCAAGTGACTTTTACGCTGGCGGTGGCCCGCCGCGCGAGCCAAGGAGCGACTCGCCGCTCCTCGCGATGTGGTTCAAAGGTGTCCGCACATGGCGTCTCCCAGGGGAGGCACTATCTCCACACGATCGCCTGGACCTGTGGCATCCACATCACCACTCGCTCCAAGAACGCCTCCGCGGCTTCCCCATGCCCATCCCGACATCCCCGCCCTCCCTCGTCCCCAACCCATCCATGCAGCTGCTCTCCATTATCATCAACAATCTCGAGCTGGATCCGAGGAAGCTCAGCCCCGCAGACTATGCTTCGTCAGTCCGCGCGCTGGCAATGCTCGCCAACACGGTGCTCTCGCGTACGCTGCCGGTCCCCGCTGTCCCATCCATCCTCAAGGCGTTCTCGGACTCGCACATGGAGCCGCGTGTCTATCCCGAGTCGTTCACAGAGGTCCCCGAGAGCCATGGATGGGCGTACACCGCCAACACGCAGGTGCACGTCGCGCTTGTATCGCTCATGTTCTCGCCGCCCAACTACGCGCGAGCGGCCGAGATCGAACGCCGATTCTCGCCCGAAGACAGACTCCCACACGAGGTCGGCGCGGCACGGTACATGCTCCGCCCGCTGGGGTGGAAGTCGTGCCTCGTCCTCATCAAGTACGCTGCCGAAACCCTGCATCAGCCGCGACTCCTGGCGCGTCTCTTCGACTACATGAAGGTCACGTTCAAGGAATGGGACATGCCCGCGCTCAACATCCTGTTCCGCGGCTCGTCTCAGACACGCGACAACGCTCTGGCAACGGCAGTCGAGGAGAAGGTATTTGGCGGCTCCCTCCTTGGAAATCCCAAGGCGACCGAGGCGGGCGACAACAAGGGCGAGGAGCAGCAGCCCCAGGCCCAACTGCATGCCTTGCTGCCAAAGACGCATAATCCGCAGACCAAAGAGCAGCCGGTGCTTCAGCACGATTCCGAAGTGGAAGCGCTTCTGGACGGAATCGACATGGAGGCCCTGAAGGCAGACTCGCACACTCTCGTCGCCCTGGTCAAGCACTTGACCGTGACGTCGCAGTTTGACCGCATCATCATGCTCGTCTACACAGTTCTGCCTTACCTCGCCGTCAACACCGCTACGCCAGCGGCCCGAGTCGAGCAGCTTGCGGAACTCACCGGCGCAACCATCTCAAGCCGTGGTCGCATCCTCCCCGTACGACTTCCTGCTGAGCTGTTCGCCGCGATCATCGCCGCCTTAGCAAAGTCAGGCAACACTGGTCTCGCACAGCGCATATTCCGGCTGGCTCGATCGTATGAGAAGCAGGACTACACCTCCCAGAAGTTGAAGGAGCCCATTCCACAAGCGACGACTGCCACGAGCTCTCCTCAACCGGCCGAGCAGCAGGCCTTGCAGCCCAAGAGGCATCCGGCGGCCTATTACTTCATTCCAATCCACATGTACACGTCCCTCATCCAAGTGTACGGCAACGAGACCCGGCCGCGTCCCAACGCGATCGAGAACAGCCCTCGTGGATGGGAGGCGACGAGCCCATACAAATTCATGAACCGGCAGGAGGCCGGGCACCACATGGCGTGGGACTCGTACAACGAAGCGATGCGGCGGTGGCGCCTCTCACGGCGCCTGCACGAGCACAACCTCGCGCAGCTGGCCGCCGGGGAAGACGTAGTGTTCGACGTGACGGAGCGCGAGCTGGCGGAACGCACGCCCGACGGCCGCTTCTTCGCCGCCATCATCCGCGTCTACTTCGCGCGCTGGAACTTGAACAACGACATCCTCCTCGACCGCCGCGGCCGCGAGAAGGTCATGCGCCTGCTCCGCGACATGCGCGACGCGGCTGTGCCCATCCCCGCAGGCCTCGCGACCAAGCTCGCCACGGGCCAGGTCGAGGGCCCCATCTTCCCCGACATCGTCACCACCAAGAGCTTGCATCGGCCGCGCACGTACGCCCGCGGCGTCGTGCAGGAGCACCGCAAGTTCGGCTTGCGCGGTGGCTCCTACGACCACTACCGGCGGCCGCCTGTCGGTCCCGAGGATCCGGCGAGGGCAGACTACGCTGAGCGCAGCCGGAGGCGCGTGGATCGAGCCGCGGAGGGGCGGGGTGGGGCGGAAGCGCCGCGCGAGAGGCGCGAGTCGAGCGCGCGAGTGACGACTGCGATACGCCAGTCGCGCGAGGAGAACGGCTGTATGGGTCAGGACAGGAACGAGGGTGGCTCGCCTCTCTCACCCTCACTCGTGCAGTAGCGCTAGCGCCATACACATAGTAACGGAGTCATCATCAGATCACATATTGCACAGCACGCATCATGCATCACCAATCACTGCCAGTCTCTTATTCAGTTTGTCAACGAATATGTGCATAGGGAGAAGATCTATTATGTGGCGGCCTGCGCCTACTCGGCCGCTGTCGGCTCCTCCTCGCCCTCCTCCTCGAGCATGCCGACCTCCCACTCGCCGCCGACGTCCCAGCGCGACCCCGGCGCCGCAGCACTGAGGTACTTGACGAAGCGCATGACGCCGGGGTCGCGGAGCACAAGCAGCAGGCGGTTGAAGGACACAGGCTGCGTCAGCAGCGGGCCGCCGTCCTCGCCCTCCGAGTCCGAGTCGAAGTCGCCGTCCGAGAACTGGTCGGGGTCGAACTCGAGCTCGACGCCGCCCATGGTAATCTTTGGCCCGTCGTCACCCTTCTTGCTCTCTCCGCCATTGGCCTCGTCGCCGTTCTCGGCGCCCGCCCCCGCCACAGCCTCCTTCTCCTCGGCCTCGGCGGCCTCCTGCTCCGCCTCGGTGCGGTTGGCTGCGGCAGCACGCTTCGCCAGAGCGCTCTGGTACGTCTCGGGGTCCTCCGACTCATCCGGTGCGGCGAGGTAGCACTCCCACCCGCCGTGCTCGATTAGCGCGTCTTCCGCGTCGCTCCCAGCCGGTACGTCGGCCCACCACGACAGACCGAGGAACGCGTCGAGGCGCGCCTCGCCGGCGCGCTCTTCGCCGTTCGCGAGCGTGTAGTCGAGCCCGCGGCGGAAGCGGCGCGCTTCGGCGCGGTACGCCATCGGCGCCAGAGATGAAACGACGCCAAGCCACGCACGCCACGCCTCGGAGGGCAGGAGCTGCGCGAGCACCGAGCGCAGCGCGGGCGTCGCGGCCGACTCGGAGACGAGGCTCGCGAAGCGGTGTTTCGACGCTGGGCCCTGCAGCGCCCACCCGTCGCCCTCGCCCACGTCCTGTCCCGGAATGAGCTTGGAGTCGCCGTACGCGGCGGCGTCGGCCGCCTTTGTCTCAGCCTTGATCTTGTCGGCTAGGTCGGGGCGGAGGAAGTTGTGCAGCACAATCTCGGACGCCTCGACGAACTGGCCTGACAGCTTCTCCAGCGTCTGCGGGGTGAGGTACGACGGCGCGAGGAAGTCCTTCAGGAACGCGATGTGAGAGGGAGTAAGACCTGCGGGCGGGTCCGCAGTGTAGGGGACCATGGGGATGGTGGGTGCGGCGGTCTGGTGTCAGAAGGAAAAAGGGGAGCACACTCACAATCTGCGCGAGCGAGCTCAGCGCCGCACGCTGGGCCTTCTCATCCTCGTACGCGCCAAAGCCCTCCTCGCCCTCTATGGGGCGGTGGAACCACCCGGACACGCCCAAGCGGCGCCGCCCGTCGCCGACAATCACCTCCTCGACCGAATGGTAGCTGCGCCCCGGCTGGACCTGGAAGAAGATGATCTGGCCCCACTTGACGGGCAGGGAAGCCACCGCTTTAGTGCCAGGCAGGCCGCGCTCGTCGCCGTTCTCGACGGGAAACAGCTCGAGCGAGCCGCCCCACTTCGGGTCCCAGCCCTTGAGGAACTTGCCGTTGTCGGCCGGCTTGGTGTAGTCGGACGCAGGTGCGTCGAGCGGCGAGTTTGGCAGATACAGGATGTATGAGATGACGCGCGTCGAGATCGAGTCGTCGTGCAACAGCAGGTGCGAGCCCTGCGTGTACAGGCCCACAGAGCAGTCCGTCTTCTTGCCCGACAATGGGCCGCAGCCGGTAACGTCGCGCACAAACTTGCGGAACTCTTGCGAGTACAGCGCCTCCTTCAACCGCGTGATGCAAGGAAGTGCCGCGAGCGTCTCCTCGGGCAAGTGCTGCTCGTCGAGCGAGGCGAGATCAGGCGTCTGCTGAATCTGGTTGTTAGGGCTGATCGCCACGGCTCTGCTTGCCCACTGCGAGTCTGCTCACCTTGTAGATATCCGTCTCCTTCTGCTCCCACCCCCATCCCGGGAGGCTGCCCTCCTCTCCGCGCACGCCGTACGTCTTGGTCTCTTCGACAACTGACTCAAGCTAGGGTCAGAACATCTCCTGCAGCCCACTCACAAGCTCATCCGTCAAGAGACCCGGCACAACAATATGCTTGTATGGGGTCGACTGCTCGTACGTCTCGTGGAGAGAATGGCGCGTGGCGCCCTCCGGGAGCGTGATAGCGGGCGAGACATCGGCCTTGGCCTTTTTGGACTCCCTGCCAACCTCTGGACCGGGGGAGCGGGGTCGCACTGTGCTGGGCATGCTGTAGGGGTGGATTGAGTGTCGAGCAAAGTCAGATCGAGAAATTGTGTGGAATGGCTGTTGAAGTGGAGGTCGATCACGTGCAGCCCTAATGTACCCTAATGAAACAATAGAACGACAACAAAAGAGCCCTTTCAGGCACGTTATCGTCGGCCGACAGCCGCTTGAAATCATCCACATCACAACAATCTCCGCACTCAGCGCCATGGCTCACGCAGAGTCGGCGTCGGCGCCTCTCAAGCGACAGTTGTCCATCGATGTCGACGACAGTGCAGAAGCTGGTCCGTCGGCGCGCACTCTGGAGATCAAGCGGAGGCTGGTGCGAGCCAAGAAGCTGCGTCGTCCCGAAGACTCTAATGACGATCCACCCCCATCACCACCCGCGCCGGAACCCATTCCAGCCCAGCCCTCCTCTCCAGCACGAGATGTCTCGCAATCACCATCACCGCAGAAGCGCACTCCTTCACCACGCCCCCCCTCGCCACCCCGAGGCTTCCCCCGGTCCGCGTACGCGCCGCCAAGAAGCGCCCATCCCGGCCTCACCGGCTGTCGGTCTGTCTACAGCTACTCTCGGCTGAACCACATCGAAGAGGGAACATATGGCGTCGTTTTTCGCGCACGATGTAACGACACGGGCGAGATTTACGCGCTCAAGAAGCTGAAGCTTGACGAAGAGCGGCACGGCTTCCCCATCACGAGCTTGCGCGAGATCATGGCGCTCATGACCGCTGGCCAGCACGAGAATGTGGTGGGCATTCGTGAGATTGTCGTAGGGGATACGTTGAACCAGTGCGTTGGTCTCGGCGCTCGTGGCAGATGAAGAAGCCCATGGCTGACGCCAGAATCTTCATCGTGATGCCGTTCATCGAGCACGATTTGAAAACGCTTCTCGCGGACATGCCACACCCGTTCGTGCAGTCCGAGGTCAAGACAATCATGCGCCAGCTGCTCTCGGCCGTCGCGCACTGCCACTCGCTCTGGATTGTGAGTGGTCTTTCATATATCTCTAACGCCAGCTCCATCGCGATTTGAAGACATCCAATCTCCTCATGAACAACCGCGGGCAAATCAAGGTAGCGGACTTTGGCCTCGCCCGCAAGTTCGGGGATCCGCTTGGCGACATGACCCAGCTCGTGGTGACGCTGTGGTATCGTGCGCCTGAGCTGCTCCTCGGCTCGAAGGAGTACACGACCGCCATCGACATGTGGTCCATCGGCTGCATCTTTGCCGAGCTGATACAAACCGACCCGCTCTTCCCGGGTCGAGGCGAGATCGACCAGCTGGGCCGGGTGAGCGAGCGTAATGAGCATGGCTGACCGCAGATCTTCAACTTGCTGGGCAAGCCGAACGACGACATGTGGCCGGGGTTCTCGCGCCTCCCAAACGCCAAGAAGATCAACCCTGTCGGCCCGACGTGAGAATAAGCCTCGTTGCTTCCTCCTAACTCCAGATTCTCGACGTTGCGGCAGAAGTTCAGGCATCTCACTTCAAACGGCCATGCACTAATGGCCGCGCTCCTCTGCTATGACCCCGAGCGCCGCATATCTGCGGCTGAGGCGGTGGACCATGCCTACTTCTCGTGAGATGACGATGACGATCTCTCTGACGCGCAGTGAAGAGCCGCTGCCGAAGCCGCCAGAACAATTCGCCGCCTTCCCGAGCGTAGCCTCCGGCGAGCGGCGGCACAAACTGTTGCCCAGCCCACGCGCGCCAGCGCACGAGGAGGCGGGGGACACGGACGGACTCGAGAGGCCCGACGCCCTCGACTTGGAGTCGCTCGTGTAGACGCACCATATCAGCATGCAAGGCGTCTGTCGTCGCAGCCAAATGACGCCGGCCCCAACGGTGGAGACGGAGTGAAGAAGCCGGCGCGACTTGCGGGAAGTACAGCGCCCACGAGCGCCGACACTTGAGCATTTGATCTTGTCCTGCATCAAAGCACTATCTGCATGTCAAGTACTCCTCTTCGAGCCTTCCACGCGCCGAGCTACGTCGCGATGTCGTCTGGCACCTCTTCTACCCCTCTATCCTTGTGCTAAACATGACATCCACCAGCCGCCCGCGCCGCGCTCCCCTCCCACGAGCCAGTGACTCGGGGGAGGGGAGCCCGGCGCAAGCAGGGCGGCGTAACCCCAGTGCGTATATTAGTGTCGGAAGGCCTCGTAGACGCGTGTGCCCAGATTTCAGATCGCCATGCCGCACGATACCTCCCCCTGACCACTTCTGACCATGCCAAGGGCGGTGATGCGCTCGCTTCCGGACGGATATCAAAGCCATACACTTGTGCCCGTGATGTTGACACAGAGCGGTGAGACACGGAAGTTGATGGTGTCTGTGCGCCACATACTCCCCCGGCGCACGCGCGTGCCAGCGCACCGTGGCCTGGATCGGCTAGCGATTGCTTCTTGTTCAACCCACATAGTTCATCTGGGTAAACCCTGCTCTGTGGGCAGTGCGCTTGCGCCTGTCCTTGCCTTCCGCCATCGGGACCCATCCAGCGTTGCTAAAGCCCGGGTTGACTTTCGTCCAGGCTGCGGCACGGTCATCTTGATGTCGCCGTGGTGTGTCAGCGCTGGCACCATCAGACTGTATAGGGACGATGTGTTCAACTGGATGAGGGAGTTTAACTTGATGCGTCTTCCAGGACGTGGGATGTGTCTGATGAGTCCGGGCGACTTGACGGGCGCAGGCTGGCGTGAGTGGCGCCGAGTCGTGCGCGGCCCTGTCCCGAGTTGTAAGAGGGCTAGAAGCGATGGTGTCGATGGTGTCTAGCTTCCAGCCGGTTATCGTAACTCGGATCAGACGCGGATGGCTGGGGAGGTTGGAGGATGCAGAAACGCTGACGGCGGCGCCTTATATGCGATGGACGCAGCACTGCGTCAATAATGGAGCGATGATGGGGTCATGTGTACAGCATAAGATGAGGCTTCGCGACATGCGCGTACGATGAGACGCGCTTCGTATAGCATAACGCAACTCGAACGCCACAACAGCGATCCGAAGGACAGCGCAGTGTGTCCCTCCGCCCCGATGTATCCTGTGCCGATGCGCTTGGTGCAGAGAGAAGCAGGCCGATTGCTTCTCCAAAGGGCTCTGCGGGGTCGATAATTCTGGGTTTATGGAGTTTCCTTGCGAGTCACGGTGCCACCAAGCGGGAAAAATGTGGGCTGGGAAGAGTGCACGCTCCGTGGGATTCACTCGGCGGCTGAAGACCAAGAGGAGAGCAGCTCGATATGTCGGGACTCACTGGTCGTTACGTCTCCGGCCGTTAACTCGGAAGCGTACGAGGTTGGGCCTTTGCCGCAAATCTCGGTATGTACGCAATGCGAAGGTGGTATGTCTACTTCTCGCTGCTGTGCAGCTCCCGCTCGGCAGAAAATATCGGCTGACACCATCCCCGCTTTGCCACGACCCCGCCACTGCAGCCAAGCAATGCATTACAGGTCACCACGCTTCTACAATTACGACGCCGCGCCTACGCGCCGCGCCCGCCTACCTCTCCCACATGTCATCATCCGGACAATCCAGCGTCGCCTCCCACGACTCGAACCCTTTGCAGAGCCGCGCCGTCGGCCTGTACAGCGGCAACGTGTCCGACACGGGCGCGCGCATCCGCCACAGCACCGAGACATGCACATGCTGTTCCCCAACCATCTGCCGCGGGCGTCCGCGGTTGATGCTGTCGTCAGCCACTGCCGGATCAGCGACACCCACATCCACTTCGAGCTGCGCTCGACCGTCACAAGCTCGGGCGAGTATCGCCGCGTCTTGAGCGGGAGGTACTCCAGCAACCACCAGATGTTCTTGAGGCTTACTTTGGGCGGGCGCATCGCGTCGATCGACGGCGGGCCCGCACACACGTCCCGCTGCGCGACCAGATACACCAGCTTGCGCAGCTCGCTTTGAGGAATCTTGCTGCGCAGCTCCTCTAGCTCTTGCCGGCGGTCCTGTTCAGACTGAGGGTTGACGAGTTGATCAGAGACTATGTTGTCCAGTCTCTCCAGGCGGCGGAGGGTGGCATCACTCGGGTACTCGCGAATCTCGCCATGTCCGTCACCCCCAGGCGGACCGGAGGGCATGGCCACCGCCTTGAGGTAGCGCACGCCTGTCGAGCTGAGGAGAATACCGCAGTCTACTGCCTCGCGCAGTATCCACCTGAGGTTAGCAAGGGCGGCTGCGAGGACCCCACCTGAAAGGGATGTTGGAAAGGGACGGGTCACCGTTGAAATCAGAGCCACCGCCAACGTCAGAGTGTGAGCCCATGAACCAGCAGTCAATCCGGCGACGCTTCAACCGTCCGTTGTCAAAAGTCCACGAGTGCGTAGGGTACTCCTCTTCGCGGGCTTTGACAGCTCTGGCGAAAGCGATCTCAGCAGCCGCGATTTGCGCGGCATCACCGGTTCGCCTCGCCTTGGCCAGTGTCTCCTGGGCTTCAGTGACATTATTGCACAGTTGGCTCTCTCGCTGGTCCAGGTAGCGGTACTCGGGCGTGAAGCGGATGCGGCGCTCGTCGAGTGCCAGGGCCTGGCGAAAGAACTTGACGGCCTGCACGCCGCCGGCGAACGGCAGGCGTGGGAGACCGATGCCACCCAGACTCGAGACTGTGTCCCATGCTCCAAGAAACTCGATGACGACTGGCCGCGAGAGACCAAATATACGCCGGTACAGCGCACCAGGGCTGTCCGTTTTGGTGCATGGCCGCTCGCCCCTCACCACGCGGTGATCCGTGTAGACGCGGTACGCCCTGGGGTTAGACTGGCACATGAAGGATAGACATACGCCTTAACTGAGCGATGGTTGCCGCGTGGGAGCAGCCCGACCTGAGGTTAGCGCTGTACTAGCCTCCAGCTACCTTCTGAATCATGCCGGCGAGCGCACGCGCAACATACGCGCCGCGCGAGTACCCAAAGATGAACACGTGGTCGCCCGGGGTGTAATAGTCCATGAGGTATGCATAAGCATCACAGACGAAATCGTCAAAATTCCTGACTTGATCAGCGCCACTGGCGTCACGCGTCGAAACTCACCAGGCGAGGGCCAGATCGATCACCATGGCGGCTTTGCGGCGGATCTCTGCCCACGAGCCAGTGCTGGACGGCAGGACAGTACCTGCGTGTTAGCGTGTGTTTGGCGGTCCTTGACTGCCCATCTGAACTCACCAAGCCCACTGCTGTAGTAGAGGAACTGGTCCTCGTCGGCCTTTAGCACCGTGTGGAGCTTGATGAGATTCGAGTTCTTGTCGCAAAACTCCTTGCCGGTCCCGTCGAGAAGAAGGACAATGTTGCGGCGCTTTCGCTTGGACGGGCGGCCGCCGGGCGAGTAGAGCGAGTTGACTCGCTGCGGCGGAACGTTGGTCTGGAGGGGGGGCAGAATGCGGCTTGGGTTCTTTGAGCCATTCGTGCCGTTGCCGCCATCCGAGCTGGCTTTGCTAGGCAGAGGGGGCGAGGTTGCGGGGGCTTCGCCCTCACCCGCGAACGCGAACCCGTTGATGGACGGCGGAGTGGGCGTTTCCTCGACGGAGCGCGGGACAGGCTCATCCGCTCTCGGGAGATTAGTGTTCTTGATTGACAAGTAAGAGGTGTCGCTCTCGGGGGGCAGGTCGAGGGGAGGAAGGGGTAGCTCGAAGGGCGTGTCAACAGCGGGAATAGGAGGAAGGAAGCGGTCGGAATGAGTGTGCAACTGGGGGATGGCATGGTGGAACGGGTTGCCGCGGTCCTCGAGTGAAGGGGTAGTGGAGGCCTCGGAGACGGGCGAGAGAGGCCGCTGATACGCGACGGGGGGACGGAGGTGGTCGTCGCCGGCGTCTTGGGAGGCAGAGGGGGATGTCTCGGAGGGGTCGGGGAGGGGGCAAGAGGCGCGCGGCGCGCCGGACACGTTGGCCATCTGAGGCATTGGGGGGGGTTGGACCTAGCGGAGACCGGCGGGGGGCGCTGGTGCCGTCGACGGTGTGACAGTGGATGAGGGGTGGGCCGGACGCTCGTGGTGGGGACGGCCAAGGACCAGAGGATCGGAGGGCCCGATGACCAGAGGAGAGAAGAGAGAAGAGACGGACGATGAGGAGATGTGTTTATGTACGTTGAGTCTCCTTGTGCTTGGCGGTGGCAACCAACTGCACCAGGGCGAGCTCTGGAACATGTACATTGAGCTTAATTGCCACTCACTCATATATACAGCATGTCTCTTCATGCCGGACGGGGGTTGATGGGCGTGTTGGTCTGGCCGTGGTCACGAGGATGGTGCATGATGGTGTCGAGTTGGCGCGTCTCATCGCGCGTTGTGAGGCCGCTGATCGCTGGCAGCAGGTAGCAGGCAGCAGGCAGCAGGCAGACGATCCGTCGATCCCTCACATGCCTCACATGCCTCACATGCCTCGGCAGCGGATTGTTTAGTCGCCGCCACCCATCTTCACGTCTCCCATCTCTTGCGCCTCCAAGATCCAAGACAAACCGGAGCATGCATACTCATCGGTAGGCGCGAGGCGTGCCCGCCCCTCGCGCTTGGCAACCTTGCGCTCCTAGCTAGCGGATATCATCAACCGGAATGCCTGTGGAGCCAAAAGCTACGGGAAGGCATCTCTCCTTCTAGTGCCTCGCGCTCATATCATATCTACGCCAGGCTCGGCGAGAGTGCCCAACGCCACAGCTGAATGGGACCTGGCACCTGGCGCTAAGCAGCTTGCACATGACCAGCCGGTGAGCTGGATGATCGCCGTCGGCCGCGTCGAGCGTGCGGCGTCAGATTGCCGTCGCGTCTCGAGACGAGACACGGCTGCTCCGTCGCTCGTTCCTCTTTGCCTGCAAGTGCGCCGCAGATTGCACATGCTCACACGATCAATGCTCGCCTGACCGGCTTACTCTCACTTTCCCACGGTGGACCTTTCCCACGGTCTAATTCCCAAACCGTCCGAATCCCGAAGTGTGGCGAAACTCCGCGCCAGCTCCCGCCGCACTGCCAGGCCGTGGACTCGATGGCGCCGATGAGCCCGACGACAGATAAGATAGTCGCGGAAGACGCATTGATATCCCGCTCCACGCAACGCCCGCAACGCCGCGTTTCCCGATGCACGATGCCCCTGATGTCCAGTATGGCGTAGGGTGCGTGGGGTTTGACACATGGCCCCCCACGCGGTGCCCGCTCGCCCGCCCGATCGCCCGACTCACGCTGCCCGCAGTCCACAGATATCTGTACTCGCTATCATGATAACGATAGCGGATGTGGCGCGCATGCTACTACTACTACACATGATCGACAGTGCCAAGATTACCAGCGCCGACGAGATCATGCTCACTGCCCACTTGCGCTCCTCGCTATCACATCCTAGTCTCTCTCTCACTGCCTTCTGCCTACTCCCCCCTACCTATCCCGTGCTCGCTCGCTCGCTGTTCGAGCTCTCGCTCACACCCATGCTCGCTCGCTGCTCGAGCTCTCGCTCACACTCACGCTCGCTCGCTACGCTCGCTCACGCTCGTGCAGGACGCTGCATAAAGACACAGTGCTGATCCAATCTGCAACGCCCATGTAAAACGCCTTGCTACTCCGCGCTGCGCCAGTCCCACTCCAGCCTTCCAAATCAATGTACATACACAAATCATCTCACCAAACCTCGCCGGCATTTACGCGTTGAGAATAGTAGTCTCAACCATAATGCTGGTGACGCGGTAAGGATCAATGTTCGAGGCCGGGCGGCGGTCCTCAAGATATCCGTGGCCGGCGGCACCGACGTGACGGGGGATACGGATAGAGGCACCACGGTTGGCAACGCCGGCCGAGAAGGTGTGCATGGCGGCGGTCTCGTGAAGGCCGGTCAGACGCTGGTCGTTGTCCTCGCCGTAGACGGCCATGTGGTCGAGGTGGCGGGCCTCGAGCTTCTGGATAGCAGCCTCGATCGCGGCCATACCCTTGCCGGGCGTGCGCATGGCCTTGGTCGAGTAGTTCGAGTGGCAACCAGCACCGTTCCAGTCGCCCTTGAGGGGCTTGGGGTGGAACGAGGGCTTGATGCCCCACTCCTCACCGATACGGAGAAGGAGGAAACGGGCCATCCAGAGGTGATCTCCGAGCTCGATACCCTCACAAGGGCCGACCTGGAACTCCCACTGGGAAGGCATGACCTCGGCGTTGATACCCGAAATCTTGACACCGGCGTAGAGGCAGGCACGCTGATTGGTTAGTTTTTGATATTCAACGGTAAACTCACGTAGTGAGCCTCGATAAAGTCACGGGCAAAGACCTTGCCAGCGCCGACACCGCAGTAGTAGGGGCCCTGGGGACCGGGGAAACCGTTCTTGGGCCAGCCAAAGACCTGCCCATCGGCGTCAAAGAGGGTGTACTCCTGCTCGAGACCGAACCAGGGCTCCTCGGCCTTTGCGGCGTCCATGACCTTCTTGCAGTGAGCACGGAAGTTGGACTTGTTGGGGGTGCCGTCGTTGTCATAGCACTCGCAGAGGACGAGAATGTTGGCACCGCCACGGAAGGGGTCCTTGAAGATGGCGACGGGGCGGAGGAAGACTGGGGTTAATGTCCGAGAGGTGAGAGTCTTGGGCAAACTTACCATCCGAGTTGTCACCGGGGGCCTGGTTGGTAGACGAGCCGTCAAAGTTCCACTCGCGGAGCTCGGCAATGGAGGCGGGCGACTTGTCGAGGGTCATAGTCTTGGAACGAAGACCATTGTCACCGTCGATCCAGATGTCTGGGGGGGTAAGCTACTAGAATAAGGATGGGAAACTCACACTCGGCCTGGACAGAAGAGCCCTGGTCGAGCGCCATATAAGGCGCGAGGAGGTCAACACGCTTGGTGGGGATAAGAGCCGACATGATGTCTGGGTTGTTGGGGGGGGGACTGTTATGGGTAGTGAATGCGAGGTGGATGGGAAGGGGGAATATGAGTGGTGGTGGTGGTGGTATTGGGCGATGAGAACGTGAATGAGAAAGAGAGAGAGAGAGAGATGTGGTGGAATCAAGAATGGGAAGAGGGGGGGGTGGGGATGAGAAGAGGAGCGTGATTTAGAGCGTTTGGAGAGAGAGCGAGAGAGAGAAGGAGCAAGGAGGAGGAAACGAGTCAGCGGGTGGAGTGGGGGGGTGGATGTGGCGGGTGTACAGTGGGACGAAGGGGCCAGGGTTAGAATGAGGGAATAGGGATGGATGGATTGAGGGATGAGGGTTATTCGTGTGTGGCGAATCCGGTGCGGTGGTTGTAGGGTGGGTTAATCGGGTGGGTGGATGGTATGATCGGGTGCGGTGTAAAGAGGCGGTGAGGGAGCAAAATACCGTCATAGACCGAGAGGAGAAAGAAGGAAGAGCATGACACATGGGGCGGAAGATGAGGTTGAACAGTGACAAGAAGAGCGAGTGGATGAGGCAAGTGGCGCGTGCGGAGTTGATTCGACGACGTAGACGCGTTTAGTGTCAGTACGAGTGGCGGGGGGGGGGGGGGGGGGGGGGGGGGGGGGGGGGGGGGGGGGGGGGGGGGGGGGGGGGGGGGGGGAAGGGTAGTGGAGCGGCCCAAAAAGTGTCATAGCTGCTGTGCAATGGCAGGTCAGGTCACCAATGCCCAGACTCTCGACGCCATTATTGTTGACGCGTCGGTCGGACGTGTGGGGGGGTGGGGGGGGGACGAAGAGGTGGAGCTCGGAGCTGGGGAGCTCGGAGAGGAGATGGAGAGAGACTCACGAGTATGAGGGAAAGGAAGGGGAAAGAAGGAAAGTGCTTTGGTAAAGCGAGAGAAGAGCCGAGTGGCTATGGGGGTTTTATGAGTTAAAGAGAAGAGAAGAGAGAGAGATGATGAAGAGGAGAGATGGAGGTGTGGTGGAGGGAGGAGAAGGAGGAGGAGGAGGAGGGAGGACGACGAGGAGGAGGAGGGATGGATGGAGGAGATGGGATGGGATGGGATGGGATGAGGGAGGGCTCCTTATCTTGCCCAGCAGCAGCAGCAGCAGCAGCAGCAGCAGTGGATCGACTCGTCCTCGAGTTCGAGTGGTTGGTCGCCTGCAGCCTGATCGCCTGACTCTTTGTGCTCTTGCGCCCCGCATCTCCTCCGCCCTCGTCGCTCCTCGGTTGGTTGCTGCCTCGCTGCGGCCCCCCACGGTGACAACTCTGTTCACCCAGCAGTTTTACTTTTCCCCTTTCCCAGCCAGAGGCCAGCGGCCGGGTTAACGGGGGCCACGGGGGCTGGCTGGGAATTCCTCCTCCCTGCTGGCCTGCTGCCCGGATCAGTTGGCCCGGGTACATACACCACCCGATAAGTGGCAGATCTTGATTGGTTGGTGGGGGGGAGTCCTCAGGGCCAACAAGGGTAAGCACAGAGCGCCACATGACCCTGGCACTTGACATGACGGGCGAGGTCGGAGCGGCGTCAATAAGACCTCTGCTGGGCGCACACTCGAGCGCTTGCTTGATCGCTCTGGCGATCTGGTGCTGGCGCTGGGCTCTGGCGCTGGCGCTCTGAATCGCTTGCTTGCTCCGTCCACCCCAGTGCAGGACGGAGCTTGTGGCGCGCGGCTCGCGGATCTCCATCATTTGCCTCCAAGCAGCCGCCAAGTCTCTCTTCCTCTGGCTCGGGCACAATTGGCTATTGGCCTTTTTGGCCTCTTGGCCTCTTGGCCTTTTGGGCCTGCACACCCGCGTCGTAGCTCTCAGAGTCGTGACTCTGCTTGCGCTGGTAAAACGTCGCCCCCTTATTTCTCCCGCACACCAAGGTATGACGCGTCTCGCCCCCGCGCACCTCGCACCTCGGGCCTCGCGCCTCGGATCCTCCGCCTCGGCGTCGGGTCGGGCCCACACTCGCGGCCCACGGCCCCAGCCACGGCCTACGGCTTCCCCTCGGCCCTCGGCACCCTCGCCCTCGCCCTCGGCCCTCGCACCGTTCCTCGATGACTCTGATCACGTCGTCAGTTAATTCCCACTCAGTGCTGTCTGGCGGCCGCACCCCGCTCGGCCCAACCCTATCCACTACCCACCGATCCATTGGCCCCCCCCCCC